CGCGTTAATGTCAGCTCCAGATTGGAGTGCATCGCGAACTGCAGCAGCAGAGCCCTCTGAGGCAGCCTGTAGCAAAGCAAAGTTTTCAAAAGAGCGTTGTACACGACTTATCATGATGTTATAGTCGTCAGTCGTAAATAGCGCGCAGCGAGTGTGAGAGAGAATGAGTTATGGGCGTTGGTCGTAGGGCGGATGAGGAGTCGGTGAGGAGAAGAAAGAAGAGTTGATTTTGTGTCGTTGAAGGATGATTTGAGTTTTGTATACGTACAGATAATGACTTCAAATGGGGCACAACGAGGCAAAAAGTAGTCTTCTCAAGGTCATCTTCTCATTGATGTTCTGATGAGGCTCATAGTTGCAGGCGCCCTCGAGCCGGCTTGTCCGACCGGCCTCGAGGCAATCACGTAAAAAATAAAATAAAACATAATGGTAAAAACAAACAATACACATCCGCGTCTTTCTTTTGTTCGCTTTCCATTGTAGGATTCATCTATATAGAGGAGTAATACCAGTACTAGCATTCAACCTTTCAAGTCAATCTGTCATTTTCTGTCTTTCAGGGTAGTAGTCTCGACGACAAAAACTTAAAATCACCCAACCCGTCATGCAGGGCGGTGCTAGTGGCGTTGATTCTGCTGGGAAATCATGTAGCAAGACCATCTTATGAGTTCATTGTGCAACAAATCGAAATATTTCGTGATATGATATTAATATGATAATGAAAAACTTTACATTGAAACCGATACGATGTTGCATGAAGTACTTTCAGCTTGCCAAATGTATATAGAGTAGTCATGGGATATCCCTGACCTAAAAGTCCATGAACGATATCCGTGAACTCTTCGTAATTGAACCTTCTAATAATAATAATCATGAACCGATAATATTGCAAGAAGGGAGTTCGCCGTATTGCTTCACAGAAATGCATCTCGTGACAGCACGCCCTGGACAAACAGTGGTGAGTAAAGCCTTCATTGAAGAACACTCTAAAAATCCCGCCTACCTTGACTTGCTCAAAGTTTGCGATGGCACGATCCAAAACCCACGCGTTGTTCTCTAGGCAATCCACGGCGTACTTGGCATTTAGACCCGTCCGCTCGCAGATCTGCATGATCAGATTACGCTGTGGCTCAGACTAACCAAGTCAATGGTGCGGAGATGAAGACGTAAGTAAAATTACATGGACCACGGAAGCGAATACTTACAAAAGTCGATATAGTATGTTCTAGCTGCACCCGCGCACTGGCGGGGATCAATGAAGATGATGATGCAATAGACCCTGTCGGTTGCCCAGTCGGTTGCATCGGCATAGCATCCCCAGCTTGCACACGCATCGGTCCTGGATGCCATGCATCGTGGGTTGAGTATGCTCGCACAGACCACTGGTCTGATAGGACCATAACGTCCCAGCCATTTAATTTAGCCCTGTCAGATTGGTCATTGCGTCAATGGCAAATGCCGAGCGCGCACGATGAAAAGGCGGCTTACCGAGAACCTGGGGGCGCTGGAGCTAGGACGAACGCCCTGTCGAATGACCGAATGCCATGCGAAGGCTCTGCGAGAAAGGAAAAAGTCAGTTGTGAACACAATGACGTGGGATCGAGGAAGAAGGAATTCGAAGACGCGAAGGTCGCTGCATCGCAACCAAAGCAATAGATCACCTGACAGCATAGGCAGGGCAGCCAAAAACTTCCGCGTGGATCGCGGGTGCTTACCTTCTATGAATTGCCCATGCAGGGAAATGAACAGTTTTAAGTTCTCGCCCTGACCCACAGGCCATGCATCGATGCAGAACTTCTCTGGTGAACCAGATACATCATGTTTCGTTTTTGGTAATGTCGACATTGCCCGAATAGCCTCTTCGCTACCTAGGTGGAGGCTGTTAATGACTTTGTCAACGCCGCCTCCCATGCGATTAAGATTTCGGGAGCCATTATTGAGCCAGAGACCCCAATCAAGCTTGCGCTGATTAGGCATGTCTTTAGATACGTGAAGGCCCTGTATACGTGCACGAGACGGAATGGCTGTATTACATGAGAACGAGAAAGTCGCTGAAGGGTGATATGCATCGAGAAGGGCAGCTCGTTGATCATCAAACAATGGGAAAAACCTGACGATAACGTTTTGTAAGCAAAAAAAATACAAGATATAAGATAAGATGACGCACCGAACAAGGAAATTGCTGACAATCGAGTCTTCAACACCCGTGATAAATGATGGGCGCATTTCGAATGGAAATGTAGTTGCAGTAGCTCGTTTTTCTGTTACAGGCGTAGACGAAGGCCCGGGAGCGTCGAATGCTATAGTAGCAATGGCCTCCTGATCCAGCATTATTAACGACGTGAAACGCCGTGCCATGTCACTGAATGTCGTTAATTAAATGACCCTGATAGCCTCTTTGTCAACGTACCTCTTGTACTTATCTCCCCTTCCATTCTGAATCTCCAGGTCTCTCAACGGATTCCCGAGGAGTATGAGTTCTCGCAAATGCTCGAGCTTCCCTTTACGTCCAGAGATAAAATCGATATCTCGCCAAACCTTGAGGTTGTTATTTTGCAGTGACAAATTGGCGAGCTTAGGAAGATAGTGCGCTAGCGTTGAGAGGAGCTGACCGGAGCTGATGTTGTTATTTGCGAGAGACAGTGTTTGGACCTATCGGTCAAAGTATGAAATACCAACCAAGTCTAGAAATAAAAGTTGGACTTACAGCAGGTCTCAGGTGCGAGGCTAACTTGAATAAAACCGAGGCCTCCCGTACTGAGGAAGCAGGGGCACCTGGCGGCAACAAGTTGTGTTTCTGAATCTCTGGATCGTCCATCATACTCTGTCCATGACATCAACCACTGAGATTCAAAGGCTAGATAGGTGTCTACTTACCTCTAGATTCAAAAACCTCGATTCGGGATTCCACCGTCTGTTCACGAAATCTTTCCACACTTCTACTGCTTTCATTGGTGCGTGCGCCTTGTTAGGTGCTACACCTGCAACTGCCGCCGTGATGGCGTTCCTGCGAAGCCGCCCCACCGTCGAAGCGCCGCGGATCGTGAGAACATCTGACGCGCTGCCTGGTTGTGTCCGTGCTGCGAGCTGTCCATGAGCAAGCGGCGGTGGGTGCCAGACATTTGTAAGCAAGAGTTTTACACAAAAAGGAGACGAAGAGCGGATATAGATAGATAGACGGACAATAGGAAAGGCAAGGGGTGATATACGACGACGATAGATACAGCGACGTACAGAAATCCCAAGTCATGGACGTGGAAAACATTCAAAGAGAGATCAACTAAGCTAATAAATGCGAACAGGGAAAAGGTCTCATATTTACCATGCTAGCTCGACTAGGGCCGTGAGGCTCCTTGTAGGCATCAATCGGACGTGTGCGGTGTGTACGGATCTTGGAGGGGCCCTTGCGACCGCCAGGTTTGTCCACTGTAGCGTCTCGCATGCGTGTGTCGCTATCGATGAGGCCAGCGCCCTTGAGCGTGGTGATTGCGAGCGTACGGCTCGATGTCGGACTTGAGAACATTATCACCTTTGACGAATTATTGCTTGTATGAAGTTGTCTGTGCAAGTGCTGGCACTGGGGATGACGGTGGTGGTGGTGGTGGTGATGGTTCAGGAGTAAGAGGCGGCGGCTGAACTCTGCTGTGGCCGGTTGAATCAAAAACGGAGGTAGTAAGCGCTTCCGACAAAGAGGTCACAAGCTGACTCAGCACCCGTGGGTGTTGGAATCAGTTGAACAATGACTCCACTACGTCCAGGTTCTCAAACCTTACACGATAAACTTTAGCTCTGATCATTTCCCTGTCTTTACAGCTTGAGGGTTCCGCCTGATAGTTTCTTCCTGCTATCATAACACAGGATGCTTGACCAACTATCCTTTCCTGGACCCATGGGACTGCATCGTGCACGGGAAACAGTCTACGCTGAAGGGTTTCATCAATTCTTTTGCACGTTCTGCTCATATTTTGCAAGTCGCGTTGAATCAACATATTCCTGCCGCTTATTTCAAATGGTATCGCGGCGGCTGGACTGGCTTCTGTGCGATCAATGTACACAAACGGGTTGAAGGTGCTGGGATTTATATGGAAACGACCGGCAGTATATTGACTGGCATGGCCACAAATACCACGATGTTTGCTGTATGGGCCAGTGAACTTGCCACCGTCCACTTTCCCGTGATAAAGCATCCGTTGATCAACTTCTTGCGGAACGGGGTTTGTTCTACGAGGAATTCCAATGCATCAATAATACAGGAATGTATGAAACGCGTCAACCACCCCCCAATGGATGCCATACCTTGTAGCAAATTAAGGTTGCTGTGTTATGTCGCTTGTCCCTGTTCAATCGCCGCTCAGGGTGGTTCCTCAGGTGCCCCGGCGATTATGTTCAATCGGGGTGCATCATCCTTCCATCCGTCACCATTGAGTCCTTCAATTTCAATTGCGTGCGGACGCAATCAGCTAGTCGTCCATGGGCCCCGATGCTCGATAATGTTTCGCTCCTAATCAGTGGATACTTGGCGTCTAGTTCTGCGACATTTCTGGTTTACCCTTCCTAGCTACTACCCGTCGTCATCGTCACGGGGTAACTACGGAACAGGATGCGAGGTAAAGCTTACAGGCGTCATGACACACTTCTTGAGCGGCCCCGCAGAGCTTTTGCCTCTATCTATTACTAACTGTTTTTCTCACTGATTCCATATTGCCTTTAAATTAATAACCGCAGGCCAACGTCAAACAGCGGAAATGACATGTACAAGCCACCAGAACTCCCTGCATAAACTCATTTTCACGACATAGGAGATCGGCCTAAGGCCAGATATGTTTACCGCTTTGAACGGACTAAGGCTGGCGGTGCGTGGCCTTGCGATTACTATCTGCGTTCCTACGTCTGCCAATTGCGGCTCGGCCTTCTGGCACGAAGTATATAACCTCTAACTCTCAGTTCAATGAAGTCCTCTCATTAGCCAGTGATTGATTCTCTTCTCATTCAACACGATGATGGCGCTAGATCATTATCTACCAGCGCAAGGCCACCTGTTTGATATTCCGACTGTCGGTCTTCTTTCCTGATCGTCATGGTTCCTGTAGCTGATCTTGATCTGACGTTTTACAGGACCACAATGATCCCACCGTACACTCAAGCCTTGACCACGCCTTCTGTCTATGGGACATCGGCGGCATTCCATGTGGCGCGTACATCAGCGTCTTTGATCTTTCAAAACACATGCGCATGCATGGAGTGAAGGGGCCTGGGGATTTGGAAATCCAGTGCGCATGGGATGGCTGCACAAGAGCCCCCATGAAGCGGGAGAGCGTTGTTCGTCACATCGAGGAAGTGCATGTCCAAGTCAAATACACATGCAACCAATGCTGGGCTTCTTTCTCTCGTAAAAATACGCTTAAATCTCATATCTCAAAGGCTCATTCACATGCATCCTAGCACGTTTTCCTGGTTCTTTGCGCATTTGTTTCTGTAAATATCTACTACACCTTACACCCTCGCTCTGGATATACTACCAGTTCCGTTAATCTAATATATTCTATCTGGCCTAGGATCGTGCTCAACTGCTCGCGCGGCATCCTATTTCATAATGTCAGTGTGCCTGCTAATCGATGCGATGCTATGCATATCAAGCGCTGAAGCTTAAGGGTCCCCCCGTGAGATCGAACTTGCGTTCTAGCGTCCTAATTAGGTTCTGGAGGCTCTACTATTCAGCTAAATATCTTTGGAGGAGTTTGTGTGTGTTCAGTATGACTGACCAAGCCCCTGCCTGAGTGGGATTAAAGCAGAGGATTGACATCTCGGGCATGGCTTCGAACTTATCCGAAGACAGACACACTCCTCACAACAAAGCTCATCCTCAATATTAATTCAGGATGGTGGAGTTTATCGATCGGAAGTCCGAGGCCATTGACACGTTAGGGCAGGCTGTAGATACATATTAAAACCCTCAGGCCAGTTAATACATGTAACGGTCAACATGGAAGCAAATGTACTCTACCAGTGTGGTTTGACATATTTTCTTTTTTTTTTTTAAAAAAAAAAAATCAAGTTTATGGTCAAACAACTATGTTGGAAATAGCCCTAATCGCAGCCCCCGCCCGTATGTACCAAGTATAATGTGACATATTGCTTGCATATGACTCGCAATACCAAGTCCGCGATCCCTGCGCGGTTGTAACAAAGTGTTTTACGATAAATCTGGACAGGTGAATACAGGGCCTGCAAAGAGCACAACATGTCGACCGACCATATACGCGATATCTACACGTAGAAAACTAGTGTCTGCACTGAACTGCATCGGTATCAAAAAGTAAGATAGCAAATTATCGAGCAAAAGACTCCCGGCCATGCGCTAAAATCAGTAACATCGTGCCAATTAACCCTCTCGGCGCCCTCCGTTCGGCTGGTACATGAACTGATGTGTCGATCCTGAAGATGCAGGTTTCATCACAGGTGCTGGTCGTGTGCGGTAGTAATTTCCGCTTCCCGGACGATCTGTCGGATTCGTCGAGGTGGATATGACAGGTGAGGTTGTGGCAGCAACTGTCGGCATTGGATATGGAAGAGTACGTGTTGGCGGTGGTTGATGTAGTAGTGGCTGCTGCTGCGTTTGTGCATGACGAATTGCTGGAGAAGGTTGCGTGGACCCTGGTGCTGGTGTTGAAGGTGTTGGAGAAGCAGATGTTCCTTGTACGGGTTGAGAAGCAGGCGTGGGAACGGGATTCGGGACTGTCTGATGGGGGGTATCTGTAGTCGTTGGTATCGGAGCTGTAGGTGGAGGGCGCTCAAGTTGGCCATCCGTCTCCCGTTTTCGTTTGGTTCCTCGCGACGAGGACTCTTTCAACCCCAGTGAGGTTGCTTTTATCAATATTTGGTGTCTATCAAGTCAAGTGATAAGCCCCGCTGAAAAAACCGATATGCCATATGGAAAAATCTACCTCGTACGAGAGTTACCCCATTTTTCGCATAGGGCATCCCATATAATTTCCCCGCTACCGTTGCGGTGCTCCTCAGCAAGCTTCTTTAGCCTTTCCGTTTCTTCTTCGGACCAGGCACCTTGGTTTCCGCCGCTTCCCGCAGCACCTCCCGTGCTTCCACTCACAGAGCCTGTCGCAGGTGCTGGGCTTGGCCCAGGTGCAGGTACAGGAGGATAGTAACCCCCATATCCGCCATAGCCATAGTATGGTGCAGTGGGGTATGCTGGAGCGCCGTATTGGTATGCTTGCTGATGACCCAGGGAAACAACAAATGATTGCGGATCCGAAATTACCGGTGCTGTTGTGACAGGGGATTTGCCGTTTGTAGAAGATGCAGATGGCCCAGGTTGGGGTTGAGGTTGGGGTGGTGGTGGTGGTGGTGGCGGCGGGATGGGGGCTGCGTAACCAGGTACAAAGTATGGTGCAGGTGGTGGGTGCGTAGTTAGTCGTGAGGGAGATGCCAACTTTGAGAAATAAGGACGAGGCACACTTTATAACCAAAATTATGTGACTCACAAGGGTATCGCATATTCTTTTCGCTTCACCGAGCATGGCCAATGGATCTACTTTCACGCTAGGGCCCATCTGGTAACATTGCGCAATAACAAGGGAGGGTGTAGCTTTCTGGACGAAGTTATTTCAACACCTCAAAATCACGCAGCAGATGCTTACAACAAGCTCTTCAGCTGCTCCATAGAATTCTGCACACAAGTTCAGCACACGCCACTGGAACTCATAGTATTGTTGATTATGTGGTTGTATCTCTCCTGGAGTAGGAGAAGCGGTATATTGGTAGAACCCGTGCTGCGGCGGGGACGCTTTTGGGGCAGCATTAGCCTGCTCCTTCAAGTCAGTAGCTGACGTCCGTGACCGTCTGTTTTTTGATCCACGGGGCCGACCAGGACGCCTTTTCCGTTCTGAGTCTTGTGGCGGGTCGGGTTGTGCTGTACCTGCGCGCTTTCCAGCTGCATTTGTACTTGATTGATGTTGTGTAGATCTGGACATGACGAGCACATACAATATGAGTATTTACGAATGCTTGCAATCAGACGCGTGTCACGCACCCAACGCCAACCTCATGATCGTCGTCTTCACGATCAAGCTGTTCTTCGACGGCGCCCTCGTCTTCATTCTCTTCCTCTTCTTCCTCCTCCTCGTATGTAGGCACTACGGGAGGATGAAGTGCATGGGAAAGCGGTTGGTAGTGCTGTGGATTGTCCATGCACACGCTCCGGGTATGTGATACAGGGATAGATAGGAATAAAGAATAGCAAAGTTTCGCCTGTTAATTTTTTTTTGAATATCTCGGGGTGGTTGTAATCCTGTCTGGCGTTGGGGTTATGTCGTCGCCGTGTGAATAAATCAGCAAATTACTCCCATGTATGCGTTTATTTGGCGCAGGTTTATCTCTCTCTGCCGTGACGGCACAGCCAAAGTCAAAGGTCCTATAAGCTCTCCGTCGTCAGTATTTCACGACTAATCATCCAATTCCAAAGGCCCCGATACTGGGGTCCAATTCCAAACCCCACATGTTGCACGTTTCAGGTCTGGGTGCCAGCGCCAGCGTGTCATCATCTTATTTTGTAGTATATGCGAAAACTCGAAATATCAATTCTGGACTTCTGGACTTACTACATCATATCCTCCGTACAAAGTGCGGACACACCTGGAACATCACACGGTCACCAAAAATAACCGGAGCGCTGGAGGGCTTTCTAAAAATTATTCCTCGAAACATATTGCATTATTGAACGAATCAGTGCGCCAAAAGGCGTGATGGTCCCCAGCGACAAATCATTCCAACAAGACTGTGAGTGTGTCCATCCGACAGTATCAGATTATGAATGTTTTTCCTGCGGCGATAGCACATAATGGGTCAGCTGCGACTGCGCTGTACTAAGAGCGCCCGAGGCGCAAAAGCGCGGAGGAATACTGGACACAACTCTGGCGTCGATCAACGCGGAAACCATTACTTTTTTCAGACATCTCGCATGATGTGACCGCGAAAGTGAGGTGCAGCAATCAGCAGTTGACCACCTATCATAACCCTTGGTCTCTTCGGCGGCGTACAAGCCTCCACCATACTTACTGTCATCACGGTGGTTTCTATTCTTGGGATGTCGCCTACTCGTAGACATCCTATCACTCCACTCTCGAAGATCGATCGCTGTTTTGAATTTCGTCAATCCAATGAACTCGTTTCTGGTTAATGCAACGCCTCTTTGTGTCATGACTTATGACCATAACAGATCAAGAGTTTCCTTTGCGGCCTGCGCTCAATGGCATCAAGTTAAAAGCTCGTGGCTAGCCTGATCTGTGTTGCCATGGACATATCGAGATTGACTACGTCAACATTCTTCTCCTTCCAAGACGTAGCCGGACTGATTGCGAGCCTAATCAAGTCTTTCAACATCATCTCGCGCGCGTAGCTCCTTATCACACCACTTGTACCTAGGAATAACGCCTAAGACTCCTGCACGAGTTCACTATCATTCTTATGGCCTCTCCACTTTGGACTGTTAACTGATATGTCAGAACGAGGGGTGACCAGGCAAATATATTCTTACATTCCATCGCACACTTCCATGATGTGCTGATCGTAGAAAATATGGCAACTAGGTTGAAAGTCAAAAGGGACTCCACCATAGTGACATGGAGGATGGATATCTTCGTGTTGCGGATCTCGGAGCCCTTCGCCTGTTTTCACCGCCTGGCCATCTTTTGGGTCAGCAGCATTCAAGCGGGCTTGAATGAGGGGGAATTTGAAGCCACTTGTGTATGCAAGCACCGTGTGCTTCCCCTCGTCGAAAAGTGGCGCCCGACAGATCTCACAGGAGACTTTGCACGGGACATGATGACTAGCTCCTTTCGTCGTAGAGAAGCAGTGGAGAGTATAGCTGTTGTTCTCCAGAATCCGGACACTGGTCTTTGGAAAGATGACCGCCCATTGGAAGGGGGCACCGTGCAACTGTTGGCATTGTCTGCAGTGGCAGTACTTCGCATCGACTGGGTCGCCCGCAAAAGCAAAACGTACCGCACCGCACTAGCAGGACGATTCGTATTTTGTCTTGAAGAGCTCCTCGCCTTCTGCACTACGCGCTGGCGACCAATTGTATGGTGGCTTTGATATCCAATCTTTCTCAGAATCACCGCCATCAGATGAGGGGATAGGGGGAGAACCGCGCCAGCCAGTATCGGGAATGGACTTGCCAGGCGAGCGGTCAGCTCGTTGGACATGACCTTCAGGCGAAGGACGATGGAAGCAAGAATGAGGCTGAGCCTTTGTTTGTGATTCTGGATGAACATTAATTGTGAGCGGCATCGTAGTTGTTGACATCTTGCTTAGTCTCACTTTAAGGTTTCAAATCTTCCGAAGTGATGTCACCTAAATTTGCTTCCGTTTAGTGACATAGAGAAACTTGTTGACGTCATCAGCAGGCTTAGCAAGTCTGTTCAAGTTAGTTTCCCTCTTCAACAATTCAGAATTAAACATCCCACCGTCGAAATGCAATGCTCACACATAGTACACATCGCAGTGGGCGCTTATGCGCTACGACCAGGCTCGGCCTGCGTCTTCGTTCCTAAAGCTGAAGACAGGTTTTGCGATCTCTGGTGCTGCGGGAATTTATTGCCAACACCTCTTGTATCCATTTATAGCTGCTATGCTTTACTTTGAGGCAGGTCCTCCTCAGCGCTGCCCTCATTGTACGTCAGTTGAGCCTCGAGAGCTTTTTGGCCTAGAGAGCAATAAAGCGGATGGCGATTCAACGTTTCGATGAAATCAAGGAGGACAAAGTCAAGTTTAACGGCGCATGTATGGCGCAAGGCACCTGGATATTTGTCGTTGGATTGCCCATTTATTCCCCTCACTTTGATTGCAGGCTGTTCTGCACCCGAAGTCGTAGGGGGCAGGCAGAATCCTAGGTGAAATCGCGAAAAATAAGAAAATAAACACGAAGACTTTCCCAAGGGAGTATGGAGCTGGAATCGTCATCCAGAGTACGCCGTTCGATATCCTCCTGCTACGAATTTATGTTGTGTGTAGCTATGCGCGTGAACTCGGCATCTGGGACTGGAATCTTCAGTCTCGCCGGATTCTCTGGTGCACTACCTGTCTCTGCAGCAGTTGCGACCACCGCAAGCCCTCTTTTAACCTATGTTCTATTTCGACATGTAAGTTGAAATTGAATTGTCTGACCAGCATAATTGATCGTATCACGAATTTGAAATTACTTTGCAGGTGTCAGGAGTTCCTCATCTGTGACAATAAGAAATGGCAGGAGTACGAGAGAGTACGAGAGGCCCGGGTGAGTTTTCGAATATGGACCTTCGCCTTTTATATTGCGACGGAAAGTCTTGCCTGCGGATAGTCCATTGGCGACGGGGAGCATACCGTTGGCGTCGGGGACATATTGTTATCCGTTGGCATTGGAGAATCTGGTTCATTATAGGATTTCCTTTTGCTTTTCGGTGCATTCATTTTCCTGCCGTTGGAATCGAATATGTGACTGCCGATCCCAAATTTTCGCTCCCGTTGGGACGTGTGGCTGGCAACCTGTCGGTTCCGAGAATCCGGTCCCGTTGAGTTGTGCTGGTGTATCGAAGCACTCTGGTCTTCCAAAGTCGTACTGTCAGGGGGCAAGTAACTGAATCGACCTGCCTACAAGCTGAGAAGTCATTGTGCTGTCGATTACAAGTCTTTCCAGCACTCGCGGCAAATGTAATAAGCTGTTCACTCCCCAAGTGGACTATCGGTGCCAGGAAGGATTAATTACCTTGAAGCGGCACCCATAGAGTTCAAATCCTCGTTTTCGCGTCCGTTGGGTATAGCTGTTTGTTCGCCGTCGGTGCTTCCAGAAGAGACGGTCCTCATTCCTACCATCACATCCGTCGGATGTGTATTGCAATTTGCAAACGGTGGGTGCTTCATCCTAGAACAAATCGTGTCTTCTGCCCACGTGACACGTGACTTTATGCCGGATCTCCAACAAATACTATCCCTTACGCTCTATTCGTGACGGTCCACAATTTCGTGATTTTTGTCTGCAGCACTCAACTTCAATGTAATTACTTAGCTACTTCACTCAGTATATTCTATATACTATATACTAGCATATTCCAAGTGGAACGAAACAAATCTGTTGAGAAATGGTGGAGATCATGTTTTCAGCGTGACAGCAGCCAAAATCACGATTTCAGTGTCACCTGCCGAGGCTGCCGACGTCGGACATTGAATTTAACAGCGTGTTTCATTGCAGCTGCAATCCGTGAGCGCGTGAGCAAGTAGCGAGCGCTGAGCTGGGCTCAATCGCTATGCCATGGGACGTCACCGAGGCAAGCTGGCGGCGTCTACTGACCCCGAGTACGAGTCCAGGATCCAGGCTGCACTCATGGGTGTCACAAATGGCACTTACAAGAATATTACAGTAGCTGCAAGGGCACAAAAGGTATGATTGTGTATTTTTCGAGTTCCTGCAGTGCTAATTTTATTGTACAGGTCGCACGGCAGACTCTTAACGACCGGAGCAAGGGTCTACATATGTCTCGCAGAGATTTTGCCAAGTCACAGCAACTCCTCCAGCCATCGGAAGAGGAAGCTGTCAAGGACTGGCTGGCTCATGAATCTGGTGCCGCACGCCCTGTGCACCCTCGTGATTTACGTGCCCGGGTCAACGAGATTAGTGGAAGGGTTCCCGGAAAGCATTGGCATCGTCGTTACCTCGCTCGTCCCAAGAAGTCTATTTCTACTCACAAGCCACGGAATCTTGACCCGAAACGTGCTCAGAACTTCAACAAAACAACTGTTGATGGATACTTCACGCTTCGGATCGACCTCGATAAGAAATATAATGGTATTCCCGCAGCGCATAATTGGAATATGGATGAGAAGGGCAATCAGATGGGAGGTGGTCGGAATGGTGATGGGTCAAAATTTATTTTTGCAACCAAGGACCGTGATTTCTACCGTCAACATAGCGATAATCTAGAACTTGTGACGATTTTGGAATGTGCAAATGCAGCTGGTGCAACAATGTCACCGTACAGACAGTCCTGCAATGGCCTCGGGGAGCTCACTCATCACACGCTCAATTTCGACTGGATTGCAATTTGAATTTGGACCCGCAAGTCTTCCCGCAGTCCTGTCGTATGATGACGTGATGAACAGTGATCGTGAAGACTTATGGAGGAGCATCCAGTTCCTCTACGGTCAGAACAAATCATTGTTCGAGATGTATTCAATGCAGAGTGCACGACTCGCTGCCGCTCACTGCACTCTCGCAAGCCATCAAATTTCAATGCTGAACCAACGGCTGGCGAATAAGACCCAGAAGAAGCGTCAGAAGTCGAAGAAAATTAACGCCCGTTTCGTCACGCACCCAGAGCTCAGAGAAGCATTCGAGGCTGAAGAAATCGAGCGCATTGAGAAGGAAAAGGTTGAGGCAGAGAAAGCTGCCCAGAAAAAAGCCGAAAATGATGTTCGGCTCTTGCGCATTGAGGAAGACATCAAAACGAAGGTATTTGACGGCTCACTATCATCATACAAGCGCAAGGACGACCTCGTCACCATTGCCGGCGCTCTTTCACTATCCAGGGACGGGACAATGATTGAACTGACTGCACGAATCAAAGAACATCTTGCAGAAAATCCTGACTGTGCCAGTCAACCAAGGTTCGCGGGACTTCTCGGTGGCAAACGAACGAGCGCTGCCACAGTGTCGGCAGCTTCAACTTCGAGGCGACAACAGAATTTGCCGCCAGAACTTTCCACAACCCCCAGTTCCTTCCAGCCTGGGCACTTGCCAGTGTTGCCACCACCACATTCCACACATCCGTCTTTTTACACTGGTTTCAGTGTCCCTGCACCACATCCACCATATTTTTTTGCTCAACCCGCGCATCCGAGTCCGAGTCACGGACTTCATAATCCATCTACTAGTATGCATCAATACCCACATCCACATACATTCCCTCAGCAATATTTTACACATCATTAATGATTGCATTTAGTTCTATATAATTTTTCGGTACATACTGTAGCTCACAGACTTATAAGTAGCGTCCTAATCAATCACTGTTGAAGTTCACGAATCCCGAATCACGAATCACGAAGATTCTAACGTCTGCTGAGCGGACTGTAGATTCGGCCAGTGTGACTGTCCGTTACTATTCGTGACCTGAGTGTGACTCACGAAATTGTGGACCGTCACGAATAGAGCGTAAGGGATAGTAAAATATTCATTCCGAAATCTAATCGTGTCATTCACCCCCAACCCTAGTACTGACGGGATCTCTGTTCCCTCAGAGCCTTGCCAGTCCTGGGAAGGGTATGAGTAGAATGTGCGATGAAGGTTTCTGAGATTATGATGTCATTCGCTGCTCACGCACGTTTCTTATCTTGACAGTCACGGAGATTTTCCTAGTTTCTTGGTACTAGCATCAATGGTTATTTCAGTATTCTTGAAAATAGATCATTTAGCATTTGTTTGGCAGAAGCAGATACTAGTACATTAGATAGCAGACACCAGTGTGGAAGTTGCGTACAGGTTCCAAAGACAGTCACCAACTATGGCCTACAAACCATTAATCCCTCCTCGTACAGACCCACCATGTACAGTGAGCCAGTCCTCGAATCCCTCAGCGTCGTGCAGGATGTTCCAAATACACTTCCATCGCTCTGGAACAGTGTTTCTACCTCCCATCTTTCACTAGCGGGGACAATTTCTGATACCGACAATGGCGCACGTAAATCATATTTCCTATCCGCCGCATGTGCGCTCTTCGCAAAATGGGTTTTTTTTGAAATAGGAGTGAGCGAGACGGCCCAACTTGGTGCGCGCGCATCTGTTTTATTGGCAGCGACGGCAATGAGAGACGGGAAATGTGGATGCCCCGTAACGATCAGGGTGCCCTCCTCGTCAAACATGATGTTGTCGTTGAAGAAGGGGAGGTTAACGGTCTCCCGGTATTTGAGTGCATTTGTAGCTACGTCGCGGTCGTAGAAGTAGACTTGACCGAGAGAAGTAGAAGACAGTGCGAGAGTCGTGCCGTCTGGGGAGATGGCGACGCCATTGGCAAAGGCCACACCGAGAGCGGCTATTTCGTGCGTGACTGTGCCATCAGGATTAACTGTGACATGTGCAAGCCAGCCTAGGGGCAGTGCAGCAACACTCTCAATCAGCGGCAGGGCAGGTGCAAGGGGGAAAGGAAGTCGACGAGTCATGAGATGGTCATTACTGACATAGAATGACGTCTCGTTGGTGATGGCCAATGCATTAGGAGACACAAACCAAGGCGATGAAAGTGTGCGTTGCCAGAGTGCATGAGTTGGGGTATCTGGTGAAATGGTAAAGTGCTCGATCGTTGTCTCTTCGCGTGCGTGATTGACTACATAAAGAACAGATGGGGCCCCATCCTGAGAGGGCGTGATCTCTAGCCCGAGTGGGTGGAAGTCATGTCCTTCCGGGTATTCATCCAACTCAATACGCTGCAAGCTATTGTCCACTGTATCAACCAGCCAAAGGTAGGCCCTTGGTTCGGGATTGCGCAGGGGGCCCATGACCGTGTTCCATGCCTTGCGGTTGGGGTCACACCCCGCAATAACAAAACGGGCAGTCACAGCGCCCTCTGCATCCAGGTGGTCCCAAAAGGTCATATCTTCACAGTAATCAAGGGTATGGGCTGGCTCCTGAAGAATTGTGCAGTGTGTCTGGACATCGCCATTTACATAGTATGACGGGGGTAGTGCATGAAGAGTGAAGATGCCATGTTTAACGAGACGACCACTCCGATAGATGAATGTTGCCTGTACTAGAAAATGAGACACGACCTCATTGCCTGATTTGAATACATACTAATAGTACAGCAATGAGTGCAAGTACTCGGGAGAGCATGACTAGCGTTTAGACTGAACCGAACTTGAACATGCTTCAAGATCTGCATGCTCGCCAGAACTAGTTTAGTAGACTTACCTATATGTAAGATAGAGCAAGTGAGTTGTCCGGCGGCGGCGCACGCGCAACAGCGAAGTACAGAATAATGGGGAAGAGAACAACAACTTGCTACGGCAGTCAGTGCCACGGCGGTGACGTTATACTGGCCCACTAGTCAGAGTTCAATCAAGTTCAATTCAATTATTGACCCCATGCCTAGTCGGAAGTAAAAAACTACCGATGAGGCCTGGCCTTCATATATACACGTGTTTGTGTTGAGCTTTTTTTTTCCACCAGATGACATCTCCATCTGAGTCTCGGTCAGGCCAACCCAGATGGAAATGACGCGGCGTTGATGCGACAGCGGCAGCACTCACCACGTACGGATCGGCCGTAATATTGTCGCTCACAAACACAAATTCAAAGTATGTTGCGTCGATTCATGTTTTAGGTTGAATTTCTCCCTCATCTGCGCATTCTCAGAGGATTCGTTTTCTCGCCCAGACCTCCAGAACAGATTTCGTTTACAAGCATGAGCTTGACAGCATGCCCTGAGCTTCATCTTACCGTAAAATTTCGCATCTGGGATGCTCCTAGCCGACTGTACCGAGCTCGATCGGAAACTTTAGTAACAGGCTGGTGTGCCGCGGCGTGCGCAGTCATAACTCATATGCCGTGATTCAAATCACTTTGGGAGATGTCCACTTTGGCCTACCGCGACAGGCGATCGAACTATAGCAATGATTCGCTACAATGCAAGCCCTGGAAGAACTCGATGTTCCAAAGTCTGTCATGTCTTCATCTCACTTGCCTTTTCCCATTTTTTGGCCCACTGTTTTATTTGCATCACATATTGTAAGTTGGTGCGCATCCTGCGCCTTTGGTCCGAGACGTGTTTCGTGCTCTGCAGACACGCAGGATTTACGGCAATTCACCTTTGTATGTTGCGACAACTGTACTCCGAATCATCGCACGCGCTTATCAATCAGGTACTCGTAACTTATAAGTACACCTCCGCGGACGCGAAACTACTACTACTACTACTACTAGTAGGTTACCATCTAGTACAAAACAACATATGACGTTTCTGTATCTTAGGTACGAAATGTCAACTCCATCGCATAATGTGACTCTTTCTGATCATCTTAGATTTATCTCCAGAACCACTCGATCAATATCGTCCAGACATGGTGACCCTTGCATTGACAGTGCCCTTTTTTGAGCCCGATCCTTGTTTATCGGGAGAAGCGTCCTTTCTAATAGCGTTTCACCTCTCTAGGTGTGCACCCTGAAATGGTCGATGCGTAACACATATAGCGCTGAGCTTATTTTCCACTGGGAACCTTCGCCGCACTAGACAATTCAAGAGATCTATGGAACGTAATATCAAGGAATGGTTCGTAACCGAGAGTCAGGAGTTTACCATTGGCTAATTAGTATTCGCGGATAGCCCTAGTGTGAGAACATGGGTGTAATGACCTCGCAGATTTCCGTACGTCTTCTCTTATATCAATCAGTTAGAGAGTGATGTTCGATTCGTCGGGATAAATTTTATGAGTTCTTCGTGGCAAGCGACTCAAACTGACGCACTCCCAGGCTTAAATGTGAGTGCAAGTCCTGCTATCGAATCCAGATCACTGATTGGCCCTTATCCCAGTACATTTATGGTGCAGTCGTTTTCCATGATCAGTCTTTCAACTTGAACGGTTGATTCCTTCTCCCGATAGTTGCACTGATCACGCTTTGGGTGAGCTATCCTAGCAGAAGTTACCCCAGTATCGGCAGAAACTCATGTTTATTTGAATATCGAGGTATATGACTACATACTGTGCCTGCCCGATTCAGTACGTATAAATTTACTTGAGCGTCCGAGTGCTCTGATATGTAGTCGGTGCAGGTCAATTTTCTCGCCGACTCCCGATGGGGGCTCAGCACATTTCTTTATCTAACTTGCAGCCACTTGCCACTTGTCTTCATGTCACTGAATATGCTCGGTAAGTGTCCAGTACACATTCTCATTTTTACCTCCCTCATAACGTGATATCTTTCACGATTACTTTCAGTGGTTTTTCAGCCTGGTATCCCACTCCACGTATGTGCAACCCAGTCGAAGCGTCGCAGACGTTGGAATTCAACTCATCCCAATCATAGCTTTGCCGCTCTTATAATATCGCTAATACCTGTCAGTTTGGTAGTACTTCGCCGGACACTGCGTACTGACACCATGTTCAATCTTTCATCAGATGCAGGGATAGTGATATTGACTTGTGCTGAGTGTGCGTCCAGCAACCGTGCTACTACCAGCAGAGATTCTGGGCTCTAACATTTGCACTGATTCAGGCATCTTCGTGGTCAGAGCATATGCAGTATGGGAACGGGGGAGATGGTTCGCGGCGCTGGAGACTTCTACAGTTATTGTGAGGCAATATATGGAGGCTGTGACCAACTCCAGATGACGATATCTGATTCATCTTTTGCAGGCCTATGTAGTGCTGGTTACTATCAGCCTGCAACAATTTAATTCGAGAGTCGCAGGTGTGTAGAGATTCGGGTTCGACTATTTGCCTGCGTGGTTCCTTACCTCTAACATACAGAACCATGCTGGATACCTGGCATTAGTGGATATCTGGATAGGGAAACAAGCACCAGAATATATATAGCGTTTGGCTTGGTAGCTACGGGCCAGTCACGTACGTATTGGGAGCTACTGCTATCACGAGCTTGAACTGACTGCGTGCCCACATGCACATTATTTCAGAAACATTATTGCTTCTGTGGTATCGCGTCATCAAAGGTCTTGGTGGCTGGGGCATGGACAACCGACTTATGCGTGGTCTCATGAGAGATAATCTGGTGTACTGTAGCTGCGGCATTGGTTGGTGCTTACAGATGAACGAATACATCTCGCATATTTACTTGCTAATTGTTCCAGCTTTTTCTATCAGCGTCATTCTCACCACAATTTTTCTTCCAGTGAGTTAATGCATACATTCGAAGCCGCCCCACTAACAGAGACGTAGTTTCCAGTCGGACACATGGTTGCAGAGTTTGTCCATGCTCACTTTGGAGGAGGTGATGGTTACTCATTCGGCACAGGATTCAGGTTGTTGTTCAAGCTATGTTGGCCACGCGAATGCATAGGAACTTCTGGAGATCGGACCGTGCCTTTGGTGGCATTCCCACCGATATCTCGCTCACAACATGGATGATAGGAGGTCTTCATTTCACGTGACTGTTCACGATCGCACCTGACGCCGAAACGATGAAGAGAGAAATTTGCTTTGAAGCGCACCCGGCCATTACTTATGGATGTGACTATTGTGCAGGCTCTCATACGGACAAATGCCAAAGATGGACGGATGCAATATCTATAAACGAGTCGAGTCGAACACGTACTGCCACATGTAGCGTAGATGCTTTTATTATATCCAAGACTGCAATGCCTCATGATTCAATGTACCAGGTCTGACACGGTCATAGCGTAGTGGCTAGAGTCTTGACTCACAATTATGTAGTCCGCTGGTTGTAGTCCGTTGATACCGCACCCCGCCTTGGAGGTTTGGCCTTGGTTTCCCATGCAGTCTATGGACGGTTCACTAGTCATTGACCACTGATCTGGAAGAATGCAATGATATAGGAACTCCAGACATACGCCCGTTTGAAGATATTCGAGAGCGCCTCGCTCGATTTTGAGGATCTTCGCCAAGGGTCTCCGACGTTCTAATCCACGAGACAAGTTTTCATAGATGAAAGATAGTCCCTCGAGAAAGACTCATATATAAGATGATGAACGCTTCCAGTGAAAATCGACTCAAGCAAAAAAACAACTGAGGATGCGTGAGAAAAATACCCGAAGTCCCTTTTGCAATCTCATCACGCTTCTGAGTCGACGCAAGTGGTATATCATGTATACGAATGGGCGTACTACATGTACTTATACTTGTAGGACCTATAGAATCTAGACAGGGACTGTGATCATCTTCTAAGCTATCACATCATGGGTCAAATCCCTAAATGGTCCACTTGGCCAGTCCACTGCGGCTATGTAGCGCTCTGATTGTTTGCTGCACCACCCACATCTCTCAATAGAGACCTTTGCGGATCAAAAGATTCAACAATGGTTCCACAGTTCCGTCTGGTATATATTCAGCTCACCCGTTGTCATTCCAGTCTACCAGAGCCCCTTACTTCCTTCAAATCACTTAACTCACTATTTTTGATCGCGACATAGACTTGCATTGGTACGCACTTTTGCTTTTAGAACTGGTGCCAATCTAACATATGGCCTTGATAGCATCATGTGTAAATTTGTAGTTCCCATTCGTACTTGCTCGAAGTGCCACCAAAACGAGCCGCTTTTCAACGAGAAGGAAAGGCGGCTGTCGCATGTCATTGAAAAGAATGAGGTACCGCAGTCATCTATGCTCGGAAGTCATGGGACTCATTGCATTCCCGATAGCGAAAGCCAACATACATGACACCTCCCCAGGACTGCTATTCGCGGTGGTGTGTCTTCAGCAGTGAACACCCTGTTACTTGCCACTCCTGTTGGATCACTTGTAAACAAACGTCAGTGGCAAATTTTCTCTTGTTGTTTATAAAGAGCTTGATGTATTTCACGTTACTAGACATGGCAAAACACGCGAGATTCGGGGTGGCTCACCTTCGTATGTTTGCCACAACTGTGCCTCATGCCCTCGGCGGTGTTGTCCGAGGCAGCCGCTTCAGGACGTGGGCAATGGCATGCTTCGTCGACGGGAACTTGGTTGGTTTGCTGGGTCAACAAGATCCTCCGCCAAATAATATCCGGCGCATGGCGTTTGTATATACATTTGTTACCCACTGCGAAATAATAAATCCATTCATACGCCGTTGCTTTCAGACTAATTTTTACTCGGATCGGCGATTGACCACTTCAGATCATGACCTCAGCATGATCTAGCAAATCATTGCTTTGTACTGCGTTCGAGGCTTGCCTCTTAAATATTGTCGATGTGTCATGACTAGTATGGCACCTAGGTGCCCGGAAACGTCTGATACAGCCAACTGATGGGCACATGTATCTCTTCGGACTTGTGATCCTGAGCTTATAATCCACTATCTAGCACCAGGGTTGAAGAATACTGGTCAATTAAAGGCATACACATAATTAACACTACACCACTCGCAAGATGTACATGGTATGTCTTCTTGCATAGGTCCATACCTGAGCCATCGTGCATGGATTGCATACTTATACCATAGACTTGGAGCGATGACGACTCGCATAAACTAGTATGATCATGAGTGTAGTGGCAAGTGACTCAAACTGAGCCGCCCTCAGGCTTGAAGTTGCGGAATCACTGAATGATGGTGTGCTCTGAGGGCCAAAAATGAACGATAGACGGACAGACGTGAATGTGATCATCGTGTATATGATACTGCTGACTCGCTTTTCACCATCCCTGTTCATCACAAACGGCAGCAGGAGCTAGAAAGCTAACAAAGTTCTGCCATACCAACAGCTGCATTTAAAAACCACACGACAGATACCGTTGTGTACGATACACAAGGCGCTTCTCTGCGAAAAATCATCTCGAAACAGCGGAGGGTGAAGATATCAGAGGTATTCACGAACTCGCCGGAGACATTCAGGGCTCGGGCCAATTGAATCAGGTTTTCCAAGCCTCCCTGAGAGAAATGTTAGCGCAAGAGGCTCCCGCGGCACCAACCGTAACTGGATTAAGCGCAATACCCGCGATCGATGCCAATATTGGTTAGTACACACCGGCGTTACCGTCGAAAAACAACCAAGGAGAACTAAGAATGTAGGATGGCTGCAAAGGGTGGGGAGCAGACGATATGTTTTGATAAACATTACATGGATCAGGAATCTTGATCAAACTTCGAAAGGGATACTGACTGGTCGGACAGATGACCTTCTCGCGTTCAGGCTAATCTTCATAAATTCCCGGAAGCGAACAACGACATTAAAACAAAACGGCCTGAGACGCCTGATTGGCGCCCAGCGCAGAGGGCTGCAGATGGGCGTACAACTTTTGAAGGACCCGGAGAAATACATCATTCGATGTATTTAGTGCTCATGGAGGCAAGCTTCAAGTTGCACCAGAACTTGTAAAGACTCGAGCGGCCTTTACTAAATCCCTCAAATGGCAAACGTGAGTCTTACTTCCAGGCAGGGTGCGAGACGGTTCACGAAAGCGCGGACCCCATTAACTTGCCTTCGGCTATCTGCGCATGTATCCAATATCGCCAGCATACAATACTACCTACTCGACGTTTAACAATAGAAAAGATCTACCTAAGTCAACCGAAAACTCGGAGTTGGCTACAAAAAGGTAAATAAATGGACATTATGATGATCCATGATGGTAAAAAAAAATGTGTCGCAGGAGGGCAGACATACAGGATACAGGTGCTCAGATGACACCGGAAAACGAGAATTGATAATAAGGAAAACAGATAAGACAAGCAGATGTGTGTTCAGAATATATTTGGGATGAATGATCTGTATTCTCATCAGCAAAAAAGAACAAGAGTTAGATAGATAAACACTTACACTGCACTCATTCCAATCGCGAATGCCGCAACGCCCCATGCAAATGATTTTTGCCTTGGCTCCAGATGGAACCTTCCAATCCGCTTGTTTGTTGCAATTTGCCTTTCCTGCACTTCTGGTTCCTTAAACTGGAACCTAAATTCTGTACTCTCATCTTCATCATCCCTCGCGCGCTTTAATGTCTCGGTCTCCATCAATGGCGTATCTCTCTCCGCCTTTAACCGCTCAATCAATTCTTTCTGCTCGGCTATGTCCTGAGACATATTTGGGTGCGCAATTGCAATTGTCTCCGCCTCCTCTTCCACGACAGTCTCGTCAGACCCCCCTGGAGTAGTAACCTCAATGATCCTCACGACTCGAGCAGATGACTTGGGCTTGGGAGATTTGGTCGTCGGCGAGGTAGGTGCCGGTGAACGACGGACCGGCGAGCGAGGCGCTGGCGACTTGGGCTTGACGGGCGATTTGGCAGGCAAGGAGGCTGGGACAGGTGCTGGACTCTTTGTCCGCGCCGATCGGCGTGGAGGAGGCAAGGTGGAAGGCGCAGGATCTGCCACCGGTACGGGAGAAGCTTCCCGCCTGCGTTTGGGGGTCGGAAGTGTGATTGACGGAGCAGGAGTCGGGAGTGTACTACTCGCAGCAGGAGATGATCTCGGCACCGCTTTGGGTGTCGTTTTTGTCGAAGAGCGACGGTAGGCTGCTGAGGGGTCGGGAGTGGCTTTGGCGACATGGGGAATGACACCTCCCAAACCATATGTTTGTGCAAATTCAGGAAGAAGAGCTACTTCAGCGCTGACCCACGTTCCAGCAAGACGCACTATTGCCGGTTCCTTAGCGGAGCCGTTATTCCCAGTGAGATCGTATGTATCCTTTACCCAGACAGTTTCGCGGCGTTCATCAGCTTCAGAAGCAGTGGGGAAGGCGGCCCGGAACATAGTAGTCAGACTGATGGCACCCGTATCAAAACGTCTCAAGATGAAAGCATGACCGCCAGGCTAGAAAAGATTGGTTTATCAACTATTATCAAATTGGACTTAACCGAACATACTGTAGGAATCTTCATGCGCCCCACCTTATGAGGGGTCAGGTTGTGTGATAAGGGTGAGATAATCGGTAAACGTACCAAAACCTCATGGCCATCGCGATCGAGCGATTGATACTTAACAGGAGGCAATTTAGAGAGGTCGACTAGGCGAGGGTCAGGATGCTAGTCAAGTATTTTAGAACAGAACTCACGAGAAGCGATATGAGGATTCTGGTGTTTGAATGGAAGATCTGGTCGCGGTGGTAATATTGTTGGAGGCATCGTAGATGGGTGACAATATGAAGTATTGACAAGTTAGAAGAGATACAAAGTCAAAGTGAAGTCAAGACTTGGGAAAACAGAACCGTAGCTGCAAATATAAAACGGTGTCACGTTTAAAACGCGCCGTGCGAAAATCAACACTTACCATGTGGCTGTGTGATCCTCTCGTTTCGCACTCCGCTTTTTCATTATATGCTCTTGTACGTGGACCATATAGTGGTTGTAGTTGATTCTTAGATGTGACCATTATGCTTGGATCTCTGGCACACTCTTGTGATCAGCCTGGTCACAATCATGGCTACAGAATGCTATGTTTTTGTATTCACAAGGCAAATGCCCGCACTTGATTACAAGCTTGCGTTGCTTGTAATCATTTGTGGTCATTGCGCGGGTCTCAAATCGTTACCAAGTGGTAAGCGCTTAAGCACTAGCCCCCGGTGAAATTTAAATTAACTTACCTGCGCATTGTAGGCCAGAAGTTGGACAATGTGGGGGATGGGGTCGACGGCAATCGAGTGGATAAATTATATCATTCTGTTCATATCAGCATAACTACCAACCGTCTATCAAAGCGGATATATACCATGTACATCTAAATTGTATACAGAGATAACACATGTGACAGTGATTTTCCTATTCCTCTTGGTCAACTCACAAAATTTCAGGCCGCCCAGCCAGTGCCTCCACAAGGTCTTTAATCTCCGCCCACCAAGCTGTCTTTCCTCTGCGATTCTTCATATCTGCATGTTGCACCATCTCCTGGACCGGCACCCATTTAAGAGCAGACCCTTGTATTGTGATAACTGCAGCACTTTCAGGTGGCGCCTGCTTCACTTTGCCAACTTGTTTCTGCAGGGCATCGTGATGTTCTTCAAGGAATGCCATACATCTCAAAGATAGACGCGCGGCACGTGCGCGATCCATGGGTGATGGGACCCCACCCTGCAAGGTGTGTCCGAGGGAGGCGGAACGCGCATCGAAGAGGCTACCACCTTCTTCCTTGAACATCTTCGTTATGACGTCAGTGTTGTATACCGTCGACGCGCACTCATTGCTGGGAACCATCTCAGCAAGTTCACTATTTGAGTTCGAGACGTAAAACCAACCGAATGACCATACGACCCTCACTCCTGCCCTTGGCATCTAGCCCATAGCGGATCTTTAGGAATTTAACATCTTGGCGAAGGGTATCGAGGTTCATGCCCTGCTCTGGAGTGTAGACAATACTGGCACCAGTCTGAGTAGGCGCACTCATCAGGTTTATCCTCTCCGAACATCGGCAACGAATCACTCACGGCCAACGCGCCCATGGTAGCAAGGTACCCACACTTGCCACCTTGCGTCTCAACCACAAACACCCGATTCCTACTCGCACTCGCGCTCTGCTTGATCGAATCGCATGCATCTACAAGCGCGTTCAAACTTGTGTCACTACCCAAGCTGAACTCCGTCATCGGCACGTTATTTGATATCGTAGCTGGGAGATGGGCCATTGGGATGTGGAATGCGGGGTAGTGCTTCCGCCCACCCTCAAGGATCAGCAGCGCATTGAATGCCTCAAAACCGCCAATCATGAGAAGTGCGTGGAAGCTGTGCTCTTGGAAACGTGCAGCTACTGCGCCAAGGTCAACATCTGGAAGGGTACGGTTTGTGCCGAGCTCAGAACCGCCACGGGAGGTCCAGGCATCGACACCGAGCCAAGATAGCTCGTGAATGTTGTCGTCAAGCAGACCGCGGAAGCCATTGTGTACTGCAAGTGGGCGGTGACCTTGTTTGGTACAGTAACGTACTGCAGCCCGGGTGGCCGCATTCATACCGCCAGCCGGGGCGCCCATGCTACGTAGAATGAGACAACATTCTGTGAGATATAATGTACAAGGACGTACTGCATGATTGCAACACGCATTCTCTTCGCGATAAGATATCAGATTAAGCTTGATGGAATATGGTGAACTTACTCTGCAATGGGGCAGTTGCTTCTCTTTGAATAGCGTCGAGGTGGCAAAGAAACCCTCCAAGCTCTGGTAAAACTCAGGGTCACGCATGGACATTGCTTTTGCAAAGTCCTTTGCACCGATTGCATCAGCTACCGCACGGGTCATTGCGACGGCCTCCATAAGTGGCACGCGGGTTATTTTATTCTCCCTTACACCAATCATGTACGAAGGGGTGTCGGGCGTGGCCTCCAAAAGTGCCTTAACGGCCTCCTCGCCTTGTAGTGTCGGCTGAATCGAGCTGCAATGAATAATAATCAATGGACAAGTCATGAAGACCCACCAAAATCCGATCGAAAGCACAAGGCCTGCCACCACGCTGGGTGTGTCCAAGAGTTGTGACACGCGTATCAAGCCCAACACGTTCAGTAAGAAGTTCTTTGACGTATTCTGCGCGTATAGGCTGAAGATTCTCATCGAGCGCACCCTCGGCGACAATAACGATTGTTTTACGCTTTCCAGCTTCTCTGTGCTGTAAAGGAGGCTTGAGACAAGAACAAAGATTGAGAGGAATTGCACTCACGCTACGAATGGCTTCACACATATCATCCTCCCAGGTTCCCCCAGGAATAGTTTTGGGCGGGCATTCAGGGATAAAGATAAAGTCTGCACCAGAACTGAACTACAATAAGCATTGTATATCGGCAATAGTCACAGCGTACCTGACGCCAGCAAGCAAAGCCAGCCAGCCGCAGTGTCTCCCCATCACCTCCAGCACAAATGCACGCGAATGACTTGCAGCAGTCGAATTTATGTTATCGATAGCTTCGCAAATACGGTGTAATGCTGTCGGTGCACCGATAGTCAGATCTGTCATACTCATATCGTTGTCAATCGAGCCAACAAGGCCAACGATCTTGAGATGTCCGTGCTTCTCTGCCTGCTCTTCTGTTATCATACCTTGAGTGAGTAGTTGTGACACGAGGGAAGGCCATTCGGAACGAAATAGGTCGGCGCCAGTTAGGGAACCGTCACCGCCACAGACGGCAAGAGCATCAATTCCCTCTTTGATTAAGTTGTGTGCAGCAGAAAGACGACCTTCTGGAGTACGGAAAGCTGCCGATCGAGCTGTTCCGATGAGAGTACCACCCTGTCGAGTGATAGTCAGCATATATACGTTGTTGAGAAGATACACATACGCACCTCAGCAAACCAACCTCTAACATCATCCCACCCCACACGGACGATATATCGACCTTTCAATGTGCGGCCATGGTGATGATCACCCGTTCCATCTCGTAGAAGGTCACCATCTCCAAAACGGAGATTCTGCGTAAGATTAGTGGGTACTCCTCGATGAGCACATTTTAGTGCAGATGCATCAGCTGGAAGATCTGTGTGGAATGCATGTGCCTGCGTGTTGCCCCTCACAAGTCCCTCGTATCCTTCCCGTACAATCCACGTTTCGCAGCCTCTGTCACATGAATGTCGATGGAAGTTGAGCGCAGTGCAATCGGGACACACCTCGAGATGCCGATCTTGACGATGGCACGAACGACAGCATTCATGCCAGCACTGTCGCCTCCCGAAGTAAGGACTGCAAGCTTCATTTTGCCTGTGGATTGGGACATCGCGGGGGCAGCGGATGAAGGTGTTTGATGGCGATAGTGAAATAGTAGACAGTGGGCTGATCCAGTGTCGTGTGGCCGTAACAATCCACAGTCTAGTAGGTTGTGGCAAGCCGACCAGTGCGTATCGTATGATATTATAACGCGTTTAGAACCGACTTGGGCGTTTTCGGCTGCCATTTAAATCAGCCTATTTAATTTATTTCCCCGATTTATCGATCGAACGTTCATCGGTCGATGTTCGAGATATATCAATCTCTTACTATGTACTACAGCCCCATAAATGACCTTCTTGCAGGGCTTGCGACGGCAGCATCCTGCATCTCGTTGGATTGGTCAGGGTACTGTAGCCCTTGCGCGTACAGCCTCGGCACCGCCTGTTCCCTTCAGAAATGAACTAAACTGCTTGTCTTCCGCCGCCTTGCTATCTCGTCTGAAGTTGCAGTTGCAGGGGCTCGGATCGTGTAACAGCATGTGGCTGCATGAGGACGCGGAGTAAATGGCCAGTCTGTATGAAGTCTGCGCAGACTCCGCGCCAAAGTCTAGAGCCAATATCTTCATATCTGCCAGTGATCGGAAAGTTCCGCGCCTGCCTTCACCACCCCCCGTCTACATCAGCCACCATCATGTATCCTGCCATATGTGTCAACCGTCATGCTAATCTCGACACCCTTGTCAGCTAACCGTCACGGTTCTAGTCACCTGGAGGGAAGGCATAACAGACGTAGACTGGGATTTGCAGACAACGACATGGTGTTGGCAGGCGTGCAGGAAACAAGCAAACGCAGAGGAAGGAGTCAACAGACAAGCAGGGATCATCGAGGTAAAGACCCTGATGGCAGGCAGGCGGGATGGAGATTGTGCGGGATGATAGTGACATCGTGCGGCGGCCTTGACAAACTTCCCAGCATTTTTTGAATCCGAGCAACCCACTGACAGGACACAAGTCTACATTTAGTTTGCATAGACTGGCACTTGCTTCAGGCCGCTACAGCGTGCGGTATCACTCTATATACTATCAGCGTCATCACCATCTCTTCACACAAATGAGTTGGGACTGATACTGATAGTGAAATTCCACTTACTCAGCTGGCTAAATACATAAGTAGCGGGGTGTGCAAATACCGTCACTTGTCCATCTCGGTAAGTCAGTGGCTATGTCCTCTGTTATATCCAGTTACTGATGACTCCTCATAACAGATCTCTTTACCATTGACGTGTCTTCGAATATCTGAATCCCATCAGAATTGCAATCCTACATGACTTCACTTCAGGTCGAGCAATGGTTATGCTACATGGCGCTTACTGAAAAGTAGGCATCGGGTTTGGGGCTGAGAGGGCTGCTATTCAAAGGCATATCTTCCCAGAACACACAGTGCTGTGTACATGGTTTACGCGGTTGGCAGCCTTGCAACATGCTTTTCGAGTGAGAATGTTGCCAGCTGCACAATGCCATGGATGAACGTTATGCGGATGATTAGCATGCATGCTTTCATGCGGCCTTCGCTTCCTTAGTTGGACCCACACAACAAATCCTTCCTTCGAGTCCCTCGTCACCGAACGTTTGCCAAGTATCATATTTTGAACAGATTTCCACCATCGGTGGACGGTAGTTTGTCTTACTGCCGTGCTGAACGGTATTGCTCCTCATTACCCCCAAAATACCATGGTCACTTGCATCAGAATCATTCCAAATCACACGCTTGTCGGGTCTTGCGATTTTCATCGTCGAAAGCGTACAATTCTAATATGCACCTTCTCTATTTGAAGAGTTGAGCATTCCTTTGATTCCTTACTACGTGAACGGAAAGAACACTCTGAAGATGCTCAATAACAGACCCTGACTTTTTCCGTTAGACCGGAGCTCGAAGGTTATAGTTAACGCGCCAAAGACGTTTGGATGTTGCGGTGAGGCCCGGGTGTTGAACAATGAGACGAATTCAGAGTTGGTTGTTCGGCAAATTCAGTGGAATTGGTGGAAGGATCATGATTCAGAAACAACATTGGGATCCAGGACTGAGTACTGATTTCCGGCAGACATTTTCGTTACCAGACGATTGAACTTTGCAGGGCCAGAAGTCAAATACACGGAGTATGAAAGCGTTTTTCAAGCGTGTGATCAATCTTTTGTGGAAGCGCGATTTCGGACGGCAACGCCGTGTTCTTGTTCGTTTGCTCAGATAACGCAGGGCCCAGGTTGCGTCAATATTAATTAATGTGGATGACCTCGCTTCTGAATTTTCAGCTCGGATCCGAGTAACCGTCCTTCTCAGCATCTCTAGTACTCCTTCACTCCCTGTTGGTCATGGCAGTAAACAAACTTTCCTTTACAGCGCGGTACGCTCGTCAGCTCATTCGCGAGAGCATTTCTCGCCAACTTTGTGCTCTCCGTGAGTCCCACAATACAGAGCTACCCATTCATCCCTCAGGCTTAGGCGGTGCCTGCTCGAACAATACGTTGTTCGGCGCCAATCGCCCTTATGTTGAAGAAGCTCATCTAGATGACAGTATTCCTCTGAATGTCAAATTCTGTATTATTGGTGCTGGAGTAGCTGGGCTATATATCGCCATGATTCTCAAAGAACTTGGCATACAATTCGATCTCGTTGAAGCATCAGACCGCGCTGGGGGACGCTTGTATACCCATAAATTCAGCGAGGCTCCTCATGACTACTATGACGTAGGGGCTATGCGTTGGTTTGAATCTCCCGTAATGAAGAAGTAAGCAGGGCATTCTGGTTCTGAACACAATTTTAACATGAACATCAGAGCACTTGCTCTATTCGAAGATCTAAATGTTCCGTTGATTCCTTACTACATGAATGGTCAGAATACTCCCATAGTCTTCAACAACATTTTGGGCCCGCCTATGGACCTTGCGGAGTTCGACCCATACAAGTTCAGCGTCGCAAATGGCGGGACGGTCCCAGATGAGTACGAAGCCGTCTTATCTCTTGAGTGGGGCGCTAATATTTGAGGTCAGGTATGTGGCTATTGGAGTACAGAAAATCCTTCAGGAGGCGTCAGCACCCTACTTGCAGCTTTTGAGAGAAGACTTCGAACAAGGTTTTAAAAAACTCATGGAGGTAGACGAATACTCTATCAGGGAATACTTGCGCGTATACATGTGAGTTGGTGTTTCATAATGTTCCATCGTCTGTGTTAGATGATCATTAGGCAACTTGATTATCATACATGTCAATGGCTAGAGACAAATATTGCGTACGAGGTGCCTTGACTCCACCGCGATTCGCACTGACGTTCATATCAGCCCCAGCGACTTCTTTGATCAAGGTTTTACCGAGTACGTTATCCTGAGCTCGGACTTCCACGATCGGGAAGAATACGGATGGAAGTGCATAGACGGCGGCGCGTCGGTTGCAATTTCTGCTATGCTAAACAGGATTGCTCCCCATAAACCCGAGTATTGCACTACGGCTACTCGCATCGCTTTGAATCGTGTTCATGAGAAAGTGGAAGTCAAGCTTGTAACTCCATCGGGCCAATCATCCATTCGTCGGTATGACTCGGTTTTCAACACCACTCCCTTGGGTTGTTCACGAAACATGGACCTCGTCGATGCCGAGCTGTATCCTGCGCAAATAGATGCCTTGCGTTGTTTGCGATACGATACATCCTGCAAGGTCGCGATAAAGTTCCAGACCCCATGGTGGATCACACGGTGCGGCATAACGAAGAGTGGTACATCATTTGGTGATATCCCTATCCGCACGTGTTGCTATCCGTCCCACAGCATCCACGATGACCCGAAGGAGCCAGCCGTACTCATCGCCTCATACACAGTGGGTCAGGATGCCCAACGTATAGGGACCCTGATTAATCGGGACTCGCCTTCTGGGGAGTCACAGCTTAAGGAACTCGTATTGCGAGACCTTGCACGTTTGCACGCCAGATCTGGGATTACTTACGACTTTCTGGAAGCGCAGTACATCACGCATCATGCGTATGATTGGAGAGATAATCCATTTTCCGGTGGGGCATTTACGGTGTTTGCGCCAGGGCAATTCAGGCACCTGTACCCATATCTCATTCGTCCTGCTGCTGACGGTAAATTGCACTTTGCGGGGGAAGCCTCGAGTGCGCATCATGCGTGGGTTGTGGGTGCGCTTGAGTCGGCGCAACGGGCTGTCATACTCTCGTTACTGAGGTTTGGACGTCGGGATTTGGCAAATAAGGTGGAAGAACGCTGGGGACCTTCGTCTGAATTAGATTGGGAAGGACAGGAAACCGCATATATGCAGGCGATGCTTGGTTACTCGGAACCCAAGTGTGTAGCCAGGATGGGAACCCCAGAGAGCTACAGCGACCCAGAAGAGTATCATGATTTCGAGGATGAAAAGTCTAGTATTTCCACTACCAATGAGCCTGACAGTGACAAGATGTCTGATGGAAGATGTTATATAGCATGATCTGATGCTCGAGGGCTTATAGATATCACACTCACTGTTGTTGTGATGGCTACAGTAACAGAAAGACTCCTCCCAATATCGCAATGATTTCCATCACTTGCACATTATCAAACCAATGTTAACGTGCCCTTTGAGAATCATTCGAGCGGCCTAAGAGAAAATCTCATTGAACAGGTGCGACCTTGTGTGATTATTTGGAAAGCCTCTAAGGTATAAGTGGCGATGAGTAGTATACATAAGGTGGTCCAGCGAGAAAAAGGTGTAACCTTTTATATACGAACATATAGTTTAAATCAGTAGGTGACCCATGCAGCTGTGCAGCCGTACGCGCATAACCTTTAAAACAATAAAAACAGTTAGTACGTTTCTGAATGGTAGCAGTAGTAGAAGTTGGTAAAGTAAGACGCACGCGGGTGGACGCCGCGCTCCAAAGTCATTATAAGATTATATATTGTAGAATAAGTCCGAGTATATGCGTCCTTCTCGCCATCGTAGACTGCCACATCAGCTTGGCCCCGCAAATTCAATACATACGTGTTAACCATATAGCATGCACAGCTTGCACCAAGCTTTCAAGTCCTCGTACTAGGAGTCGATGCCGAAGAAAAATTCGACCATAAGCAAGCTGAAGGATGTGGAGAAGCTGATGATCTGGGCGAAAACCTGAAGGCTGTGGTCAGGTGATGCGAGGGCGGGAGGGAAAAAGGAACTTTACTATGCTCATGTCGGTTTGGTTCAGGTTGAGGTCTGCGAGGGAGCTGCCCACTGCAAATATTGTGAGACCGAGTCTGAGTCCTAAAGTGCAAGGACGAAACCAAATATCTGTGTGGACTGTCAGTACGTTAATATATGTGATATATCCAGAGAATAAAGGGGTATGAACGACAGTAACAAGATGCGGATCGAAGGGGAAAGAAAACCTAGAACAGACCTGCGAGAATATTGACAGCCACTTGCGTGATCGCCATAACCCATGCGATCACAACCGATAAGCACATACTACACGCTATACGTATAGCAAGTTAACAATAACGGTGAGGTTATCGATCGTAGCTGCGAGCTGATAATCACAAGCTCGGATACCAATCCAATTCGAATGTTTGGAATAACAAGACGGAGAGGTAAGTGACTTTGACAATGATCTTTGGGACAGGCTTGCGGTAGGTTGAAGCCTCCAAAAGATGAAGTACTTATACAAGTACGGAGCGAAAGACCGATGTTATGATTCGCATATTGTGGTCGCCATGGTACAAGTCATCAGACATGACAAATCACAAGATCGCCGGGTATCACCTCAGTCATCGAGGGACCGATTGAAGGCAAGATTCCTCTGTAGTCCGGGATTTAGATATTCTACCTCGTTGGCGCTGTGCTAAGTTTTGGCATCAGGTAGCGGCTAGTCCGTTCGCATGTGGCACATCTGTCGGCGACGTAATAACCTGACGATAGCTTCGCACCAAAGCGAGAAACAGGTAACTGATAGAATGAAAGATGATACAATTGAACGATCCCTGATCAATCATGATGCTAGCCTGACTCTTCGGAATGACAAAGTCAATGCTTGGTAAACCTTAAAATTAACTCTAAATATATGCAAATAGTCTGATACATCCAGGCTGTTCCGAACCTGTTCAGGCTGGGCGGTTTCACAGCGCGCGGCATTCAGTCGAAAACAACCCCAGTTTTAAGTAATATCGCGTGTGGTTTCACCATTTCAGTATCTTGCATTCACAAGGCCAGGTACGGTCTTGTACAATTCACCGTGATATTAGGGTCCGCCATGGGCAGAGGTGCCCGAGTAGTACCCGCCCGGGTTACGGGTTAGACCACACACTCCTTCCAAACAGACCAGATCACGAACTCGGAACAATGCAGATCAGTTTATACTCTCCCCCACCAAACCTCGTGAATCGGATTCCAAAGAGAAGAGTGACGCTGATGTTTGGGAGCTAGCGGCAGACAGCGAAATTATTTGTAAGTTCAGCCTACCATCTTGCAGTCATTGATTTGATCACTGGTTGACTCAGGTCAATCACGCGCACAATGGAAGTCAAAAGTTTACGACCATTGGAGTCCTTTTCCATCGTGGCAGTATGCTAATGATACTTGTCGTAGTTCTCGGAGCGCTTTGACTCCCAAATATAGTAGAGCGATTTATGCGGACCTCGACGTTGAAATCCTGTTGTGTGATACCAGGAAGTCCGAACATCACGGTCACTGTCTTGGTCTGGGCGGTGTGATTGGATCCATTGGCCGCTGGAAGGCGCTCCTGTTTGCAGGTATTTTGTTTTTTACAAGAAAGGAAAGTTATCTAGAACGCAACGTCGTCAACAAAGTCGCGTAGTAGTTAAATTTTGAGATCGCTTCACTCACCACATGATGAGCTCACGCAGTTACCAGATACACTGATCCTATCTCCAGTGAGTGGAAATTTGCCAGTTGGCTGGTGCTAATATTGAAATTTCCCCCAGGCTTGTAGCGTGCAGCTTCTAGAATCTTGCGTGTCGCTAGTAGATGCAGAAGTGGAAACCCGTGCGACTGAAGAGGGTGTGCACTCCAGAACTCCCGAATTTTAAATCAAAAGAGTGCAATCGCTCTCATACGGACTTGCGAGGGTATGCATCAAGTGAGAGAAATGAATAGCATAGTGTCAGCACCTATCTTATTCCCTTTCTCTCCGCTTGATACACCCGGATCAAGTGCATCGAGACCGCAGGCCGCGCTGAACTTTGTCCGTTGTGGCTGAAATATTGAACGCCCATTTTTGACTTCGACCTGTGGACAAGACCTAGATCAGTATTGTTCCTTCAAATCCACTACGATTTGAGTGTAACATGTTACCCCTTTTGTTCGCATTAACTAAGAAAGAGCCACCCACAGAGACACATCCACACATGTACTGTGGCCGTCGGAGTTTGCCTTCATGATACTTGGGAGGTTAAAACGCTGACCGTCTTCATTTCAACTCTTCTCATTAAACCAATATGCAGAAAATCGAGGGGGTCATAACCAACTCACAAGCAGATTTTTCTCCACTCTTAGAGATCATATGCGCACCGCAAACTGTTGTAAGTGTTTGTTATACAGGCACTCGCGTTTGCGCATAATGACATTCTTTCGCTTCAGCTCGCACGATGCGAAGAGACCGTATGTATATTGCGATATATCAAATGGCATTGTATTGAACATTATTAGATTACAGACCTCGAAACTTCACATTCCAAGTCTCCAAACACTGATCAGTCTACCATGGAGAAAGACGTCAGTGACATCATCGCCAAACGCCACCAGCAGCTGGATACAGTTTTGCTCGAGATATCTGGTGTAGAAAGCGTGATGTATGGTGCAATGAAAGCCCATCAGAAATTAGTCGAAAAGAAGGACAGGATCACGCAGTCGATATCTCTGCACAAGGGACTCGTGTCGGGTCTCAGGCGCTTGCCAACCGAAATCCTGTCCGAGATTTTCCATCATTGTCTCCCAGAATCTTGCGACCAACTGCCATCCGGGCTACAAGCGCCCCTGCTTCTGACTGAAGTATGCCGACGATGGAGGGAAGTTGCTATCGGCACGCGCAGTTTATGGAGCAGGCTGTCGGTTCAGGTTGACTACCGGCGCTGGGGGTCGCAAGCCTCCGGTTACGACCTATGGCTCAGGCGATCACGAGGGTGTCCGCTCTCGTTGGTTCTCTCGTGTCAGGAAACCGATCCGATGAGGATACAACGCCTTCTTCAGCCCTACATGAAGCAAATCGCGACACTCTCTGTCGCATTTGAACGAGACGTGCTCCAACCTGGACTTTTGTTGCACGAGCTCCCGGCACTTCAGGAGCTGGCAATCCAGGGGGTGCGGGACTCGTATGGATACTTTCCAGCTATTCCACGAACTATCACGCGACTGCCGCATACCTTGCGCAGTCTCAAGGTCGTTGACCGGCGTTTAAACACCATGCGCTTAACTCCTTTCTCTCCCGCTATGGCGCACCTCACAAATCTTGATATCGCCATACTGCAGTACCCCAGTGCAGTCCTCCATTTACTCCAACTATGCCCCAACCTCTCCTCGCTCAAGATCCACATACAATTCGGCTACAGAGTCGAAAACTTAGAGTCATTCACGCACACCAAAATCCAAACCCTCCACATCCGACGCCAATGCCCGTCAGCAGACGATTTATCCAGCCTGTTAAATGCTCTATCGCTCCCCAGTTTGCGGGTGATCAAATATCACTGCGATCATGGTCTACCATGTTTTCATAATGCGATGAGGGAATTTTTGGCACGGTCGAAGTGTCCCTTGGAGAGCTTGGTTTTTAGCGGTTTGGGTATACCAGCGGAGGCGGATGAGGAGTTAGAGCAATACCTTGATATCATTCCTTCTCTCGAAATACGGCTAGTAGAAGATCACACTTGATACCCGTATTAATGCTTGATTAGTTGTTGTACATTAGAAATCAACCCGGTCGTAGATGTAGAACTGTCTCCATGTGTAGTAGACCGTACTACTGTATTCTGTGGGGTCTTTACATTACACTACGTACAACCTTGGCATTTCGGTAGACCCGCCACATGTCTCCGCACCTCCCTTTACGGTAGATGTGCCTTTACACCGTGACGCCGCTGTGGTGTAAAGGTACTAGCAAGTAGACAGCGAGAATGACCAAAGATACGAGTTCGAAGAAGAATCGATCGGTCGGTCGAGAAAAGATGCAGCACTTGAAGCGTTAAGTAACAATTTACACGGGAAAACAGAAGTTCTAAAGAGATCGAACCTGCTGGAAACGTGAATAGCACCGAGTGTGATTCTGCTATCGATTACGATGGTACATGCCCCAGCTATATACGACTCAACAGCCAAACAAAGAATTATTACTCTACGAAGCATGCAAGGGCGCAGAGGAACATGCATGTGTTTGGCTGCCACACAGCTCATGGCTTGCGATCCAGGTCTTACGGAATATTAATAGATGTGGGGGTACTCTTTTTTCTGGCTTCAAGATTCCGCAAACATATTCTTGGTCAGAAACCTGCAGTTATCTGGGATCATTAAGATGGCTGGGATTGCGAACATAAAAGGTAGAGTGAGGTAAGCGATAAGTGTGTTAGACCATGATCGTCGGTGGTGAGCGCCTAGGAGATGGAATAGGCATGGTTTAGGCAGATAGCCGTGGGTGGGTGTGCTTGTAATGAAGTTTGTCTATCGCATTGGAAATCACACAAGGAACTGTATAATTCACCAACACAGTCCCCCACCGTACTGAGCCATCATTTTCAGTTAATCGGCATTTAGTCATGGTTGTCTCTAAGACGTTATATTTCATTCCTCATAATCTCGATTTGGGACGTTCTAGTTCTCGTGCTTCTTTACCCAATGCTCCCTCAGTGACAAGTTGCCTCATGTCCTTTTCAGACAATCCGAGTTCTCTGAGAATGTCTGCAGTGTGTTTCCCTGGATCCAGTGTTTTGATTTCATTTTGTGGAAGTGATGATGGTGATGTTCTGCTGAACTCCGGATGAGGCATAGGGTAGAGAGATCCGTGGAGCTGAGCTGCTTCTGCGGGAGACAGGACTGGAACTGCACAAGCGTCAGTGCCTGATGATGGTAATCGATCAGCATGAGAACTTTTCTGTGATACAATACTTGCCGTGGAAAACATCCGTCCAGAAGTCTCTTGGCTGTGTTCTGAACCCGTCTTCGAGATACTTGCGAAGTTTGGGCCATTCTTCCTTTTTATACTGCATCGACCGCGACGGTAGCCAGCTCCCTTGATTTCCACTGGATTTTATGACCTCGTTGAATTTGTCAATAAATTGCGCAAAGAACTGGGGCTCAAGACACCCTATGCTCATCCATTTTCCGTCTGAGCAGGTGTAAACATCGTAGAACGGTGCACCACCGTCAAGGACATTCGTGCCTCGCGGTCCTGCCCAAGCACCGCTCCCAGCACTTATAAGTGGAAAAGACGATATATAGCGCGAACCAGAGACCTGTCATCTATATTTATAAATCATTGAGACGAGATGCTCCAGCACGTACCATGTCCACATTCACGACTTATCCATGGCCACTCCTACCTCGCTCGGTTATAGCCAGCAATATACCATTCGCACAAAGTAGGCCTCCTCCGGCAAAGTCAGCAATTAGATTCAAAGGAAAGGTGGGCTCGTCTATTGTTCCTGGAAGCATCTGCAAAAAGAGTTTATACATGCCTCGTCAAAGTAGAAGCGAGGCGCACGGAGAGAATACCGCTAAGGGCGATATAATTGATATCATGACCTATGACAAGAACCTTAGACTAAACCACGCGTATATTATGGTATTTACCAGCCATCTTAGAGTGTGTGCCTTGAAATCGTTGAGAAAGTGCAAGAACATAAACCTGACGCGCATACCATTTCTTGGGAACCTTGAGGCGTATCAGCTGGATGGTATTTCAGAAGCTCACGTGTACTCACCCTGCAAGCCTTGCATATATAAGTCTGTCATTCAGACCTTCCCGCTTGTCACTTGTATGAAACACTGCAGGACCAAGCCCAAGCTTCTCAAGGTCTAAATAGATCGATGAGGACGTTGGCACTCTGCTTTAGCGATGAGATCCTTCGCGACTCGCAGTCCGCTCACAGTCTTCAGGTCCAACGCGATCGACCGCTTTCCCACAGAAAGCAAATCCCCATTAGTTGAGGAAGGGCGATCGATGCGGATAACGGATGCTCCGTTGTGGGCAAGTACCAGACCTGCGAATGGACCCGGTGCGAGGCCTGCAAACTGCTGACGTTTGTTTCAAGTTGTTTCACTTCAAAACCCAACTACAACATACTTCTATAACTTTGATGCCATTGAGCGACATTGGTTGGAACGAACCTTCACGATGCACTATGTAGTCAGTGCAGGGTAAACAGTAAACACGCGCTTCTTTGCCTTGGTAGCCAATGACATTCTCCGGAGCGTGTTCACACGATAAGTTGAGACGAATGACTGTCCGCACTAAGTCTATTCGGTGGGGGAAAGATCGAATGCCCTACAAGTAGATAGGCGACTGCTTATATACTGTAGGGAAGGAAATGAGACAGAAGGAAGTAAATAATTAAGAGAGAATAGTGACGACGGTAAATATTGGTCGCCATCATCAATGATAATTGCGGGAACTGGACTTGAACTTGAACTTCTGTCTTTATATCTAACCAGGTTGGGCACAGTAGTTCTGTCGAAACTTCAAATCACAAGTCTAAAAGATCAAAGCAAGGATTTAGTTCAAACATGAAGTTTGTCCTTCCAATTACCAGTACACTTTCACTTGTTGAACACCGCTGCATGAACAACGGTAAGGTTTCTTGATGGCCTTTTGCTCAACTAATTACCTGTTTCAGCTTTCGAGATAGCCCAGGCTGCCAATCGATAACAGCTGGCAGGCGCTTCCAAACGCACGGTCATTATCAATGATAATCCTCATTGCAGACATCTAGGCGCTCGTCGATCTTGTTTGCTACCCACCACGCCTGCTGACTCGTGACCCTCTTGACAAGCACATCCACCTATCTTTTCTACTTGCCGCTAGATGGATGAAACCGATCCTCCTCGGAAGAAATGCTGGGGGCGGCCGAAGCCAAGTCATTCAGACCGGTAGAGGATAGAGGCAGGGCAACCAGTCACGATGTATGACATTTTATCTTGACAACTACATCATTTACAATCATTATAGCCGTCCTCTCTCTCCCCTTCGAGAAATGGGTCCCGTTGACGACTCATGGGGTCAGTTCGCAAGATCTTGGGCAACGTGACCAAGCGCTTGACAGTCCCCCAACCCTGAACCCACGGCTGCAAGTTCCGGCCTACAGGACACCCAACCTATTCAATCAACTAAGGTAAGTATTTGCCAAATACTCGGCAAGACCTTCCGAAGGATATTCAGAACTGGATCAGCAGCACCGAGGGCGCTTCCACGGATCTTCTGGTTGTCTGGCATGGCAGGCAAGGCCAAATCGGCTGTCGCCCATACAATAGCCAACTGGTATACTTCGATCGTACTCGGCAAGTGGATCACCTTCAGGACAACACTTTTACGACGATTGCAAGCGAATTGGCGGACTGCGACCCTATCCTACGGCGAGCCTTGGCGCAAGTAGTTCGTGAGTACAGCGGACTCAAGCACACTCCGGATATCACAAAACAATGGCAGGAACTGATCATTGGACCCACAAGCATAGCCTCCAAAACTGCACCCATCCTGATTGTCATTGAGGCATTGGATGAGAGTGGTAAAGCTAATTCCCGGGAACAGATTCTTCGTCTGCTCGCAGTAAAACTAAACACTTCCACTTCACGACTATCCGAACTCCCAGTCAACTTCCGCATTCTCCTCACTTCCCGCCCTCTTGACGACATTCATAATGCTCCGCATGCCGCATCACATGTTCATCGGGGAAACATAGTTTGCTACAGAATGCTCTGTAGCACTCTGTAACACCCTGTAACATTTCGTAGCACAATTCATCTCACTGATGTTCGGCATGTTTCCCTGGATGACATCTCATCTGCGTCCACAAAACTCGTCATTGAACTTTATATCTCTCACAAGCTACAAGATCTGCGTCACGTTGCCCGCTGTAAGGTGCTCGCTCTGAAATCTGATGGCCTGTTTGAATGGGCTCGTCTCGCCTCAATATCTCAAGAGCACGAACTTCGTGAGCCGAGGCCTGATGCACCGTCTCCATGACATTTCCAAAACATCCGCCAAAGGCGTGCATATATTGGATGAGACGTGCCAACGCATCTTGGCAGATATCATGCCAAAGCACAAGCACGAGGAAGCGTTCTCAATCTTTCGATCTGCGATTGGTCAAATTCTTGCATCGTCAGAACCGCTTCCCATCAATGCGTTGAACATGACGCGACAATGTTTTTACAGGCGACGATGACCGCTACGATGCAAGTTACTCGTGAAGTATATTCAATAGGCTCCTCGCTTCGGGTCGTGGACTCAGAGCGCGCGCTTCGCTTCAACATTGACTCCTTAGAGAATTCGTACTTACCCAACTCTTCCGTCCATGATTTGGAAAAACGAGTCAAAGAATCTATTCTGACTGAGCTCTCATACTCATTTGCGAAGCACTTCAAGGCCACACTGGCGGTGATATGTCCCATTCTCACTGGACAGACATCGCATCATTTCAGGTTCACAGGACACAACAGTCTGGGTGTGGGACGTAGCGACTGGCAAGGCATTGGGTACCCTCCAGGGGCACACTGACTGGGTTCGGTCAGTCGCAATCTCGCTGGATGGAAATCACGAAATATTTGTAATCCACATAGTATCTGGAGTCCACAAAATGTTCGGCATCCACAAAATATTCGAAATCCGCGGAGTATCTGAAGTCCACAAAATCCACAAAATGAATCCACACCTAGATTACATATCATGAATTCTACTCAAGGCCTATAAACGTGTTGTTGTCTCCTTTGACAGCACATCGTTATCCTGCCTTTCACTCTCATTATGCACCCAGAGTTCACACCAGTTTCGTTCCTCGCAGCTCTGTCGCTGCTTCTCCCTCTGCCATCGCAATGGCGAGCACGAAATGTTGCAACTCTCTCTATCATTGCCTGGCTTTTCATTCTCAATTTCGTGTATGGCATCGATGCCATTATTTGGAGCAACAACGTGAACATCGTCGTCCCAGTGTGGTGTGATATCAGTGCGTTCGATCGTGACGGTGAAGTTTCTTTGCTGACTCCCTTCGAGCCAGCAAAATCATTATAGGGTCTACGTTTGCCCTTCCCGCTGCCTGCCTTTGCATTTGCATTCATATCGAGCACGTCGCATCGGTGAATCGGGGCAGAACTTTGCTGAGTGACAAATGCACTCGCCAGCTTTTCGAACTGTTCATGTGTTTCGGACTGCAGATGGTCTCCATGGGACTTCGTATGAGCAGTTCTTCTCGGACGTTGTGTCATGCTGATCATTTTGCCAGACTACATCGTGCAAGGCCATAGGTTCGACATCATCGAGGGGTATGGTTGTCGCCCGGCGACATATGTCTCAATCCCCGCTATCTTTCTCATCTGGTTGCCTCCGCTTGTGCTATCCGTGATTTCTCTTGGGTTTGCATGTGCGTTACTTTCCCTGTTGATTTTTTTCTTCACTAAGTCATTTTAGGCGCTTCTTTCGTCCATTTCACTGCGACGTCGGTCTAAATTCGCACGTCACCTCGAAACATCTCGGAATGGCCTGACGACTTTTCGTTACTTCCGTCTGATGCTCATGGCGATCGTAGAAATGATCTGGAACATCATGGTCACGTCCTACACCCTTTGGTTCGTCGCAATGGACGTGCGCCCGTGGACGAACTGGGATGACGTGCATTGGGACTTCTCGCGCATAGACTTATATCCCGCTGCCTTCATGCCAAAGATCGCACTCACCAACTATTACCTCGTCTGGTGGGTCGTTCCGGCCTCCACCTTCATTTTCGTAGCGTTCTTTGCTTTCGGCAAAGACGCCGTGAATGAATACACGGCATGCATGATGTGGATACGCCGAAATGTCCTCAAGCGAACGAACGAACGAACCGCTCCAAACTCCACTCCACTCACGGAGTATGTCATATGCTCTCAACATTGATTTCTTGTCTGACTGTCTTCAGGTTTCCTCGCGTTGTTTTGCCATCCCGGCCGAAAAGGCTAAGGCCCGCAAAATATTCGATGCCCTCAACGCAAACTAGATTCGACGTTGGCGTCCGTGACTATCATTCATCCTCCCGTACCAAACAAGCTGTTCAATTTCCCGCACCTGCCTATCATTCGCGAGCGTATGGATCTAGAGATAATTTCCGGGCGCTGGACGCCCCTCCAAACCACCCTGGTTTCTCTTACCCGCCTCGTCATGACACCCGTTATGCTTATCAAAGGGTGTGATGCCTTTGATTCAACGTCGTAGATTACGACCGCTACCCTCTTCGCTTGATACATGCTACGTTTCCCAACACTTAGACATACACACTCTTTACGCGCCTCACTTTCAATATTCAGAATCACTCGTTTACTTGCAACGTCACAACACTCATTTGTACATCATCATGCTGCTTGCCTCTTCCCTTGATATATGCTACGTTTCCCGACAGTTCGTGTCATAGACAAACACACTCTTTACGCGCCTCACTTTCAATATTCAGAATCACTTGTTTACTTGTAACGTTACCACACTCTTTACGCGCCTCACTCTATATATTCCGAGTCAGAATCACTGCACTTGTTTACTTGTAACGTTACCACACTCATTTGCACATCATGTCAATCCAAATTCTGCGCGATTACGCTTGAATGGCAAAATATCTAAGTCCCTGATCTGTTTACGAAGCAACGATGCCATCCACTGCAGGCATGTTTGTTGTGTGCGATGTGTTCACCAGGTGTAGTCCACCACTCCCGGCCGAGGTTGAACGTTGAATTCTCAGACTCCAGGGTGCATAGGGACAAGATCTGTCCTTCGCAATGGGGGCACTTTGTGTTGCAGATACGAGACATTAATATCGACTGCAAAAAGCTCGAAGGTAGGATCGAAAACTACGAGGGCTAGAGCAGGCCATGTATATTCGGTGGCAACACCTCCATACTGGTACAAACCTGATACAATGAGGCAATGCTAGCTCGAAATGACTCACCTATTAGCTTCTTGCATGGTTGTCATGATGCGAAGACATGGACGTTACTCGTGCTATTCAAATCTCGATTGTTCAAGGGGTGGTTGACATGATGTAATCAATACGAGTTCGAGACTGGACTACGCTCCATGAATACTACGATGAAACAGAGGCCGAGAGCGCAATGGTAAATCCATTCATGAAAATCTCCTAGATATTGTGAACGTATGCATCATGCAGAGTTAGCGTCTACCAAAGCACTGACATCAGATGCAGGATATCTAAATTAACGCATTCGATGATAAGTCCTAAATATCGACTGTTAGAATCAAACTTCAAACGTATACATAGACCCTCTTACCCATTTATCACCGCAACTCCACCCATAGATTCACCCCCATTACCACGAAATACGCCCCAACTAAACAGAACCCCCACGTGCGACTCAATACGTACCCGTTCAGCGGAACGACGACCAGTGTTGCGATGAGTAGTGCCAACAAGCCGAGTGTACTGCTCATTAGCGTATCGGAGAAGTGCAGCGTGTATGGCTGACCACCAGCTTGAGAAATCACGTAGGAGCCGGAGATGCCGACGCCGAGAAGGATGTTGACCATGGGCCCGCCGAAGCATGCAGAGAAGCCCATGATTGGGGCAAAGACCTGAAAGATGGGTCAGGTATTGGAAGGCTGGGAGAAAAGGAAGGAGACTTGCAGCTACGCTCATGTTTGCTACGAGATCCGCGAGGGAGTTACCTACTGCGAAGATCGTGAGGCCGATTATAGCATCCGATAGTCCAAAGATGAAACCAAATGTCTGTAGGTCATCAGTACGATGGGTGGTGTGTATAGAAGAAAAATATAGAACAAACCTGCAGCACATTAACAGCCTCATCAGCGATTGCCATAATCCATGCAATCGCGACCAAGAAACCCATACTACACCGAGCCATACGTGCAGTAGGGTGGCTTCTACCATCTGCGAACACAAGCACAAGCGCAGCTACTGCAAGTCCGCCCACAGTTGTTCCTAACGCGAGGAGCGTAAAGTGATCCGCATCATCTAGGGCGAATGATCAACAGCTAGCTCACATTTCAAAGTCCAAAACGGCAGAAAAGTGAAGCGGGCAAAGAGAGAATATACGCACGGAATAACACCCCTAAACAAAACAAAGGTCCTAGGACGCATTGTGCAGCCATCAGCCATTTATTGAACTCGATCTCGTGAAGATCCGGCTGCATCACTTCCTCCGCAATCAACGCACGCTCGATACCGTCTTCCTCAAAGTCCATCAACCGGCCATCCTCGCCGGCGTTATGATGGCGCTTGTGCATTTTCTCCGATGCAGATCCATTAGAGTCATATGGGATAACGACCACAGGTAGAGTCAATGTGAGCGCCATTACCGCAGGTGCAGCAAGAAGACTCGCTATTTTTCCTAGTGCATTCTTTTCTCTGAAGTGATGCAGCGCAGGGAAGAGGATATAATACGTCTTTTTCACAACCCGCCATGCACGCTTGAGTTTCGAGGGAGGAACATACGGCTCCACTTCTGTCGTGGTGGTGGAGCCGGCGTCCGTCGGTGATGCAGGGGTGTACATAATGGGTGGAATGGGTGACGTTGAAGTAGAGGTGCGTGCTTGTACATCATTTGCTGACGATGATGGCTCATGATCCCCTGAGATGAAGTCGTTCACGAGCAGCCTGGGACTACGCTCGTCCAGAGGCAGACCTCCTAACGTTGGGTCCCAGAGGTCCTCTTCGTTCAATGGAGTGCGGGTTGCATGACTCCCGCCATGTCGATGGTAGTGGCCACCAGCGTAGGGGGTGATAGGGCTGTCGAAAATGGACAAGCTGCTGGAAGCGGCATGTGCCTGCAGGCTTGCCACTACCTGCCTGAACTCGAGCGCCCCGACCAGCGAGAAGGACGGCATCTGTGAAAGGTGGGGTGAATTCAGGGGCGAGGGAGTACGGTCCCCGCCAGGAGACTGTGCATGGAAAGAGGATGACAGTGTGCGAGTGTGGGAGGGTGGGAGTGCAAGTCGTGGGGGTTGGGGACACGATGACGCCCGGTGTCGTGTCGGTGGTGAGAGAGGTACGGCGAGTGTGTTAGCGGGAGGGGTAACTGCGTGTATTCAGATATGAACGAAGATAGAAAGGTAGGAGTGAAATGATAGAGCAGACACGCACCTACATCGTGATAGGGTTCTACTATAGTTTCATCCTCGCCATATTCTGCGCGTATGAGGGCTTCAAGCTTTTCCCTTCGATCACGCCGCCGTTCCCACCAGCTCCCCACGACGACGACTGCGGCATAACACACGTACATGGCTACCAATAATGCGCACTCTCCCGCTCGAATGCGGCCATCGTGGAGTATCACGAGCAGTGCAGTGACGGAAATGGTAAAGAAGCCGACGTCCCTGAGGAATGAGGTTCGCTCGACTTTGAATGGCTTGATGATGCACATGCTGCCTGCCACGACGCTTACGATAAACGAGGCGGCTCCCAGCAGCTCTCCGATGGCAAGACTTCCTGAGTCTGCACGCATAGCGGAGAAAGTGCTGAACACATCCGGGGAGGCATTTCCGAATGCGAGAAAGGTGATACCAGCGACGTTCTCATCTAGACCTAGGGAGGTTGCAATCGTCGCCAAGTTGGGAGTGAAGAAATCAGATGCAGATATTCCAAGTGTGCTGAATAGAAACAGGAGCCAGAGCACTAATCCAGCGAAAATCAGAGGTCGGAAGGGTGGAGAAGCGCAGAAGTAGTAGGACAAGTACGGAATGCTTAAAAATGTTTCAGGCGACGGACATGACTCGATAACATGTGCACATTGTAACGAAAGGTCCGGAATATGATAGAGGAGAACAGTTCTTCTCTGCATTCGTCGTCAGCGTTAGCCCAGGCCCATTCCGTTTCCAAAGAGACTGCGGCAGAGAGTGGTGTTGGTAAGACGGTCCATATCGACTCTGTGACCACAGAACTGCGTTGATAACGAGGCATGTAACAAAGACAGCCTTTGCCCCTACGCTAGACATGGTAGAAAGACAAAGCAGGACCTCCAGTAAGTAGTGTCGGGGTTTCCTTGGGGTTTCCACGAGCTTATACACACTTGAACCTCGTGCTCTTCATTTATATTTACCTGATCAAAATTGTCCTACTTTTCTACAAACTTAATCTCCTCGATGCTTGATATGTTCCAATTTCTGATTACGCGTACAGCACACATCACTGCTATCAGGTACTGTATCTGCATGAAGACTTATTTGAATCCATCGATTACGGGCTTGAAGAAATCATCAAACACCACGACCCACAGGGTTTGTGCTAGTGTGAATGATATAAATGCGAAAGACGCGAGGCTTGTTGGACAGTGGAACCATTCCACGTCACATGATAAAGTGTTTCCAGAACACGTCGCAACACGTATTTGATTGAACTCAAATACCAGATACATAAATGAGCGAGCGCACCAAATGCAGGCAAGCTCCAGAATACTTCTCTAGTCACGATGAAATGCAAGAAGCGCGTTCTGGTGTGAAAATCCATCGAGTGTATATATTCAAGAGCACTTCTAATGATCAGTACATCGTGGGTATGCAGACGGGGATCATCTCCGAACACCAACATTTGCAGCAGTGCGACCGCTCTGCGACTTCCATCCTATCCACCCCACTAGAACGTTCTTGGCAAATATCTCCCCAAAGCCTAGCATCACTCCGTTCACAAAAGGAAGCAATAAGTTGATTGCAAGAGAGGAAAGGAGTAAATTCATTCGTGTCCGTGGCGCAATCGACCTGTCAAGCAATGATGGGATGGTGGAGGGCGGCACGTCGGAGGGTTTGCGTTCTGCAGGAGGATGTTGCTCCTGAGGTTGATGATGTCCTGTCGTTTTTTGCTGAAGTGCAACATGCGGCGGAGACGGTGATGAGGGAATAGATGTCCCGGGGAACGACAGGGATGGATAGGAAGAAGTGGGAGACGATTCTATATGTTCCCATTTCTGCGATGGAGACCCGCTATCCATCTTAAGATGTTGAGAGACATGTAAATGGCTCGATGAGCCCGTTTGTTCACTAACAAGATGCCCAGAATCCGCAAGGGATGTCGAGGGAAGAGAGGCAGACGAAGAAGCCAATACTTCGCTTGCAGCAGCGAATGAAGACGTAATATGGGAGCCCAATGCGTCCAAGTTTTCTGGCTCCTGGCCGAGTGCTTGCCGTTCTTCTGCTTCGCGTTTCCTAATCTGCTCCCACCGTGCGCGCTCACGCTCTGCCTTGGCACGAGCCTCGGCTGACTGAGCACGCCATTCCTCTACCTGAGCCTCATATTCTCCCTTCCATGCGTCCTCTTCGATCGTTTCAGAACCTTCTTGGACCTCCAAAGTTACTGCGGGTGTGGCTGAGAGTGATGTAGGGGCGGCCGGAGCGGCAGCAGCAGATTTAGGCTCGATGTCTGTGGACTGGAAGGCAGTCGCCAGTGCCGACTGAAAGTCAAAAAAAAAATTAACCACGAGCTATACTACTAGCATTAAAGAGATACCTGGAGCATGTGCTCGTTGCTTTGCTCGAGGGAGCTTGTATCTGACATCGCCGTGGTGTTCCGAGTCGATGACCCGATGCCTCAGTCTTCCTGTAACGTTTTGGTCAGATGGTCAAAGTTCTCACGGTTTAACGTCGGCTCGATTCAAATTCCCAATGTGGCTTATGGAGGATCATTGCCATGGACTTGAACAGCCTTGAATCCAGCCTGCCTCTTGTACCGCCATGATCGTAGAATGGTGTACCCAATTTCTGGATCCGCGAGCTTCCAAAGACCTCAATATCTCGCGCGCACTTATCATTCTGAACCAACCTTTCAGTGCTAGCTTGTTAAAGACCCTATGGGCTGCCTCGGAATGGCGTTCTTGCGCCGACGGCGGCGCTAATCGTTTATATGATATCTTGGGCGCAAGTGGTGAACCAGATATTCGAAATTCGTAAGTCTCCGAGTCTCGCTTGCGCTGCAGTGTATGGCCGGTGACAATCAAGTCTAGATTCCTCCCTGATATGGTGAAGGGTGATCTCGATTCTTTACGGGATGATGTTAGATTGTACTACACTTCACTGGTAAGGCCTGTGTTTTGATCGATACTGTCTCAACAGTCTTCTAGAATGTACCGGTAATCCACGATTCCAACCAAGATTCTACGGACCTCATGAAATGCGTGCAAGCATTGGAAGAGAAAGAACGTTTGACTGGGCAGGAGGTAAACCAGATTTTTTATGTTCATCACCAGAATAATTTATAACTCCAATAGTTCGAGATCATGATCCTGGGAGGTCTCTCCGGAAGATTGGATCAGACTGTACATACATTATCATACCTCCATAAGCTTCGTAAGACTCGCAAACGCGTCTTCACAGTCACCGACGATAACGTAGGATGGGTCCTTGATGTAGTAAGTTGAGTTACCTTTTCAGTGCTATATCTCACCATTTCAGGGTGAGCATCTCATCCACATCAACCACGACGTATTAGGACAAACGTGTGGGCTTCTTCCTGTCGGCATCGACTCAACCATTCTGACGACAACTGGACTGCGGTGGAACCTGGACAACACAGAGTCATCATTCGATGGACTTGTGTCCACGTCAAATCATCTCGTACCAGGACAAGACGTCACGATCAAGACCTCGAAGCCAATCTGGTGGTGTGCGGAGTTAAAGGACCTAAGCACATATGCTCCTACATAATTGCATAATTAGACTCGTATCTTATAGATATACTATAGAGTATGCTACGTATCTCCTTGTAGTACTCGCTTGGTGTGGGGAATTGATGGGGTTGAGAGGGCGGCCGTGATTGAGCGTGACATGGTTCGAAAGCATCGTGTCAGAGCTATTAGTGGAGATCCGAGTTTCAGGATCATTCGTCTATTAAGGTCTACCTTGGGAAGACCAGGTCAGAGCTAACCATCATGAGCCAACCAGAAATCACAGTTCTCTACTTTGCTGCTGCGTCAACGGCGACTGGCTTAACCGAACAATCGGTCACCCTCCCTGCCGCGCAATACCCACTCTCCTCATTGAGCAGTTTCTTGGTGTCATTGCACCCAGACGTCGGCCTAGACAAGATCCTTCAGTCTAGCCAATGGAGCGTAAACGCCGAGATGGTGGACAACGTTGAAGAAGTGACATTGAAGGGAGGAGAAGAAGTCGCTATCATCTGCCCTGTGTCAGGTGGATAAGGTCACCAGAAATATCTTTAAGAAGTCTCGTGGTACATTGCAGGCGAGTGAACTTCAAAGATAAGACTACAATCTTCTCATCGTGCTCTTGCTTTCAAAAATTTCCCCACAGGATGAGCTCAAGCATGGGATCAGTATTGGTCTTTTTAGCTGGTGTTCTCTTTGTATCTTTTTACTTCAAGTTGGTGACACATCGAAGACTAGATTCAAAGTCTCGTTTGATGACGGACGATATGGAGAAAGGCACCAGCTTAGAGAACAAGCGATTGCCAGCATTCACTGCTCGACGCCTGACACAGACTACTTTCTTGATCGTCGAATGGGATGACATCTTCAATGAACACCCATTCATCTATGCCAAGGTAGTTCCATCCGCTAAGACCATCCTCATCATGGACACAGGATGTGGTGGGGCTACGCATAATCCACAGATCGGTCTGAAGAGCTTAAGAGAGTTCATCGAGACCGTCGCTGTTCCTGATAACAACGGAAAGCCTCTCAATGAAGGAGGGAAGATGAAGTATATCGTGGTGGAAAGCCATTGTCATTACGATCATATCCGTGGGTGTTCTTTCTGATCCAGCTCGTCGATCTGCTGATCACTCCCTGGAATTTAAAGTTGGTGTGGAACAATTCGCCGCCGACAGCCCTATTATCGGCTCAGGCCATTCGCCTGCCTTCGTCTCTCCCGAGAACTTCCCTGCAAACTCGGAATGCAATGCTCTGGGCTTACGAGCCCCAATTTATGAGCTTACTCTGGTACCACACCTTGCATGAGATTACCTCATCTTCAGGTTTATCTATAGGGCCTCACAGTCTTGCATACCCCCGGGCACACGCCCGACGAGCTTGCTTTGTGGGATGCAGACGAGAAAATGCTATACGCCGGGGACACTCTATATGAAGACGACCCCATCATCTTTCCAAGCGGGGGATCTTTGCCCGTGTGGTTCTCTACCATTGATCAACTCATCGAGCTCGTAAAGGCGCAACCCGATTCTGAAAATGTGATGATCAACTGCGGGCACGCTACTGCTCTCCGTCCTGCACTCGAGGTGCTCAGGACATGTAGGAAGTTCATGGAAAATGTCGTCTCTGGTGAAGAAGCCGCTGAAGAAACGATTATTTGCGTCGAGGGACTTGGTGTGTGGAATTCAAGGAGGACAAGGGTCGGTTCTCTTTGATTTGTCCCGAGAGGTTGGTGCTTGAAGCAAAGGGTGAAGCAGTAGCGTGATGGGCACAAAATCTATAGGGCTCTAGAGTAGAATTTATGGTGTTAGAAACACTACACTTGTGCCTGTCGATACCAGCTACGCAAGCGGGGGATTGTTTGCTGGTTGTATATATATCCGTGGCAACATGTCAATAGTTATCCGATTTGTTGTGAAGATCCGCAATGCCACTGCACAAAAGTACGTACATCAATCGAACGTCATGAGCGCGAGAGTCTTATTTCCAACGAACTTTGCGTTGTGGGTGATCCAAAGCTTCACTTGGTAGTAGCACCTTCCTCCATAAGAGTGGCGTAAGTGGCTGGCATGTTGGTCCTGGTCATGTCCTGGAGTAATCTGGATGTCTACGATAACCTTATATTGTCGCGAAAGTCAAAGCTATATATTCAATGAGCACAGATGGCTACCCAGCAAGAACTGACTCACCGATAAGCGGCAACTAACGACCTCCTAATATATCCCGCTCTAACTGGGCCAAGAAGTCGTCTGCCTCTGTCTTTGGTATCGAGTCGTTAGTCCCTTTCTGCTTGCCTTTGCCCTTGTGTCGGTATGGAGTGTCATTTGTCTGCCTTTCCAGCGCCGCAGACAGTCCGGATGTGTTCTGCGCCTCTAACGTCACAGCTTCTGGAGTATCGGGCTCTGCGGGAGTTTCGTCACCTTTGACCTTCCTCCGCTTCGCATCTAATATCTTTCGTCTTTCCTCGATGTCCCTCTTCCGCTTCTCCATCGCCCTGCTCCTCGATGCGCCTGCGGTGGCGATATTGTCGCGCATACCCTCCACCTCTCCCGGTTTAAGATCCACTGCTCCAGCATCTTGTCTTGTCTTCTCAGTTTCCACCCTCGCTGACCGCAGTTCTTCCATTTCTTGTCTCCTCGTCTCCTCGTCTGCAGAGAATTGATAGAACCCAGCACCTTTAGCACGGACCTCCTTTGAAGCATCGTAGTGAGAAGACAGTGGATTATTGTCTTCTGAGTAAGCGTCTTGAACTGCTTGGACGCGCTCCGCGGAAGGTTCGAATACTGGGAAGTAATTGACAGGATTATAAATGACGTCCCTGGAGGAAAAAATAAGACTAGGGTGACGAAGGCTTCCTCATTAGCTTACTTGTCTTCGTCCGGTATTGGTTCTGTGTCCTCAGAACGCGGAAGTAAGTGCCGAGGGACTTCGGACTTCCGTCCTGTTCGTTGTCGTCCAAATTCATCTTCGTACTCGATGATTGGGTCATCCTAAACACTTCCATAAGCACTATCCCACAGGGTCCATCAAGAGTACCCACATCGTCTTGAGGCTGTTGAGGGACCGTCAATGATTCATCCATATCATCACTGTCCGACTCAAACTGATCACCAGGTCCTCGAGAATCGAACTAAACTCTGGACATCAGCAAGCAACTCATCAAATGCAAGTAGCATACATACATCGACGAGCAAAGCCTCGTACTGCTTCTCAGTAAGGCCACCAGATTTCCCCTTCCGCAGTTTCTCGTAGATTTTCGCCTTCCTCTCCAACACGGCCCGCCCAGACTCGATAGTCACCTTACTGACTTCTTCTAGTTCTATATCGCGCTGCGCGCGATTTTGGACACCTTTATTGGAGCGACTCCATACAGTCGGTTTCTGTGTTATGTTTGTATTCAAGCCTCCCATGCCAGTTACGGGACTCGCTCACCTTGTCGGGTCTTTTGACCCCTCCCACCGTGTATTTACTGCCTCCTGCAGCTTTGGCGCGAGTAAATTCATCTTCTTTTTTTGCGATTTCGGCTTTTAGGTCGAAGAATGAACTCGCGCTAACACCTGCTGCTCTGGCTTTGTTAGTTGGCGCCATGATCCGAGGAAAGGTAAATTACTGGCGAATTGTAGTGTCTTGGTAGACTTTTACATCGAAACTACCAATAACATAGGTGTCACATGACTCGTAGACTAAGACTCTCTAGAGATCCATTGACAAGCCTTAAATTTCTGCTCTCTGTCTCGCACATCTCTCGCTACCTGAGCCTCGATATCTCACAACGTCACGTCTTAGCAAGTGAGCATCAGCAGGAAAAACACGTATAATCAGACAAAATTGCGAAATAAATAAGGACACCCTCGAAGTCACAGTTTGGCAGCTTGGCTTATACTGGCGAATATTCAGGTTGGCGAAGCCCTCCCCATATATGTGGTCCACGTACTGACAAAAAATCCTTCCAAGCAGCCGTCTTCAGAGGAGAGCTTTGCCTGCCGCACATAGTTCGTGCAAAGACCCTCCAAATCAGCATTTCATGCCTGTAATGAATTAAGAAAAGGTCATGTTTAATCAAAACACGCTTATACGGACTTCTTCAGACACAGAAATAGCTAGACAGTGCGTGATGAGTGAGGCGGCCTATTATTATAATGCACAGTACCTTCTATCATAAAGAACTTGCAGGACAAGGCCGACGCCGTCCGCACTGGTAAGCGAACTATTTCACAGCCGGACAGCTGACTCCGGACATTTCCTTGAATACACACGGAAGGCGGTTGCTTGTGACAATATGACATTTCCGTCATCAAACCAAGGACGAGACCGTTCTAGCGTGTCGCCATTTCAGATCTGAAACTCGGAAGAGAGCATTAGTGTGGAAATATTTGACTAGACGAGCAGCACAGCAAGTAAGAATGGCTGCCTTATACGCTTCGTTCACAGGGGTCCCTAGAATTAATTTAAATGATTTAAATCGTTAATCTAGGAAGATGTGTGTGACACAAGAGATGAGCACAAAGAGGGAGAGTTCCAGATAGGTCTGATGCGGGATACGCAAGGAGACAGGGCTGGGTGTGACTGGTATGTGACCACGCAAGGGAGATTGGGAACAAGGTGGAGCCGAGAGACGAGGCAACTACCCAAGCGAAGGAAGGCAGAGCCACCGGCCATTCTCGAAAGAATTCTACATGAAGAGCGCCCAGCGACTCTAGCTACGGATGAACGAGGGCGACAGCACGAGAAGCTGGATGCGGATGACATGGGTCAAGTTGCATGAATCAAAGGTACTTTATGATCCATTACTCAACAGACGCTAAGGGGAGGAGGATGTCATTTGTTGAGCGTTTTATTTTAGATCAAGGGCACATCGAGGCCCCCCCCCCCCCCCAAAGAAAATCGCGGCATATGGCGGCTAGAGTTCAAAAGTAAACGCGGACAGAAATGGTGAGATGAGATGCAACTGACGACGGTCATACTATCATGTACACATAGTCACTGTTCTCGAATTTCACAGTTGAATGCATTCACAGCTAGTGAATTGCATCACTAGGCCCATTGATGCAATAGATGAGCCATGCCTTCCTACCACAAGTCGAGACTGGAATAGTAGATTGCTCAGCCTACTGTAACTTGCCCGATAGTTACTGATGAAGTGTAAGACGATGAAAAAAAATGCAATTGTACCATATCTAAATCATACAACGGAGCCGGCCTTAGCTGCAATACGGGGCCACAGGTCAACCTGAGTATTGACGTTAGAGACATAATCTTCCACGTCTTGAAATGGAAACCTACACATTCTTTTGCGACAGGGCCAACGATAACGGAGCCCTTCATATCACCCTTGGGGTTAACAATAACACCGGCATTGTCCTGCGTAATTGGTTATATATATGCAATAAGGCGAACAAAACGGTTTCGTACCTCAAAGTACAAGAAAACACCGTCTCTCCGACGCCATGCCTTACGTTGGCGGACAACAACAGCGGGCATAGCTGCAAGTCGATCTCATCAGTACGACTGATCGACACAAGGTGCAGCGCTAATACACACTTTTTTTCCTCAGTTCAGGTTTCCCCTTCTTTACTGATGCAACGACCATGTCACCAACACCAGCATCAGGCAATCTGTTCAATCGTGCACCGAAACCATAAGGCTCGATTATGAATAGTGACTTGGCACCGCTGTTGTCGGCACAGTTGAGGACGGCACCAACAGGGAGACCAAGTGTCATACGGAATTTCTTTCCAGAGGAGCCAACTGAAAGTAGGGAATGAGATGTGAGCTACACATGTACACGGGAGAGGTACCGCGATCTTTCCCCATCGTATAGGTTGCTGAATGCTTGCTGGATCTTGCGTGACCGCGACCACTTGAGTATGCTCACTCACCAAAGTTTCAAACTGTACAGTTACACCGGCAACCTCCGGATGGACGATTTGGTACGTCATGGCCTCACCTCTTGGGGCGTGCACTCCTCACGCGGCTGGGACAAACGAAATCATAGCTCCAACTCGGCAAAGTTTTTCAGAAAGAATTTCCTCAAACCGTGACTCGACGACTCCATCGTATCTACTGGCTCTATAACTCATATCTTCTTTAATTATACTGATTAGTACGAATCTAATACAAATAGTTGTAAGCGTCGCATTTCATTTGGTGTTTTCGCACTTGAAGTTGGAGTTATCTGCCATGTGCAGGCGGCCGAGATACAGAGGGCGGTACTAGCTAATATACAGGACCACGCTGCATGCGTTCCCAGATATGCAACAATGAATAATGATGGTATTGCTTGGGCATATCCAGTAATAGTACTTCGATACATGCCGAAATTACGCCGTGGCAGCGTGCAGACCGCGAGGAGATCGTAAATAATATCGATCAAGTTTACGCCGAGTTGACCGAGTGCAGAGGTTATCCACATTTCCCGGTGATTAGTATATGTTACCTACTACAAGACAAACGACCTCTCTGCAACATCGAATGCCGCGGAGGTGCGGCGGCTGGCCTCGCCAAAGCCCCGCCTCCCTGCCTCCAGCTTCACTGGCGTGTCTGCATTATAGAGGAATGTACATGATGCAGACTTGAGGATCTGATCATACAATGGTATACCATTACGTCGATTTGAGTATATTCATGTGTCAATTTGCACCGTGACAGCCTGTTTGACCCAGCTATTTCATATTATAGAAACAACTACGAAATGTGAATCAGCTTGAAAGATGTGGAATATTAGGATGGAACAATATCCTTCCCACCGGGCCTTGGGGGTAGAGATGCGCGTATGAATTTGTTTAATTTGAAAGGTCTTGGACACTTTGGAAGACAGGCCTGTCCATAAATGTATGCTAATTGAAATCAGTACCATCCCATTGCAAGAAAATTGTTGGGTCAAAACGGTTTTGCAAAGCTACAGACTTGTTCAGCCAGACACTAGAAATAAATCGAAAGGGAATACTAACGTGGCATCAATTTGCTTAACCTGAGGAAGCGCAAGCATTATCTTCCGTCTGTAACTCGCACCTTCGGCCTGCTGACAAGGATTGCCTTCCAGGTAAATTGTTTCAAGCGATGCCATATTCTTGAGCTGCGACTCAAGGGATCGTAGATCAGCAATCTTGTTGTTATTGAGCTGACCATAAAATCAGATTTAGGTTCCATCTCAGTCAAGAAATACCCACCCAGAGCTCCTCTATGGATGTCAGATGCGAGATATTTTCGATAGCTTGAACAAAGTTTGCACCAACGTCAAGTGTTCTCAGCTTTGTCTGTGCAAGAGCTTGAGCATGACGGCGGAATAACTAACCCAATACCTACATTGTTCTCGAGACCTTCCAAACGCTCAACTCCATTATGGCTCAGGTAGAGCTCTTCCAGATCGACTAATTGATCTAGACCCTCGATCTTTGTGATCCTATTAGACTGAAGAGACAATATTTTCAGTCTTCTCAGTGTACTCAGATTCTGTTGTATCGTATGACTGTGAGCATCAAAACTACGATAATGCGATGGACTGCACCTCTAGTTTTGTGAGCTTATTTTTTCCAAGCCACAATTCTTCCAGGTTAACCAACGCATCCAACCCTTCGATATGCTGGAGTACCAGCGTGAGCTACCCCTGCGAATGATCGGTCAATCGTACCCGTATTCTATTTCCCCCAAGTTCAAGACTTTTTAATGTCGCTCCAACAGATTTGAAGCCAGTGATTTTGGAGATCTTGTTTTGAACGAAATACACGGTCTTCAACAATCGTAGATGCGACAGTGCCTCCGGCACTTGTCGTAGAAGGTTGAACGAAAGGTCCAGAACGCTAGGCGACTTGAGAATAAACCAAAGGCTTGGCTAGAAATTTTACTCACGTTATAGCAGACAAATTGTCTAGTGCATCTCCCACAGTCTTGAGTTTATTGTCGTACAGGTCAAGTTCTTCAAGTTGCGTGAGCAGCTTAAAGATCTCTGGATCTAGATGCGATATAGCATTTTGTCTGAGACATAACTTCCTCAGATGCCTTGCGAACCGGTCGAGTCGAAGGTTTGCTAAAGAGCTCAACCTCGAGTGAACGAGTTCTAATTCCTAGTCATTCGGCATGCCTCGATTAGGTAGACAATGAAAGACGGTAGAAGTACGCACGTCAGTTTCGTCTGGAAAGTCTTCCAAGAGATCACCATCATTTGCTTGGGATCCATCTGCCTCGGCTTCCCCATCGGAGTCACCGTCTACCGCAGGAGGTGGTAATGCGACACGGGCTGTGGGGCTACCGGCAGGTCATTAAAGTTGAACCGGATCTCGGCTCATTGGAGCTCACCGTTCAACGACTACATGACTCGCGCACTCCACTGATTGTTCATTCGGCCGGTGCATGATGAGATTAGTACAGGTCCGTGCCAGCAAGCCAAGACGATATAGATCCGAAGGCTAAGTCATGAGCGGCCTTTAATACGTTACTTACATAAAGCGTGGCTTCTTGTGGCTGTGTAGAAGGAATGACGAGCTTGACTTCAGTCAAATGACCAAAAAGATCAATATCAGGTGGCTCTAAATGATATAGCTGGATGTACTAGGTAATATTCTCCATCATTTAGTTGACTTGACGCAGACATGCCAGTGGACGCTCCAGCGCTCCAGGGCGATCCATAAGTTGACTGTCATCTGGCAGCGAGTTGATCGGCCTAGCAAGTTTTTTGAGGATCGCGATTTCACGACCAGACACGTGGACAAGCGCGATGGTCCGACCGCAACTTAACTTCCAATTTCATGATTTCAAATTAGCATGTCCACTACGATAAAACTACACAAGGCATGGATCCATGTGTTGGTTGCACTATGTAAGTCCAAAAGGAACAACCAGCTGCAGCGAATTGCATCAAATAAATATTTTGGCAAGGAAGGTGTGCTTGCACCATTGGCCGAAAAAAAAATGAACCGGAAACATTAAAATACTGAAACGTAACATTTCACAGAAAAAGGGCCAAGGTGTCGCATAACGCTTGGGTAAGCTTCAAGTCGTTCGATTTAACGAGACGTTGTCACCGGAATCTGCTACGTTCTGGTGAAGGAGGCAGTGAAGTCAGGTGACGATCCTGTGTTTTTGCCCGTTCAAAAGCGGTTGAATTTGATGAGTGCGAGGGATAAGGGTGATATGACCCGCTGCGCGACGACGAGCCAGGCACATCATCTTGTCCTCGTGGTGGACGGAGAGTCAGCTGACCCGAAGATAGCGGAGATGGGGAGGGTTGAAAAGGGCTGGACGCGTGATAAGGGAATGTACGACCATCAACTCGTGCTTGATGATGCGACGGTCCTGAGGAGGGCTGAGAAGGGTGGTAATGAACAAAATTGAGACCAGGCAACGGAGGTGATGGTGAAGGCCGGTTATCTTCTGGTGCTACAGGGCTTGGTTGAGAGTAAGGTTCACTACCAGATCCAGAGCCAACAGATGATGGCGAAGCAAATGTGTTCCCTTCAAGAGCACCACGACGAGTTGTCGAAGTGGTGCCGGCAATAGGTATCGGAGGCGTAGACGGCACCGTAGACTCCTCATTAGCCGTAATGGCTCCGATCTTGTCTTTCTTCCGACGCTGTGTCGACACCACGTGCCCTTCCTTCTTAGCACGAGAACGGGCGTAGCGCAACCCACATCTGGTCAATGAAGCAGAAAACAAGTGAATATTAGTAAGTAGTCTCGTCGCATGTTATGGCATCACCCACGCGTTACAGAGCTCCTTTCTGCCACTGGGGCCCTTCCTCCATTCAGGACTAGAGGTTGCCTTGCAACTACTGCATTTGAGAACACCCAGAGGGCGGTTGTTGGTGCTACGTGGCAGGGTGTCCTTATGTGTTCCGGGGCTCACTCGGTGCCTTGGAGGAGGTACAATGTCGTTACCGCAGGGCGGCGCCGGCGGTACACTAGCCTCGAAGGTTTCAAAGCTGGCCTTTGTATTGTAGTCCTCAGGACTAGGTGTGGCTTGATAGTTGCTTAAAGACGCTCTGTTCTCGGCATAAATTGGAGACGGCGATGGTCTCGAGTAAGGAGACTCGCGCAAGGTGCATGAAGACGATGGGAGGGATGCCATCGAATGTGCAGGGCTTTGAGCAGGCCACCTGTTAAACTGAGAAAGCGAGGAAGAAGGTTCCGAGTAACTCCCCCAGGGCGAATGAGAGTATTGGGACGTCAAAGACTGCGTGTAGTGCCCGTAAGCTTGTGGCATTGAGGCAGACACGGGCGGGAGTGTGTACGGACTTGCCGACAGGTCATAGGGGTGATGTTGGCTGTGTGTGGGCATGTAGGCGTCTGTCGACCTCGTGAACGGCTGAGACTGAGAATAAGAGACAGACAAGCTCCGCGAAGCAGGCTGTTGAATGGTGTGGCATGCAAACGTTATTGAACCTATATCCGCTTGTTTAATAGAAGCACATGGACTTTCATCAAGGAAGCGCTTACCATGAGGGATAAACACGCTTTCTACTTCGCCTATTCCAGGCATTGTATCTTGGATTCTCCAACGTCTCGTGCAACTGGTCTTCGCACTGTTATCCCGAGTGGACGTCTGAATGCCCACCGCTCGCCTTGCAAAGTCTTTTGCTCCTGGCATACCAGGATATTCTTGGCTGCTATCCGACGGCCAGCTCAACAGAAGACGACAGTCCTGCTGGTTGTAATTAGAGTTGAACAAGATCTGGAATACCCTAGTTGTGGCGGTTGATTGAGGGAAGTAATATAGAAGCCGCTGTTGCAACAGCGTTATCTGTTCTGGGTGCATGCATGGCGTGCCACACCAATTTGTCCATGGAGTTCTGTGGTGCTCATCATTGTCACCAGGTTCAAGATCGACGACTGCGTGGATAAAGCATAACACGAGGCCCTCTGCAGCCCAGTTAATGACGATGTCGACAACCATGTAGTAGGCATCCACGGAAACCTTGTCACCATCAGGCCACGGTTGGGTAGGCCCTTGGTGACCGAGGATGCGACGGATGCGAGAGAGACGACAATACCTGACCCTGGAAAAAAAAAATGGGGTCAATATAAATCCGTTTACAGTTTGAATCGCTTACCTGGTAACACTACCATGCATCGTCCTTTGTTCAAGAGCTTCTGCTAGATCTGCTCGCGCAGTAGCCTGTTCTTCGGGGTGAACAAAGGATAGGAGTGACTTGCCAATGAGCAAGTCAGCTTGGTTTTCGAGATGACTGGCAAGAACGGGATCCAGATAGACGAAATCCAATTCGGACGATAATAAGGACCAGTCTAAAAGTGCCACAAGTGGTTAGCGAAATCATTGACGATCAAGAGAAAATTACAGGATTGTGATCGGTTTGTGGAGGGTCCGAAATAATCGGACTGGAGACCCTTTAGGGAATAATAGACTTTGGTGAACTCACAGCATCTGGTCTCGCCAACTTTTGGCAAAGATTGAGACATGGCAATGTCGGAAAAAGGTGGAAAGGGTGTTGAAGTTGAGAGGGCGGACATGCCCTGATGAGGATACCCTTCCAAGGAGGAAAGGGGCAGATGGGATCTGTTTGGCTGGTTATGTATGGAAGAGAAGTCGCCCATGGGCTGGGTTACATGTTCAAGGCCTCGTTGCGTTGGCACGAGGAAGCTCATGGCTAGAAGCTTGAAAAACGAAGTCCCGTAAAGAGACCGCCAATAATAGTTTACAGTATGTTACAATCAGTGGGTCCGAGTTGGTCGACAAACGGAGGTTGAACTCGGGGATCGACGGTCCTTGAGAGAGTTACAACAATCGATCAAGAACTAGTAGGAGCGGGCATATTCGTTTAGGAACGGAAGGAGGGGTCCGTATCAAGTCTCAAAATTGACTTTCAGGTTCGACTTTAGTGCAACTTGTTTTAAACTAAAATATCTCCGCTGATTTTATATCAGAACTCAGACTCCGTTTAATTCGCCTGCCGTTCCATACCTCAGAAGGTACAAAATTCGTAAATTTAAGAGGCAGTACCACCGCGTGCTACCTACCTCATGACGGTGCCGAGCTCACCAGGGGAAACTTCGATCAGCATAGATCCGAGATTTTAAACGAACAACTTCCTCAATTTTCCTACCGTTAGAAGCATCCAAATTTTTCCGTAGCCTGCGGGCTCCTCGGCGCAGATTGACACCATCTTCAGTGACCGGAAATGAAGGGCTTGTGCACCTGGTGTGCCGATTGTGGCAAAAAGTTGGTCCCGCATTTATGCCTAAATTCCCATTTCGGGCTGTCTTCTTTGTCGACGTCCTCTTACCAAACCAGTCATCTCCAGTCGCTGATTGAGCCCCCTCATCCCATCGATGCCAGTCCCAGCACAAGTTCAACCAGGAAAGAACATTTGGGTAGCTGCAGGCGATGGCGATTTACTTAGGGTTCGGGTACGTAACCTGTCTTCGCTTACGGTAGGTACGCTAAGCTTATCTCGTTCCTTCAGGAACTCGTTGAACAGCAATGCAGGCGTCATTTTATAGTAGTTCACATGATGAGGACTGATCCGGTTCCTCCCAGCCACGTCGCCCAATGCTCCTGATGAATTCACATATACTCCCATGCACGCTGCGGCGTCATACGGGCAGCTTGAGACCCTAGCATACCTATTCTCTCAAGGTTAGTTCCTTGACCACAAAATGTAAAAAAAGCTGACCTTCCAAGCACAGGTGGAGATGTTAATATCACCGATGAAGACGGGGATACACCGCTATATGTAGTTGAAGATACCGAGACGGCACAATGGCTATTGGACCACGGATCTACCTTAGACCATCGGAACAATGATGGTGCCTCCGTGCGTGAGCTAGGGTATCATCTGTCACCTTTTTTTCTGATATAAGATACACACAGCCTATTGAATATTTGCAAGAAAACTTTCCAGAAATTGCTGCATATCTGCAGTCGCGCCTAAATCCTTCCTCATGTACGATCCCTGAAGCGGTGTCACCCTCGCGACCTTCTCAATATCAGCAAAACATCGCGACAGAATCCCTCACGTCATCGCTCATGCAGTCTGTTCATGATATCATGCAGCGGTCTGAAGCAGACGGTCGGGATCCTGATGAGGAGCTGAGACAAGTCGTTGGCAGAACAGTATTAGAAGGGGTAATAGCAGGGTATGAGATGACAACGGATAGTAGCGATGTTCAAGCTAATGGAGTCAAGAGACCTCGAACGGATGGTAATAATTAATTGTCTACCGTCCAGCATGACATGAATATGTGGATCCATGCTCTCCTGGTTATGTTTCACTCCTCGAAACGAATAACCCGATCGGATGATCGTCGCAAACGATTAAACACTGATCATGATCACAGTCGATCAAATCAGCCGTCACTCGAGGGACGTTATCCGTAAAAAGTTACCACCCTTAGTGACAAAAGTTACTTGTTTAAGACATGCCTCCCATGTTATGAGAACGGGATTGGAAGTGGTGTCTAAAATATCTGGTACTCGGATGTCCGCAGCCGGAGTGAAGGGAGGCTTGGCACAGCCCAGCGTCAACCTGCACCAACTCCGTTAATTCCTTTATCCGATCGAACTGTTCACGTTCGTGGAGTGATGGAAACGTGTAACGTTCTGGACTGGTTGGTACGATGTTTCCGAGGAAGTTCATTGATTACGACGACCCAGTGTAGGGTATGCTTGTGTGATGTCTTTTTGCCTAAAGTTTTGGGGTGATTATCTGTTGGCACAGCAGCATACCTGTGTTATGAAGATAAGTCCATGGAGATTCCACGGGTATCATTGGGCACGAGTGCTTTGGATAGCAGTTATATCACCCGACATCAATCTCGACTTGTCTGAGAAGCAAAACATAAACCTTCTACATGAACACGTTTGCGGGCGCAGAGATTCGGAAAGTAGCGAAATGAGTAGAAGAGTGAATAACAATGAAGGGCTTGCAAGGGTTTGGAGACTGATTTCAGTGTCCAGACCAGATATAAAAACGCGACAAGACGCGTTTATAAACACGCGCTCTTTCAGATTACCTTTTTAGGATACTCACCACAGTACTTCTCTTCCCCCATGGCAGACCAAGTTGCAGGCCTAGCTTCTTGTTTCAGTTTCGATGACATTTCACAGGCATCTGCACGCACCGATGGATCTGATAAGACTCCAGTTCTGAAATTAATCAGGGAAAGTCAAGCTAAGGGTTATGACTTTGTCTGTCTTCCTTTGACTACCCCAAAATGGAGAGAGCGATGGAGAAATATGTGCATCGTGCCATCAGCAAGTGCAAATGACACTGATGAAAATGCAACTGCAGAACAGCAGGCAGAGGCATGGAGGAAAGCACCGTCTTTCCTGCATGAGGAGGTGACAATCTCGACACTTGGTGAGTGAGATCGACAAACCATGTCCTCAATCATGTTAAGTGGCGATGCGATAGATGAGGCGGTACCTGTACTTGTGATGGCGTCAGACTGGCTTCAGCTTGACTCAACGGATGACTGGGTTAGGCACGACTCAGAGATCGTGAGTCCATTCTGTGAAAAAAGTCATGTTTATGGGCGTTGTGGAGCTACCTTCCCGGACCTTATTGTTCTGCACTAACCCGAAACTGATTTTTCAGGCATTGTGCCAGGAAGTGGCCTACGCGTCATACCTCAATGTTCAGACGGTCATTTTACCACCACCTAGGCATCGATCACAAGTCGCATCATATGCGCGCGCTGTAAATGAATGTCTCAAAAGTACGACTTTCATGAACTTCTCAATACGTCTTCCTATCTACGATCCTGCCGTCTTTCAACCAAAAGAATCGTCACCTATTTCTCCTTCTATAACGAGCACATCGTCAACCCCATCTGCACCCTCAACGCCGAAAATCGTGATACCGCGAGCTTCTACGTCAAAATCCTTCAAGGCTGCACGGGCTCCCGAGGGAGAGATAAATGCTACTTGGGAGATGTGGGACATAATACGCACACTCTGCGACTATAACACACGCTTGACGCTCAGTATGCATTCGCTTTACGTCTTGGAACAGTACCTGATGAACTGGATTCCAGCGCTCGATCTCACCCCGCCATTACCTTCTAATGCCGGCATCCTCAACAGATGGATGGCTGAACCCGTTCATCATATATTCCTCCCCGCGTCCACGTTTATCGCGAATGTGAAGGGCTACCCTGTCCTTCCCAAGGGTACACAATCCTTTCTACGCAATAGCATGGCGGTGAGTTAACCCTGTATTTCTGCTATTGGGCAGATGATAAAACAAGAATCGGCTAGCATCGCCCTATCATCATCATGTCAGGGGTTAGTTCGGGGTTACACACGAAAGGTGGCGAATCAGCATATGCACAATATGTGCGACATGTCGAGAAGACAAGCTCGGCTGTTCAGGCAGCGATGACGGCAGGGACAGTTGAACACTTCGCTCAGGGTTATCAAGACTACCTCCAGAACCCCTTACAGGTTGATATATGCACCTCATTTCCGCATCCTATCGTACTGATGTCTGCCTAGCCGCTGATGGACAACCTCCAGAGCATTACGTATCAAACATTCGAACAGGACCCTGTGAAATACCGCAATTATGAAGAGGTGCGTTTCATCTATTATGAACCGAAGTTGTCCAGTGACACGTGAAATTTGTAGGCCGTGTATCACGCGTTGATGGACTGGCCTGATAGTGATCACATGTGCGAATCACATATGGCATGTATTACAAGGCTTAACCCTTCTTCGCAGTGTGATTTGCGTTGCTGGGGCAGGCCGTGGCCCCCTTGTTGAACGAAGTTTGACGGCCATCAACAGATCGGGAAGAAGTGCCTTCGTGTACGCAGTTGAGAAGAACCCAAATGCCTTTGTGACGTCTGTTTGGCTCTCATCATCTTCACATTGACGTCTGACTGTAAGCAGGCTTCAGGGCCGGAAACAGAATGAATGGGGTAACTCTGTTCAGCTGTTCTTTGGCGACATGCGGCATGTAGAGCTCCCTGAGCAAGTAGACATCCTCATCACTGAATTACTCGGCTCGTTCGGCGATAACGAGCTAAGTCCGGAGTGTCTCGACGGCGCAATGAGGTTTTTGAAACGTACGGATTGTTCACGCTCATCGCCCATTTCGCTAACCGTTCTCCAGCTGATGGCATCTCCATCCCATCATCGTACAGCGCCCATCTCGCTCCGCTATCTTCATCGAAGTTGTACAATAATGCACGAATCAGCAGAGACATCAAAGGCATGGAAACACCATATGTGGTGATGTTCCAAAATGTCAACATCCTGAGTGGGGATGGCGGGGGAGTATCTGGAAACTGTGGGCATATGATCCAACAATGCTGGGAATTTGAACATCCGCGAAAAGATGCGACCGTCGATGAACGAGGTGAGTAGCAGACCTTCTGGCCAGACGGACACTAACTATGCCGAGTGTCTAGGGTTACCCCTGACAAACAGTCACAATGTCCGCTCCGCCAAGCTGTCGTTCCATATCCCTCATGCTGGGGTTATGCACGGGCTCGCCGGTTATTTCGAAGCCGTCCTGTATGGGCATGTTGGTCTTAGCATTCATCCGCATAGTAAAGATCGGGTATCGAAGGACATGCTGAGCTGGTTCCCGTTGTTCTTCCCATTTAAAGTATGTGTTGTCATTAACATCCTCTGATGACTCTTGTTGACATTCATTCGCCAAGGAACCTCTGTACCTACCTAGCAACTCGGAACTGCACGTATCAATCTGGCGACTTACGAATGAGCGGCAGGTATGGTACGAGTGGTACGCCGAGTCGTTTTTGCCCGTGTTCAATTCTTCATCATCACCTGAACACTCTGAGGATATGTCAGGAGATGGGTCCTTCTTCGCATGTACCTCGACTCATGTTGCGGTCCCGAGTCCTGTGATCGACGCTGTTGATGTATTTCCATCTTTAGAGCGGTCTGAATTGCGCAAGAGTGGAGAAGAATCACCAAGGTCCGCCGGGGTCATTAAAATTGGGCAGACTTCGTTGCACAATCCTGGAGGACGAAGTAGTTGGATTGGATTATGAGGCACATTTTACCGTCGTGCACGCACTGCATGCGGGCTCCAAGGTGATTGTGGAACATGTTGCTCTTATGATGTTACATAACAAGATTGTCATTGCCCCAAAAATAACTGTTCCTTGAAGTGTAACTATATGCTTCATATGGTCTCACTTATCTAAAGTTAACGTGACGATCGTTGCAGGACGTTAGTGCTTTACCTCCACGAAATCTCACATAAACGCCTTAAGCTTGTAGCCCTCTTCAACAAGTTTTGTTGCATGCAGATACAGTTGACTAGTGTCAGTCAGTTTTTCACAGTATTTGCGGCTGACTATTTAGTTCAAATGGAAACATACGATAGTTCGCGGAGATTAAAAATCATCATGCCGTAGGCATCGGCAGGGTCACGGACTTCAAACTCCGCCAAGCCTTAAGAGTGCCGTGGTAACAGTAACTATCTATTTCACTTTCTTATTTTCTCGAAGCTCCAGACAAAAAATACCCGACCCGCTATTCGCGCCGCCCTCGTTCAACACACATACCGACGATGAAGTTCACAACCGTTCTCGTGGCCCTCGTTTCTGCCGTCCCCGTTGTCTTTGGTCTTACCATCAACACACCGTACGTGTCCATTAGATCTCGTTACTCGGGAGAGTGTGCTCATTGTGTGGTGCAGAGCCAATGTTGTTGAGTGCCGTATGCGCTTTGTCAAGGATTGATATCACGCTCTAACGCTGCTCGTGTCCTCTAGAGCCCATTTTGTTCAGTTGGTCTGGCGGACAGTCTCCCTACTACTTGACCCTCGTACCTGGTATGTGTCTTATGCAATTGATTAGGTGTCGGTTTATTTAGTCCCATTTTGCCTCGTATAGGCGGGCAATCGATGGCGGCAGCTGTGAGCGATTATTTTCAAGCTGAAGCTGACCGGCCATACTGAGACATTTTCGAATAGATCAAGTCCTTCCCTACACAAACGGGTACTTCCTACACGTGGAACGTTGATCTTCAAGCCAACACTATCTTGTGAGTTACTCTCGGCTTCTTAGGGACGCGCAGCTGACTGGGATCCAGTAACATTGCTCTCAAGGACACCACTGGTGCTGTGGCATACTCTGATATCATCACTATCATGCCTGGCAGCGACACCTCATGTGTTAACACAGCAGTAAACGAGGGTGGCGCGTCGAGTGGCAGCGCTGCTACCAGTGGCACCTCTACGCCGACCTCTGGGTATGTTTCAATTGTTTCGTGAGCCTTAGCAGCTACTGAGTCATCTGCCCGCTTAGATCCTCTGCATCTCCGTCTGGTACTAGCTCTTCTGGTGCTAAAACTTCTGCTACTACCACTGCATCCTCTGGTACGGCCCAGAAGACCGGCGCTGCCAGTAGCCTTTCTGTCTCTTCGGCAATGGGTGTCGCTGGCGTGATGGGTCTTGTTGGTGCTGCTCTTTTCTAAGCATGTTGATAGTGCGAACACGATCATGACGCGCGACGGACTGTTTAACTTGATGCATATCACCTGTCTTTGCTCGTTTCATATTATTCATATTTTAGTCACTTGTTTTTTGTTACCAGTGTGCCCTACTTTGTGCTCCTTTGTGCATTATAGACGAGCATCATTCATTTGTCACTATAAACCCCTGGTGTGAAAACATCATTGTGAAATTACGCTTGATGTCAAACGAAATTGATTGTACACGTTTGAATCATAGCACGTGACCAGTCGCGTAGACTTTCAAGCGGGCTTCTGTTGAGTTTCTTTGCGCACGTCGCTTGCATTTTTTTGCAGCTACGACTGGTCGGGTTCGCTCAGAAGAACGAACTTTGCAATCTCTCTATCTCCCTCACTTTCTATAGCACATTCCCTACTATAATTATTCGAGAACATGTCCACTGTGGCCGACAACGCTGTCGTCGCTGACGACCTGATATCTAACGGCCACCCGGTGTACGACGGTGTCAAATTTTTCGAGCCTAGCAAGTTAGTGACTGACGGAGAAGTCGTCGAGGCTGCTCCAAACGGCGTGCAAGACCTTATACCAGGTGCCGAAGATGTTTTCGGAACAGATGACAAGACGGACGATAGCTTGGTAACTGAATTCCCTGGCAACACCCTTGCGGCGGAGACGTCTGTCGAGGTTCTCAATGTGGTGTGTACTACTCTTTACCAAGTTGGAGCTCTTGTGTAACTGAACTGTATCCAGGGCAAGTTGATTGACGATGTGTCGTCAGAGGCACCTATCCTGCACACCGGTAACTCTGATAAGGAGAACACTACCTTTATCCATGACTCTGAGCCTCTCGCCAACGGCCACCACAAGTCTCTTTTCGTAGAAGAGTCTGAGCAGCTTACAACTCTCACAATCGCCCCATGCAACAAGCCTGCAAGTCTCACAGAGCTCGTTCAAGAGGACGCGATTGAGTTTTCTGATACGGTTATTTCAGAGATACCCAAGGTGTGCAAATGTGCAGATATGCTTTTGACGCGTCCATCCTCTAACAATTAGCTACAGGACGAATCACCAATCACTGACAGCGCAGGCCCTGAAATACCCTTTGTCGATGTTGCCACAATCGTTGTGGAAGCTTCTAAAGCCTCTCTAGATTGTTATGGAGAGCCTCCTATCGCTGCTAGCACCGGACCTGACACGTCCCTATCAGACTTTGTCACAACTTCCATAAACGGCGTCGGGAGCACTGCTACTGCAGAGCCTTCCTGTCAAGACGAGACGCCCATCTCCCAACTGAGCACCGAAATAAGAACTGCTGATTTATTTGAAGAGGTTGTTGTCCCCCCTGCTATTGAAGCAAAGGTGAGTCATGGTGCTTTTAATGCAACATTTCTCCCTCATTTTGATGTTATTGCAGGAAATATCTACCATGGCTGTAGAATCTGAACCGGCTATCATGGAAGATGCGTGTGACCCGATTGATGCAGAAGCAAGCATAACGGAAGCGGAGGCTTCGCCTGTCGGAGAGGAACCTGCGGTCACCGAGACCGTGGCTCTGGCGTCCATCGATTCTATAGCAGAAACCGCTCCCGAAGGTGAAACCATATCGAACGAACAAGAATCTGCGTTAGTTGAAACACAACCTTCCACAGCAGAGTCAGGGGCCACGCCAACGACGCTTCAAGCTGCACCAATTACACCGACATTGTGCGAGGTCGTCCTAGAGGAGAGTCAGGCCTGCGAGCCTAGCTCGGAGCCCGCGGCAACTTTGGAGCCTATCCTAAAAGCTACCGAGTTGCAGCCAGTTGAAGATGCTGCAGTAACTGCGGCGCTCGTCACAGAAGTTGCCGAATTGGATCCGATTGAAGAAACTGTGCTAGTGTCGGAAGCAGTAGCCACTGTTGCGCCAGCCGAGATATCAGGTGCAGAGGCGGAGGAATCTGCTGCAGAGGTTGGTGCGCGTATCACAGCTGAAAAGGAGACTAATGAGAAATCGCAGGGCGCTGTTGATGCTGAGGACGCACCAGCTGCTCTCAACGAACCGGAAGTGGAAGTGTTCGTTCCGGAAGTCGTTTCGGCTCCAGCTGAGGTTGTGACAGGGCCAGATGTCCTGTCAACTGAATCAGAGGATGGTGCCATCACGCCAACTATGGTACCCGAGGTCCCTGTCGAATCTGTGGTTGCTGCTGAAGCAGAATCTGCACACGACTCCATTACTGCTGACTCAGAACCAGTCACGACCCCTGACCCCGAGCCCATTGCTACCTCTGAGACAGATTTTTCAGCAGCCGCAGGACGTGAACCTGCCGCTGTCGAGTCGGGAGCGCCTGCAGCAGTCGATGCAGAGCTCACAGAACCTGCAGTCGAGTCTATTGTAGTGGAGACTGTCGAGGTCGATGTCGAGTCGGAAACGCCTGCAGCAGTTGATGCAGAGCTCACAGAACCTGCAGTCGAGTCTATTGTAGTGGAGACTGTTGAGATCGATGTCGAGCCACCCAGCTCCAACGTATCATTCATCGAGGATCCTGAGGTGGGCTTTATGCACGCTGACGACACGCAAACAGTTCTAGCTGAGGGGGCTCCTGTGTTCGAGGAGCCTGTTTCGAACGCCACTGACGTTGAGTCCGAGGTGCAGGTAGAAGAGTTCTTCGTTGAGGAGATTGTGGAGGTCATTCCAATCAATGTTGCTACTCCTATAGGAGAGCCTGCATCACTCGAAGAAATTGCAGCGGAGGAAGTTGTAGCGGTCGAAGACGTAACGGACGAGGAATTCTCGGTTGAAGAGCCTTTAGCGGTTGAAAAGGCTGAGGACGTCATCGCGGTTGAAGAAACTATACCTGCTGAAGAGGTCGTCTTAGTTGACGTTGCTACAGGAGAGCTTGCAGCGCTTGAAGAGACTGTACTGGTTGAGGAAACCACTGCAGTTGAAGAAACAATACCTACTGAAGAGGTTGTTCCAGTCGATGTTGCTACAGGAGAGCCCGCAACGATTGAAGAGACTCTACTGGTTGAGGAAACCACTGCAGTTGTACCTACTGAAGAGGTTGTTCCAGTTGATGTTGCTACAGGAGAATCCGCAACGCTTGAAGAGACTGTACTGGTTGAGGAAACCGCTGCAGTTGAAGAAACATTGCCTACTGAAGAGGTTGTCCCTGTCGATGTTGCTACAGGAGAATCCGCAACGGTTGAAGAAAACATACCTGCTGAAGAGGTCGTCCCAGTCGACGTTGCTACAGGAGAGCCCGCACCAGTCGGAGAGGTTCCCTCAGTCGAAGCTGTGGCAATCGAAGAACATGCACCAGTCGGAGAGATCACTCCAGTCGAATCAGCTAGCCCAGTCGAAGAGCCTGTTGTTGACGAAGCTGAACCTACCGTTCAAGGGCTCGTAGCTTCCATTGACGATGGTCCGGTGTTGGAAGAGGCCGTGCCTTCTACCCATAATGCAGTTGATGTCGAAGCGTCTCCTCCCACATGCGAGGTCTCCCCGCTTGAAGGACCTGCCGCATCCTTTGAGGAGCCTCTTGTTGTACCTGAAGAGACATTCGCTGAAACTGCCGCTTCAGCAATCGAAGAGATCTCGCTCGCCGGAGATGCATCAGCCGTCGAAGAAACATCCTCTCCCTTTGTCAAGGCGTCAGTTGGAGAAGATGTCCCTGCTGTTGAAGAACGTTCTGCACTTGTAGCAGTGGATATGCCTGGATCAGAAACGGTAGAAGAGCTCTCCGCATCAGTAGAAGAGCAAACATCTGTTGCGGCCGAGGACACTATGGGGTGCAAAGATGAGCCTGTAGCAATCGAGGAAACTTCCGCAGATGCAGTGAAACCTGTCTCCGTTGATGGTCGAATTCCTCCCACTATAGAGGGAACATCTCTCCTTGCAGAGGTGCCCTCGGATGCTGACGGGCCTACTCCTGAGGCGACTTCAACCGCGGAAGAAACTTACGTGCCCGAAGGAGAGTCTGTTACGATCTCTGAAGTGGCAGTTGTCGCATCGGTCGAAGAGGATGTTCTTGTGGTCGAGGAACCTCTCGAGCTCTTAGACGTAGAGGCGTCCGAACCAGTTGTGAATGAGGCAGCTACGGTGTCGACGAGAGAACATGAGCTAATTGTCGAGAATCCTCCGGTGTCCGACGATCAGCATGTCGCCGTCGAGGAAACTCCTGCGGCAATCGAAGATGGATCTGTCTCTTTCGATGATCAACTGCCTCCCATAAACGAAATACCTCTCATTGCAGAAGTGCCTTCGGTTGCTGATGAGCCAACACTTGATGACAGTCCATCCACGGAAGAACCTCCCGCGCCTGAAGACGAGCCTATTACCGGCTCTGTGGAGGTCTCGCCAACAGCAGGAGAAGTCGCTGCTGAGCCCGAAGAAATCACCTCGAAAGCGGAGGAGACCACTCCAGTTTACGAAGCGGGCCCCACCACTTCCGCGGACCCAATACTTGACGATGCCTTATCTCCTGAGGGAACTACAATCGTCGCCGAGCAGTCAACTGTCGAGTCTGATGCTTCCATAATTGAACTGCCCGTGGCTGTTGAAACACCCGCTCCCGCTGCAAGTGAAGCAGCGGTCGTCGTCGAGGTTGTTCTCGAAGAAGTCCACGCTTTCTTGGAGCACACTGAAGATGCCTTATGTACCAGTGAAGAGACTGAGGACAGGCCTGAGGGTTCACCGCATGTAGGGGCACCCGTGTGTTTGCCTGAGCAACCCTTCGTAGAGGAGTCTCTTCATGTGGCTTCCATCGTTGAAGAGTTTGCGCCCGTGCCCGCAGAGGAGTCTGAGATTTTAGAGGAGCTGGATGTGGTCACCTCCCAAGTTCTTGTCAATGTGGAGCCTTTAGAGACTTCTAGCGAGATTGAAGAGACCGAAGCAGTCGAATATTCCGAAACTACCGCAGTCGAAGATGTCACTGAACAACAAGAGGTATGTACGACCCGTTGTCAGTATCCACGTTTTCTCAAACACGTTTTAGATTGCAACATCCCCTGCTCTCAACCTTGCTACCGACATCGAACGTCCCAAGTCACCATGGAGCCCTTCTTACAGCGTTATGACTCAAGGACCAGGCGTTCCCGTAGAGGAGCATGTGACCGCCTATGAAGGCGATGATGACGCTGCCCCTGCCCAGTCACAAACACCCGAGATCATTATCGATGAAGTAGATGCGGTTGTTTCAGAGGTTGGAGCTGATATGGAAGTATCTGAATTCCAAATTGAGGTTTTACAAGTAGCAGAGGAACAGGTAGAAATTTTACCCCTATTGCCTTCCTGCCTTTAACTTATTCTGGCATAGGTTGCGCTCGGCGAACTGGAAGAGCCTCACCCTAAATCACCTTGGACACCTTCTTACTCGGTGACCGTCCAAGGCAATGTTGCTCAGACTAATGAGGAACTCGATAACTTGGAGCAGCTTCCTCCAAGTGCTGCCCGCCTTGTTGCAGCGGAGGAATTTGAAGAGCAACCTGTTCCTTTTACAGAAGCACTCATTTCTGGCGAGGTAACCAGTTCTACCACAGTCGTTGCAGACATCTATGCCACGCTTTCGGCAACGCTAGACAAGTCAGATATTCCTGATTCAGCGGCCGAAGCAGACGCTTTCCAGAATGTCGCGTCGGAGCAAGGTGTCATTGCTCAAGCAGAACCTTCGGTCCAGACTCCACCCGAGCCACCTACTGCACAGGAAGTGGCCGAGGAGGAAATTGAACAGGGATCGTTCATTGTCGACGATGAGAGTACGGTAGGTCACTACTAATCTATGCTAATATTAGCCACGCTAAGAGTTTTCGACAGCAATTGGGTGCTACCGACCCTGACGAAGAGCGTAGCAGTTCCCCCTGGACGGCGTCCTACTCAGTAACTGGACTTGAACCAGCACCTGCACTTGAGGATCAAGCGACTGCAAATGACGATGAGTTTGTTGAACATGGATCATTTATCATTGAGACCCAACCAACTGTAAGATCATATTGGTATCGAGCTTTACATTTGCTGAAGATTCCGTAGGTTGGTGTAGAGGACACTCCTGAGGTCAAATCAGACTCGGGGCTTCTGACACCTGTCGACGACCCTGTCGGAGAAAGACCAAAGTCGCCGTGGACCCCTTCGTACTCTGTCACCAAGCAGGGGTCGAATGATGCTGTTGAAGAAGAGGAGCTTGACGAAATCGAACATATTCCTGGTCCACTCTCTAGCATTCCTGCGCTTTCGGCTCACGAGGAGCCCATCCCACCTGTCTTCATCACCGAGACGCGAGCGTTTGTGGATGAGCCTCTTATGGCAGAGACTCCCTCCCTCTCAGAGGGTGACGTGACCGTTTCAGAACTCTCCGAGTCATATGACGACGTTGAGGCCAGTGGAGGTCCAATCGCCCGGGAGACCCCTCAAACATTCCCTGTTCTCGAAGAGCCACAGAAAATCACCAACAAGAAGTCAGTCTATGTTTCCCTCGCTTCCTTCCTTATTCCTGACTCCGTGCATTCAGGCCAAGCTTGTCTGCCGTCGACGAACTCAATGCCACCGAAATCACTGAATCCAGCATCCTGCGCATCGATATTCCCACGAACAACGGAGCCAACCGCAGCAGACTGGAGTCCACGACCTCTTCTCGTTTCTTCCCTGGTGGATGGTTCTCCTCTTCACCCAAGGTTCCTGAAGAGGGTCGCACATCGCTCGACGTTGCAGCTGGAGAATTCATCCATAAGTCTTCAGTCGAAAACACTCCAACCAGTGCTCCAACCACTGCCCTCCCCTCCGCTGTTGAGGAAGACACGGAAAAGAAGTCTCGTTGGTGCACAATCATGTGAAAGGCAGAGTCCGCCATCTTATGCATCTGAATTCTTGAAACTTATCATCGTTTTTATCATTTTCGTTCTCGTTCTCTACTTTACCTTCTCCTATGCATGACCCTTAACGACGAGCGACGACTGCATATTCATATTTACTTTCAAGCGGATTCTTATACTGACATTTACCTCTTGTTTGCGGCTAATCTTCACCTTGTCAATTGCACTACAAGCTTGGAGCTTCCTATATGGGCGAATACCCACCTGAATGTAACCGACCTTAGCTCAGTTGGAAGAGCGCGAGACTGTAACTGGATAAATTCATCTTGAGGTCGCCTGTTCGAGCCAGGCAGGTCGGATATTTTTGGGTGGGCTCCATTTCAAATTCTAACAGGCAGCACACTCATTTTCCACACTATCCCTTATGGTCACTTCGCGACCCACTGCGACTTCGTGGTTTTCAACTACAGACCTTCATTTTATACCGCTCACTGAGTTACTTCACTGAGTATGTTCAACACGTTCATTTCCAATTTTATATAGAAATCATAGAAATCATATTTTCTGTGTTGACGCCAGGAAAAGTCATGAACTAATGTCACCTGACACTGATGTTAGACATTGAACTCACTCACTGAGTGAGAATGTTCACCTTTGTGATTGTTACAAGCTGGTATTCATTGCTAAAATGTGTGATAGTTGCAAGCTGTCAGAAGCAGCAAACTTCCTAGTTCTTTGCTATCCTGGGTATTTCACCCCTGTTCTGCTTGGACAGTATCGTAAAAGGTGGAACCCTGTTATTTATTTAGCTTTACAAATAAATAGAATGGGTGGGAAATGGTTTATAGATATGAAAGAAGCAAGGGTTGGCATGTTCCAAGTAGCATTGTCTCTTGATCAACAAGTGTCGGCTGCATCATCATCACGGTTTAGCAGAAGGAGCGCACTGTCATATAATATCTGGGACTCTGGCCATCCACGTTGTAAAAGAAACATCTGTATGAGTGCAGCGAGAAGCACGGTCTGACCTTTGGAAGTCCCTGTGCATTCGCGTGACGAAGACGCATTGCAGAATGACTTGGTATCTGTTGCTCATCAAGTAACCATCGCCTCAAAATTGAGAATAGACAAACTCTATCACGACATGCGCAAATGGAAACTAAGCCTTGCATCAATAGAGTGACTTCACATGCACGCATTAACTTACCGGAAGAAAATATGTTGTGATAATGACACCGAGAATCAAAGCTATAGCGTTTAGCAAGTAAATATGCAAAAGTTGTTGGTAATGTGCGAGAACCAACCAATGCTGCAGCTGAAATACAATAGATGTTGTTGCAAGAGACCACGTATGAAACGATTGTCGGTTTTCCAACCACCATGATTCTTAACGGCACGATAGAGCAGAAAAAGCAATATTTCTAGAATTGTGTGCATGCGGTAAGTTCAAGCTCGTGTTAGCAGTGGCTCCCAATACAAACCTAGCTCAGCGACAGCCAGTAAGCCGTAAATCACATATACGCTCTCCGTATCCAGATACCTCAAAGCGCCAGGAACCCAGCATTCCCCTGTGTTTTAAGGGACTAAGCAGACAGAGTCCAACTTGAAGTGATACCCACCAGAGGCCGACCAAGCTTCCCTAATGTAAATGAGAATTGGTACTAAATAGGCCTGCACGCAGCACAAGATGAGTTAGACATTGTTAGTCGTAGCCTCCATATATCGAACTCACTATGACGCTGACGATTGCGAATATGGCGAGCCACGTCACCCGCTCCCATACTGCAAATGCTCTGAGTATGAAAATACCTGAACCGGTGCAATAATGTCAGAACGCTGGAGCATTGCTAGGGATTACATTTGCTGTGCCCACATTCAGAGAATAATATCAATAGTACCCCTACATCTGGTGAGTTATGGCGCTGAGTCAGTATGTGTCTGGGGAAAGCTTCACCAGACTCACAGATATTGGCGAATTCATAAAGCGGCAAAGCTTTGATGGGTTAATTTCAAACATCTGCAATGCTTCAATCTGAACACACACAGGGTATGGGGCATCAGGCTGAAAAAGCGCTGAAGGTCGCATCATCAGGGAGGGAAAATGTGGATGTATAGTGGAAACTTACTGAGCATATTCAGTAACACGAAGGCGAAGGGCAGGTGACTGCAAGCTAGATAGAGAAACGTGCCGAGCCCCCATCGACACTTAACGATACACTCGACCTGCACCGACCACAGATCAGTATACCTTGGGATGCTCAAGGAAATTTGTACTTACCGCGTCGGGTATGCACAGTATGTAGTCATATACCTGAAAGTTCGAGTGAAAGCATCAGTCTCAGCCACCAAAGGTTGTGGTAAATTCTGCACTCACCCACAGTGCTGTTAGTGCAACTACCATGAGGGAAAAAAATATAAGTACATCAATGAAAAGTGATTTTAAACCACAACCGCACCATAAGGATACTGGGACGGCAGCGTCAGCGATACAGGGTAGGCCATATAGCATAAATTGCACTCACACCCAACCTCAAGAACGCATCAGCTTGAGTCTCTTGAAAAGCATTCATACTGATTTATGCCAACTCGAATGAGTCAAGATCACTTCAGGTCACTATATTTATAATCATGTATTGAACATGCAGAGCGCAGTACTATATCACAAATTGGTTGCCGTTGGTCTTTGTTTTGTGCTCCGAGTCTGAGATCTGAGAACCCGTTCAGATCGCAGATCGCGTGCCATAACCCATAAAGATAAGAATGTATATCAATATCCAACCGACTAAGAACACACCAGCAACTGTAACGAGAGATCCGCGACTGGGAAGATGGGAGCCACATGGTAACCCAGTGGAAAGGACCGAAGATCGCCGCGGCGGCAAGTCAGCCTGTAAAACAAGAGGAAGCAGAGCAGTGAGCAATGTAGCACCACCAATGTAGTAGAATCCTTGATCTATCGTAATCTTCCCTTGAACTACAAGATCGTTACTTGAAGGTCCTCCGAGTCGGAGCACTGCCAAATAAGAAGATCTGTTTAGACTAGAACTTCTGTGGCCTAGTACTAGCAGCGCTGCATGTCGGATACAGTTTCCAACCGATCTGCCAGAACGGCAATCATTAAGCACAGGACCAACTTGAACGTTCTCGGTTCTTGGCAAACTTCGGTTTCAAGCATTATGTAATGTGAAATAAAAACTAGGGAATTATTTCTCACACCTGAGCATACTGGAGCATGGTATCATACTATTAAAATTTGATCTTACATACGACTCGGACAGGCTGGATGTTGTATAGTATATATGGGCCACAAGGATCAACGAGATGACTTAAAAGAAGCTGTACGGAAGAGGGACGAGCAGGTCAGTGGTTATAGCACGGTCAACCAAGGAAATGTTATTGATAGATGCGTCAATGTAGATTACCTGCCTGGAGGCTCGGATAGACGCCTATATTGCTCGAACATCAGAGACCCAGGCTCGCCTTCTCAAAACTATCGACACCGTCGATTCTCTAAAGGCTCAACATGTAATTGACTTGGCGGCGAAGGAATGCGAGAAGGCAAACTTGTCCCATGAAATTGAACGTTGGAGAACCTTTGCAAAGGGCCTCGAAGTTGAGCGAGATGATCTCAAAGAAGTTGTCGAGGACTTGATTCAGAAAGGTACATAGCAATCCACAAACGGACGCATGCCTTCCGCTCATGTATTATTAGTCCAGATGTCCAGTGATTGGAACATGTGGCCTTGCAGTCGCATGGATATCACAAAACATACATGTCTGTCCTTTCGTTATAGCTTCGCAGATGTCAAGACTAAATACCGAAAATAATACCCAGATGAACTGACTGAAAACCATCTTAAACCTTGTGATACAAGCTGCAGGCATTCTGAAGTTCTCTTGGAGTATGGTGTTTCTGTCATAAATAGGCTGCGCACCGAGCTTGACCACGAGCGTAAAGCACATTACAAGGTTGTGGAAGAAGCTAACCTCCGTATCTCTGAACTGGAGGCTAAAGTTGCCGCACGCGAGGTCGTATTAGAAGCATCCATTCGACACCATGAAAAGAGGGAGAAGTCACCGCCGGACCATTCTCGAACTCCCGAAAGCCCAATACCGCCTCCAAAACTAATGACCGATGAAGATTGTCTCCGTGTATTAGCGGACAGCAACACTAGAAATAAATCTCTTGAGATTGAAATACGGAGTTTGACACGAAAAGTGGGGGTTGCATTTTTTCCACCCTTGATACAGTCCTATTGATACCGCGCCTGCTGTAGCTTGAGCACGCGCGGAGCTCCGCAGCTTCACCGCCTGCATGCATTTCAGCAGATGCAGCCCCCGTTCTTGGCCCCTCGTCACCGTCGAGAATTGCTTCTCTCGATCACCAACCAGTCATCCCAAGGAAACCTCTCACAATTGACACCGGAACTCATTTTACGCCAACACTGCATGCGGTATCCACCCTACCAACTGACTCTCGTGTAGTCACACAACCATCATCTCACAATAGTCCCATGGTTTCCTCTGATTCCGCATCACATCGCTCTATCGCGCAACTGGATGATCAGATTAACTCATATGCCTCCAAGCTTGATGCCCTTAAAGCGGAAAGGAGGGCACTGGTTGAGGTGGCCGTAAGGAAACGCAGAGTTCGTGACACATCAACCATTGTATCGTATCATTGAATAATATTTGCAGGTGTCTGATGCAGGAGAACCTCCCGATTTTCAACAAATTCTAGTCATCGAGGAGGAATGTGTGAGGTAGGTCCCTTAGCATTTTTGTATTATCTGTCCTCTTATTCTTACCGTGGTGTAGGCTAGCCTCTCAAGTTTCGCATCTGGAACAAGAACTTCAACATAGCCGAAGTTCTGCTAAGTCCCGCGAATATGAGTTGCTAAAGGAAATTGACGCCCTCAAGCTGTTAGTGCATCAGCAGTCACCAGTAGGTACCATCGCCCATGCAAGAGAGACGTTGCAGCTCACCGAACCACCAGAATCTTTATCACACACACGACATTCAGCATCTGGACGATATAGATGTAGAACAAAACATGGAGCTGGCAACACCTTTACAGCCCACCGCTATTCGGTCATGGATCGATCCTGGTTTAACATCATTTCCTACGGACCCTCTCCTGATTCCGCTCCCTTTCTCACCTGAAAGAAATTCATCCCCCATTATCTCATCCTCTCGTCCACTACCACGCCCTTCCAGCCCCCATCCTGTGAAACTCAGGCGACTTGAAGACGGATTGGAGGTCGCCAGGGCTCAATTGGCCGCGAAGCAGCTGGCTCTCGATCAGCTCAAAAACGATATGGAAGAACTCCAACGCTTACTACCAGAAGAGTCGCCGTAATCTCGAAGATAAAATGGATTACCGTGTACTCTTCGAGTTTGCCTTTGATATTGTTCTCACGCACACATCTAATAGGTATTTAATGAGCTCCATGCCTATCTATTGATATTTCTGCCGTATGTATCTTGTATCTGTATGACCGAGTAGCACTGGTATACTGTATTTTACGCTATCTCAACCTATCATTCACCCTCTGCTATATCATAGTATATGCGGCCTTGCAATCTCAGCACTGCCAGCTTGTTATTTCACGGGAACATATAGCACTTCCATGCGCATATTGCTCCACGGGTGATTTCGGTCAGGTGCTCTCCTCACAAAGTCAACCTCTAGAGGAGGTGCCCCGACTCTGTGAACCTCTTCAACCTCGGACTCAGCACGAGATGCCGGACGGGATGAGACAGGGGTGTTCGTGTACGACGAAACGGTGTATTTCTTGGTCTTGGAGTTCAGAGATAATATTTTGTGGGTCTGAGCTGTGGGACGAGAATGCGTGCTCGACAGAACTGGTGGTGTAACAGAACCAGGGAGAACAGGGAACGCCCCCTCCGCATCGCGTGCTTGCTGGACGACTCGCAGCCTCTCCTCTTCCTCCTTTGCTAATTGCTTGGATATCTCCTCATCAAGGCGGGTAGACAGCGAGGAACGCGCGATGTCTGAGAGAAGCACGGCAGAACAGTGCGGGCATGCGTAGTAGGGCAAGTTGATTGCACATAAGATCAATCCGCAACTGCGGCATATGGGAGTGTGTGGGGAAAGGTCATGTTCTCTTGCTGGACTTGATTTCAGCGTTAGAAGCTCAGATCAGTCGAAGAGTCCTCGCCTTGGCAGAAACATCCGCCCTTCGGATCCTTCTCTCTGCCAGACGACTTGCGAACGCCCTCGGCGAGAGATTCGAGCTTACAGATCGCTTTGCTTTTGGCAGGTTCTTGAGTTTTACCCTTTCCTTTGCTTTGTTTTTGGGGGACATGTTGTGGGCGTTGCGCAGGACGTAGACGATCAGAAGGTACAGAGCCTGCAGCTTTGGACCAAGCGGTGCGTTGCATGACGGTGATCGAGAACAATCCCTGAAGTCAAACTTTATGTAACAAGCTAGTACTAGTATACATCATAGATCTCCAAACTCTAGCGCCACATTGAGTCGATTCCAGGAAAGAAACACTAACAACCAGGGAAAGATATATAGTCTTAATACAAAGAAGCAATAACTGGAGCAATAGGAAAACTAGAACGATAGCTCAAGTCTAATGAAAGTACTAGAACACTGAGAACAGCAAATCCAAAGAAGATACACATCAAGATCCTTGGTTTCTCCTCCACGACGAAAGGCTGAGTGCGCCTATAACGCCCACAACTAGCAACGCTGTGCCGGCACCTACCAGGCTGGGAACATACAAGTACCACGCACTATCGATGTCATCCTTGCCCTTGACCTCGTCCATGAAGATAAGCTCTTCTTTCTTTTGCCTTCTTCGGCGCGGGATGATCTCTTGTTCTGAGTGGAGCGAATCCTCTCCAGAATAGAGGCTCGCCGAGGCAGAAGGATGAATCTCTATAGATGGCATCTCAAGTTCATGGACGCTTCCAAGGCCATGCTGGTCAATGCCTTCATCAGGAAGGACGGGAATGTCAAAATCGGGCTGCAAAGTGCGAGCACGCTCAAAGTATCGACCTGCGGCTTCCCTATCACGCTTCCAAGCTTCTGTGCCCCCTTCTCCAGGCTGTGGCTGTGGCGGCATCCTAATGGATGACAACGTAGAATAAGACGCTGACAGGAAAACAGAAGCTGCTCCTTCGAGATGAAGAAGACCAGCCTCCAAGAAGAGCCTGGCCAGGCCCGCCGGGCCGCCAATGGACTGAACATAATATGAGACGGTTCCACATTGCCCTTCTTCAGATGCATCAAGATGGTCCAATGATGTTTGGACGGGTAGATAGTGGGTCACCAATTTCATCGTAGAAGAAGGGAGATGGCCATGGTGCCACGCTCGTCTAGATAGTCAGAAGTCAGTCACAGATGAAATGAAATTTCATCACTGGCGCCACATACACAAAGTACTCAAATGCTTCTTCTTTATCTTTCCTGATGTCATAAAGTTCTATGGCATATAGGACAAGACTTGTAGGGTCCATGTTGTATTTGTATTCCAAGCTAGAATCATATAACATAGGGACAGGAGCGCATGGCGAAATTTCCTGGGGAATCGGTCCTCGCTGTGTGACAGGTAAGTTCAAGCATGTATAAGACCCTGACTACGGAAGCTCACGATCAATGATGGCCAAATAATTGACTGTTCCTTCTCGAGATGAAGTGTTACGAGTCTTCCTGAATTGGAGTGTAGTGACTCCAAGGAGGAGAATGAAGATAAGGCATGTACAGGCAATGAAGGCGATGCAGGACTAGAAGTAACAGGGATGGAGTGATGATGATTCGCACTGCTCGTGTGCTCGTCAGGTGAGGAGGTAGGCGATGATAGTGCCGGTGAAGGAGTTACAACCTCCTCTGCGTCAGATACTTGGCCGCTTTCCAGAGAAGCCGCAAAGCTGCTTGAAATTTCTGGGTCGGATACAAAAGCGAAAGAAGATTGGGTGGACGTTGTCGATATGGTCGACGTGGTACGCTCCCGAGCGGAAAGACGCGAGTTGCGGGGTTCGAGTTGCCACGCTGAGTTCGCAACGTCGACGTGGCTGTAAAGACGACCCTAAAATTAAAGATTAAGGATTGCAAATGTCTCTTCTCGACAAGAGACTTACTTTCACGATGGGCTGTTGTCCTTTAACGCCAGCGAGTAGATAGTTGCGTTCAATAACAACCTACCACGACGAACATGAGATTATACAGGCGAACAAAACAACAGTACTGACAACAACGTCTTCTCTTGAAGTTTCATACGGGACAAGTAACAAAACTGTGGCCTGCAATTCGCCCAAGCGTTAGGACTGTGGAATAAACCCTTACCCTATTGGCTTCACCTGATCATGGGACTAGGCCCGTAAGCCAAATGAAGTGTCAATTATCAGAGTTTCATGGCTCACCTGGTGCCACGAGTATGAGAGTTTCTGGTGTTCGCTCGTCTTCTCCATATCGTTAATGCTGCCAGTCGTGAACAACGTTGCAGACGTAAGCGAGCTCTATTGAAAGGAGCGGAGTCAGAACGCTGACCCTCTGCGCATGTACTGCGTAGCCTATTGACACCGAGCTTAACTTCGTGGCAATGGCTAAATTGATCCGTTACGATTCATCAGATCCTTCTGGGTAGGGAAATAGATGACAGGTATCGAAAGGTACTCATGTACAATACAAGCAACGAAAAAACAGCAAGAAAACAACGATTGTAGGTAGATAGAATAGCAAAAAGATTTATAGGATAATTCAAGGCTTCGATACTTTCGCAGTCTGCGCAATTCTCCTCAACGTATCCTTCTCAGCCTCCATATGTTGTATCAGCATCCCATCCAATCTCTTCGATGACTCGGCCAGTGCTTGTTGCTCCTTCTGCCAGCGACGCACATTCTCCGATCCAGGTACGTCCGGCTGCTGTGGTGCCGAGGCGTCGACTGTGAGATGTTCTTGTGAGTGCTGTGCAAGCGTGAGATGGGTGAGAGAGTTTGGCGATGACTTGACATCTGTAAAGTATGGAGTTTTTTGCGGAATGTTGCTGATAGGCTTGTGCCGCTCGGTTGGACTTCCTTGCAGCTCATTTGCAGTCCTGGCAATGCTCGGAGTAGAGCGATTGCCTAAATGCATAAGTGACGGATGGGGAGATGGTTCAGGGTCTCGATACACACTCATATCTTGGTCCATATCACTTCTACTATCCTCAGAATCGTCCAAGTCATCCATAGCATTCGGATGATTCTGGATGTGATCAAAGAAGCTGGCTGGTGATGAGGGAGGTGGCGCAGATTGAATGCCAGACACAAAGCTGTCAATGGAGACATTGACATCAAGTGGCAGAAGTAAATGACTTTGGGTACCGCTGTTGCTGGGAAGGGGAGAAAATGATTTAAAAGAGTGGAAGGTGCCTTGGCTAGAGGACGAATTATTAAACGATAATGCTTCATGGAGTCGTGAAGGTCTGGGCTGGTTGGTATTATTTCCCGAACGATGCGGCGGAGGTGACAGAGCAATGCCCACTATCGATGAAGAAGGTCTAGGTGGCGGAGACATGGTAGAAGGACGAGGAGTTGGGGCAGGCGGCGACATTGAGGAATGGGAATGCTGTGAGTGTGACAGAGGGTCAACGGGAAGTGATTGGAAGTTGTGAGGATAATAGCTATTTGACCATCTATCTCTGAAGGCGGACGCAGTCGGAGACGGTTGAGAGTACTCTGAAAACGATGGTCGATGTCCACCGTCGGTTGCTGGCACTGAGATTGCCAAGGAAGGACGGGACCGAATGTCATCGAAAGCCGTTGAATCATCCGTAAGCCGAGAGAAACCAGTCAGCGCTGTCATCCTGCTCATCCGATGTGAGGGCGGTGGAGATATACTTAATGATGGCAGCGATGGCGGACTCATCATGGATGTTCTCCTTAATTCATAGAAATCGGAGAGCATGGGCGAAGAACAGGATTTGCGAAGTGTTCGGCGCAGCTCTGTAGAACCTGCTGGAAGATAAGATTGTGAATGAGAGAACTGGGTGTCTCCGAGTTGTCGGCGAGGAGGCGGCGCAAGGGGGGTTTGAGGGACTGGGGTCTCTGCTCGGAGAGGAGTATAGCTGGATAACCGCACATTTTCTCGAGGTGGAAGACGCGCAACAAGATCTCTATCAGAAGGTGCGCCTACGGTGTGTATTGGTGGCTCCAGCTCTTCAAGGTGATCAACTATCGGATTCTCAAGAATTTTCTTGTCTAGCATATTTCGCGGGTTCGTGAGAGCACGCTGATATAGCGACTCTGACGAACGTAGATGGTGCGGTGACCTCGTCGGGGTGGACGGAGCCGTTGACAATGACACAACAGATGTTACTGCTGAATTGTTGAGCGAGTGTCCAACAGCTTGATGCAGCAAAGCCTTTCTCCATGCATCTTCTTGTGGATCAAGACTAATGGAATGTCCAGGACTACCCGCGGGAGGCAAGCGCTCGGCTAACACGGCTGCTCCCACAGAGTCTTCAATTCCCAAACCATGAAGTGCCGAGGCTTGCAAGGCTAGAGTGTAGTTGGCCGACGGGGGAGGCACGTCGACTGCTTCCGTGGGATCAATGATACCATCAAATACATCAACCTTTGGTCTTCGTACACCCCTATCGCGGTCCGGAGGAACGTCGCGACCCTTCAAGTCTATCTCTGCTTGCTTTGCGGCAGCGATAAGATCATCCATTTGCTCACGGACAACGACCACACGTGCAAGGTGTTGGACATTCTTCGGAGATCGGAATGCTTGAGGTGTTCCACGCGAGACGTAACCGGACACGGTCGTAGAGTCTGATGTAACTCTCAACATCGGAGATCCATCGAAGGAATCTGGGCTAGCGGGTTTATATTTCGATTTTCCAACTCGGAAATAATCCAGAAATGCAGGAGTGGTTGCTTTTTTGGGTGTGTTTGTGCACGGTGGAAAATCGGCCGAACATGGTTTTAAGTGCGCGGGAGGAAGGAAATAATTGTTCTTCACAAGCAACTGAAGACGGTATGACACATCATCTGCATTGAATTCCTGCACCCTCGTCGGTTCATCAATTTCGAGAGCTGGAATGATAACGCCATGGTCATGTATCGCTGGTGAGAGGGGAGAAGGAGGGGACTCGGTCCCGATGGAGGTAGTAAGAGGATAAAGTGAGGAAGATGTAGATGACTGTTGCGTTAGCAAGGAGTCACGGACACTACTTCGCGCATGGTCGCTGTCAGTGGGATTTGAACGAAAGGCAGACGGAGGAGACGTCAGCATTGGTTTATTTCCGCGGCCTCTTCCCTTTATCTAGAACCTCGTGAGCTCCACTCGTCAAAGAAAGTGGACTTCAAACTCACAGGAATAGTTGGAGTAAATCCCACTAGCGATTGGGAACCCAGTTGACTTTCGGCAAGGGCTGAAGGCCCTTTCCGCTTCACAACCACGCGCAAATCACCGCCCACGGCGTCTAACGTTTCTCCACTTCGTTCTAAATGCGGTTGCAAGTTCACGGGACTCGAGAACGGACTTATGGTTGTTTCAAGTCGCGTAGTAACCGGAGACGGTCCACGTTCGGAAGAATCAGTCTTGACCGGACTGGGAAATGGTTCTGCGCTATTCGCAGCTGAGATGTCCAGCACCTGGTCTTCTTCTGCGCGACTATCATCTGGCCTAGACTTTGTAGTTATTGTCCGTGTTCGCTTCCTTGTTGTCCGCGAACGGCGACTTAGACTAGCACCACTACTGCTAATAGTGCTTGCAATTGAACTCGAGCGTGATATCCCAGGAAATTTAGAAGAAGAGGGTTCTTGCATGGGTTTCGTCGCTGGCTCATCCGTCCAGGACAAAAGTATCAGAGCCGTTATGGGGACAACACAAACCAGATCTACAAAACATGCAAAAAGCAATGAAAGGAAACTTACATAAGCCCATACATGTAACACGTGCACCGCGTCACGGTTTAATGTTTTCAGCTTCAACAGTACTACTATCCTTTATAACCGATAAGATGGCCACTCAGAGTCAGATACTGCTGGAATGTGAGTGAAGTCATGTTCTTGCTCTATGGCAATATTAAAAACTTGTGTCTTAGACCTGCCCAAGTCTGAAGGCCTTTTGCCTAAATGGCAGCTCATAGTCGCCACAATGGCTGTGTTCAACACTATTCAGAACTTTGCGACACTGAAGCTGACCCGCAGGCTTTATGCTCGCGTTCCGTCTGCCTCAAGTATATAATCTTTCACCAAGGCCAGAACCTAACACCGCTTATTTTGCCTTTCCAGTTACACCACTCCAGGCTCGAACGTTCGCAGTTTGGACATTGACATCAGCGGTCGTACGGGGATATGCTGCGTACAATATCAACAACAAAACGTAGGTTGTTCTTTTCGTGCGAAGCAACGATAGTGAACTTCGGGTCCAACTTTAGGATTTATGATATGGCTCTTCTCACGTACCTTATCGCATTTGGGCACTTCACCTCTGAGATATGCTTCTTCCGCACAGCTAAAATCAACCTACCTGTCCTGAGCCCTGTGATTGTCTCTAGTATGTGTCCTTTGTCAATCCTTTTCCATTACACATACTCACCTGCGCCCCACAGCTGCATCACTGATTTGGATGTTGAGACAGTATGATTTCTATGTCGCACCTTGATATATGACGAATGGCGAGGTCCATATCGATGACATGTGTTTGTTATCTCGAGGAAGCGTATGTTGCAAATTCAATTGTTTCGCAGACCAGTAAACCCAATCAACCAATGACGTTTGGAGTACAATAATTTGCCACTGCTCCGAGCTCGCGGCCGTCCTGTAGCTCCATTAATCTATGAGCATCTCTGAGACGTGGCGCTCAATCGACCTCGATCTGCCACTACCTGCTCGCCAAGCTTGAAGACGAACCGACGGTAATACAAACCCTGTAACCAAGCGCGCATTAAGAGTGTATGTTGCATGACACGCCCAGATGCCAGCGCAGCAACCAGCCAATCGAGCGTCATCTTCACATTCATTTGCGGCAAAATCGTCAGGATGCACGTCATCCTAAATTCCTGAGTGGTCCAAATGCGTAAAAGTCAACTTCAAAGCTAAAATGATACGTGGACCATGGTGTGACAGCACGACCTTGTTAATCCCCACTGAGGACTACCCCGCCAGACCTGATTGGGAGTGATCAGTTTTTGGACCGGATGTGGGTGCATCCCAGTGCTGGGGAGACATAGCTGTGACCCCCCCCCCCCCCCCCCCCCCCCCTTTCGGAGGACAAGGGCGGGAGCCCTCGAAAAAAATGAAATCATCGCACTTTTACACGAAATTTTGCTCTAGCCTCACTCTGTGACGTTGATAGTGCACGCTAGTATTTCAACTGCTCGCCTTCGTCAGCTTCCATCATATCCTTTGTCGTGGGCAAGCATTCGTGGCTTTGACCGCACCCAATATTTCGGGAGTTCAGGAACGATCTTGAAGTCATCATGGTCCCGTGTCAAGAGATCGCGCAACGATTTTGGAGACGAGTTAAATGAGCATATAGACGGGGCGAGCACGAATCAGTGTGTACTTGCAGTGCTGCGAGGACGCTGCCGCTAGATCTAGGATTAGTGGGCAATATCATTGGACACTCGAGTTTAGTCGAGGCATACACTTGCTATGTTTTTAATATAAATTTGAAAGATATTATGTACTAATTCTGACATATTTAGCAACGATAATTGTGTACTCTCGGCCGAAAACGATTATGGAGGAGTGGACTGGAGGAGGTCCCCTACATAATAGACCCTGGGTTATAATCGGCTAAGGAAGGATCTAACATCAGACCAGCCCTCGAAATGGTGGGGAGAGGTGAAAATTTTATTGGTCCCTTTTTCCCCACCGGAGATGGATTAAGGGCGGTCCTAACTATAGCAGGGACCCATGAAAGCCGAGCTTGACAGCTAAACATGTCGATGTATGGCGCCAGCGATCATTGTATAACACAGTCAATGACGCATGATGGCTCAAAGCGAAACCTCGCACCAGCAAACAAAATGATGGTATCAAATTATTCGTGGCAGTAGTCAAGTTCCTTTATATTGGTTCGTGTGATCCTTCATTGCGTGGTCCAGTCCGCTGAGGAAGGACGACGAGATGGTGTGACGTCGCACCTAGTGTCGTCCCGATCAGGCCCGAAATATGCAAACAACAAGCTCCATACCAGAAGATCCGAGGGTGTTGCCCAAAGAAAAAAGCTGGGCGGGGTAATAAGACTGTGCACTAGAGTCTACAAAATCTCGTCACCATTTGAAAAATGTTATGGCATCAGTGCGCGTGGGTCGCGTAACGTTCGAACGTGTCGCAAAATCCGTCAGTGCTGGCGTGCTCTAAAGGCACCGCGAACGTAAATTGATGGTTTCCCCCGCATTACATAATTGGGGTCATTGCAATAAGATTGCCGAGCAGTATATAAGCAATGTGTTCCACATTCTTAGTTGTGACTCGTTCATCCCGGCTTTCGTGCTATTTCTTCATTGCTTTGTATATTTTCTATGCGTGCTGTATTGCAATACCCTCCTGAATTGCTATTCACTATCTGCGAATATATTTATGCCGCCGGCCTACCACCTTCAGAGTATGCCAGTTCTCTCGATCCGCTCGCAATCGGCGAGTTCGGAACGCCAACTGCGTTACCGTCCTCTGTACCACCACCAAATTGGAGCGAGCCAGAAGCACGAAAAACCCTCTCTCGTCTCTGTTTGGTGAACCATGCCTGGTATGAAGCCGCCAAACCATGGCTGTGGCACAAACTCGAGGTTCGTCTACCCAGGAGCTGGCTCGCTCTCCTAGACGAGATCACAATAGACACCGAAGACGATGAAAAGGCTGCTTTAGCAGTCAAAGAATCTATTCAAGCAGCCACTCACGCTGCTCTAGCTAGCGCTGTGCGTACTGGCGCATCTTCTGACGAAGATGCAGCTAGGAGATGGAAGGAAAGCATCATGGAGTCCTTGAGTGGCCCGGATGGTTCCATTCCTCCCGAACTGTTGACGCCTCCAGCATCTCGCGACTCAAGTCCAAGACGTATTAGGCCAAAGAGTAAAAGCCCGGCTCGGTGGAAGATCATGAGGACAATCAGTGACGCCGTTCAAAATGTTATGGATCTTACTGAACCTGGGGTTTATGGTGAGTTGCTCACTGTTTTACTCTACATTCTGGCATAATTGACATGTGTTACGTCTGCAGTCCCGAGGCTTCATGATCCTCGTCCTGGTCGGTTTGTCCGCCATCTAGACTTTAATCACTTTCGTACCATCGGAATGCGTCGTTCCATAGAAGATACTGCAACTAGTCGTTTCGTAACCGGCGAACGTGTCGAGGCGTTCCTAAAGGTTCGGCATTGTGACATCACTCTTACTTTGGCTGACCATTTAATGCAGGAGCTTCCAAACCTAACTGCTTTCGGCGCCACGGAGTACATGGATGGTGCTCTGTCGTTGCCCGTTCTGAATGAACTTTTGCTTCGCGGTTCTGCTTCGAGAGGAGGGGGTCGCCCCACTCGTGGACGAGGAATCGTGACGGAGGATCCCGAAGAAGAGGATCGCGAAAGAAGGAGAGACTGTAAGGACCTTCAGGCCATGGACCTTACTGGCTGCGTCAGCGCAGTTTTTGTCAGCGCCCTGACGGAGTTTGTCAACACGCATCTTCTTCTTGAGGATGAACAGTCTAGTGGAAGTGACGATGAAAGTCGACGTCAGATTAGACGTGCTCGTGCTCGATTTATGCAAGAGGAGCCACTCACATTCCCAGGGCTCCAGCGCCTTGGACTTCGTGGCGTGAAATCAATTCAACCTCGGATCCTGACGCCTTTTGTCCTCGCATTCCCTTCCCTTACTCATCTTGACCTATCCGCTACCCGAGTCACACCGGAATTACTTACTGCTCTCGGGGGCTCAACAGTTTGCCTGCATTCGCTTGCGCTGGCTAGGTGTGTTCACCTAACGGGGTCCTGTATCAGAGATTTCCTCGTTCGTGCGCCGGCAGCAGCGCGAATCCGGGAACTCACGCTATATGGCGACCAAACATTCCCATCACCCCTCACCGCAGATGATCTTACGGAAATGATATCTTCCGCCCCGTGTTTCACCTCTGGTGAACTTACCTACCTCGATCTCTCAAGCGCACCTGTGACTAAAGAACTTCTCGTTAACGTGTGCAAGCCGCAGCCAAAGCTGCGGTCGCTTGGTCTATCATATATTCCTGATCTCGAATTAGATGCCGTCGCGCAATTTTTAAAGATCAAGGCTATGAATGTTGAGGTGCTTACGCTTGTTCAGACTAGCCCTGATCTAGATTGGGGCAGGGTTGGACCTGGCGCACCTCGTGGTTCGGCACAACAGGCGATGATGGCTTTACACACTCAAATTATCGGGCCGCTGTGCACGCCCCCCTACATGTCCACTCTACGTTCGCAGACGGTTGTAATACCTCCTTATCCTACGCGACTTCGGGTGATTGAGCTTTCCGTACCCGCGCTTGCTGCCCTAGGTGCTGGCGCCGGATCATGGAGAATAATAAGAAGTAAAGGTGGCCGAGGCTGGTATGTCGACACGGCCAGTGGCTGGGTTGGTGGGGGGCTCCAACGAAACCTTCCGAAAACGCATCCATATCGCGTTCAAATGTGTCGCCTGGCAGATGCCAATGGAAATGTAAATAGCGGTGTCGGATGGCACGCGAGAAAGATGGAAGTAAGTGACTTACTTATGGCCGACGGGAACGGGTCGCTGATGACTTTAATCGTGTCACAGGTTTTACACGGTTGCGGTATGTTGGGACGCGAGGATGGCCTGTACGGGGCTGTGTCGTTTGCGTATCAGGGATAGTTGGCCTGACGTTTTGCGTTATCTGCCGTTGACGGCTTCACAAGCATTGCGTTGTATATATTATAAGAGCAGTGACTGCGTCATTTTTAGCATTAGTCATTTCATGTACTGGACTAATTAGTGCCCTTGGGAGGGCTGAATGTTAATATGGTTTCGACGTACTTTATAGTGGAGACCTAGTTGAGTCGTGCATGTGCATGAAGTATTTATGACGTTGCAAGGTCGAATTATGCTCGTCACGATGACCACTTGGCGCATGGAGTTAATGTTGCGGAGCGTGGCGCTCAAATGGAGTATTTCGAATAACAGGCGCGACGCTGTGGTGCATCCAAACCAAAGGAAGTATTTTGAATAGTGAGCCACCATTGAGGACCATACCGACGCTGTAGTCACATCAGTGAACTGGTGAACAGTGGTATTTTAAGCAATATATCCGAGTGTCGAGCCTATATCTTAGTGGCGCTGCTTACAGCGGTTTGTGCCACACCTAAGCCTGCTGTTCCACTTAGTATTGTTGCAATCGGCTGGTGCCTCAGGCCGTCAGCTGCGGAGCGTTGGCACTCAAGTACTTACGTTGCAATGAATGTGCATCTTTACATATCAAATGTCCCTCATAGTACTCCAACTGTTCACTGTATGCCATGATCCTAACAAGATGGACGGGCACCAACTTGAAGGTGTTTTGGGGCGTCGGTTGGACTCCCATTGATTACGTACTATTAAGAACACGCATTCTAGAAAATCTGTAGAGAAAGTTGGGCTGTGCCACTGCGCTGACTTATTTAAAGGCAACGACAGCAATTGGCAAATCATCTTACTACACGATAATCCCCACTCGAGTTCACAGCAAGTCTGATTGATATACCTTAATAGCACTTAAACTTTGCTGTATAATGGGTACGCACAATTCTTGTCGTTAACTGAATACAGCTCATCGGATCTACGACACCGCCCAGCCTCTACCTTTTCTGTCCAGGCGCACAGGTCCTCAGATGACAGTTTTCCAACAGAAAGGCTCTCCCGCAGGCACACTGCCACCGACGAGCGGCTGCCGCCAGAGCCAAGGCCTCATGCCAATCTGGGTCGTAGAAAAAGCACGAGTGACATCAAACTTCATTCAATGGACTTTTTTCCCACTTTACTAAGAGCTGCAACGTTAATGGTCACCCCGGAAAAGAAAATCTCAAAGCCCCCAAGTACCTGGAGGAGCATTCGTTCCATCATTTTTTCATCATGTACGGGGCAGATTCCTTCGCAGTTTGTGGATGGTATTGACATTTGCTTGTCAACGTAGGGTTCAATGTCCTCCTGGTGTTTATTCCCATATCTGTATGTCATTGTCGCATCAGTTTTGACCATCTCTGATCAGTCGTCGTTTGAAGTGGGCAGTTAACTTTGCTCTCCCTGATCAACATAGTTTAATTTTTGTCTGTGAGTTCACAAGTTACCTTTCAATTTTCCGGATGCTACAGCGTGCTCGTTGCAGTAACGTTCCTTGCTATAATACCATTGGCTAAGGTGATTACAAGTTCGCCTTTTTGTAGTTGTATCACACTAAGCCACTCTCAGCTCCTGGCGTACGCCACGGATGAACTTTCCATAAGGGTGGGCCAAACTTTGGCAGGTCTTCTTAATGCTACACTGGTTCGTACATCATCTACCACTCCATGATTCCAATCTAACGGCTGCAAATTCTAGGGAAATGCGTCAGTAAAAACATGTTTCTATCAGACGATTATCTAACTATTGGTATTTCCATAGCGTCGAAATGATCGTTTCTGTGCGCTTTAACATCAGTAATATTGCACGGCAAGATGCTGATGTTTACACTCTAGATTATTGCCCTCACAAAATGTGAACTCACAATCGTCCAGTCTTCCTGTACGTCTTCTTATCTATCTCCCTGCGACCCTAGACTCACAGTTACTCTCAGTGGTGGGATCTATTTTAAGCAATCTTCGTATGTATTCTTCCCTTCCATTTTGAAATTAATTGACCATGCATCAGTCCTGGTACTGGGAATGTGTTTCTTTGCCGGGGGCATGCGCTTTTCAGAACAGGGTTTCGGACAAAGTATGTTTGCAGCCATTCCAAAATGGGAACTTAGAGTCTTACATTCGTGGATAGGTGCTGTGCAGCTGAATTCCTCACTGCTTACCATTAGCGTCATTGCTGTTTTGCTGCCTGGCGCTTTCCAGATGGCATTGCAAGGCCAGCCTTCATATAACGAAGCGTCGACAGATGACAAGATACTAAAGACCAGTCATGGTGTACGTATCTCATGTTTCGAAATGAGTCAAATTGTTCTCACAGTCTCACCCTCATCCAGGTTGCCCTCATCCTCCTTTTCAGTAGGTGAACAAAAGCACAGTTGACAATAATCTGATCACCCTTGTTTAGTTTACGGTTCATATCTGGTGTTCCAACTGTTTTCACACAAAGCCCTCTATAACGACAATAACCCGGACATACAACAGACAAAAGGCTACGACGGCCAGAATCCATGGCTCCAGTTGAGACTCCGCCGCCGTAAAAATGCTAAGCATGTACAAGCCCCTCTACCGGTGGCTGACGAGGAAGTTGCATCCGATGTCACTGTGCCTCCTGAAGGTGCTGACTCAGACCACGGGTCTGCGTCCACGGAGGACTCTGAGATAGAAGCATATATGAGCATCCCTGTGTGCCTCGGGCTTCTGGTCTCTGTAACTGTGGTACGTGTTACTGCCTGTGCTGATAACAATCATTCGAAGTTGTTCTCGCTCTAGTTGGTAGCTGTTACCGCAGAATTCCTTGTCGATTCGATTAGCGGTTTGACTGCAACCGGGGCCATCGGTCAAGAATTTGTTGCCTTGATCTTACTTCCCATAGTTGGTAACGCAGCGGAACATGTTACTGCTGTCACAGTGTCCGTCAAGGACAAGCTAACCCTGAGCTTGGGTGTTGCTGTTGGATCAAGTATCGTGCGTTTATTTACCTGGATGTCTTTCTGAGATCGCTGACCAATTTCTAGCAAATTGCACTCTTCGTTATACCGTGAGTCTCTTCGTCGTGTCTTCTGCCACTAGTTTTCACCTTTCGTATTTTACAGGTTCATGGTGACGCTCGCTTGGATTATGGGCAAACGATTGACACTCCTCTTCGACCCGCTGGAGTCAATCGTGCTGTTGTTATCTGGTGCGTAGAAATCAAAAATTCAACGCGGCGACATACTGATTAAACAAATATATTTATCAGTCATCACTGTGAACTACACTGTACAGGACGGCAAATCAAATTGGTTAGAAGGCATGATTCTCATGTGTAAGCCTCGAGCTGCTGTATTTTAGCCTGCGTTCATGCTCATCATTGTACAGGTTTGTACTTGATAGTGGCTGTCACGTTCTGGTTTTACCCTGGTGCGTTGCGGACTGAAATGTTTGTAATTTATCGAGGTGCTGAGTTCTTCCTTAGGCACCACAGGCATCTACGCGTGTTAGAAGGGACAGTGGGCCGGACAGTGGGCTAGCTATTCTCCCGGATATGGGTTACGATCATGAATACATACTCGGCTTTCAGAAGTCAATCCTCGGCTAATGACCAGCACAACCGTACCACTCCTTTCAAACTCTTTTCAGTACATTCCTTGGGCCTACCACAAGACATAAGTTTAAAACCAACAGGCGTTAATGGACACCACCTATCTCCCGCTCCGGATCTCGATATCTATTTTCTCTGACCACTAGACGCTATGCCATTGTTTTCACATGTATCATTCGTTCTTCTCTCCACTGTGCTGAAGTGTACTTGTGCCCTGCTGCAAGACTCGGTCTAGTCTAGTCTGAACAGGAGTTGGTCGAAAGTACTACGTCTACTTTGCCGGTGCATGTACGATATCGAAGACTTAGTAGGTTCTGGCTAGCATGGTATATATACCCGTTTTTCAACCATTGTATTGATAGTAGCAATCCAGGAAATACAATATTAGCACAATACCTTGTGCCTGTTCGCGTTCTCAGCCTCGACAACGCTGTGTACAATTAAGGTTCGTGTTAGTCTCGAAGCTTGACATGTAACAAGCAATCGCCATGCAAATCTGCGTTAGCTACCACATCAAAGCTTCGCCATTATATCAGTATCAACAAGCGTCACTGCGGCTGCAGCCAGCACCGAGGTTCCCCGCTCCTTCGTCTTAGTGGCTATGTGAAAAAGAAGGCTTGATGTCAGCACCTGAAAGAGAAAAGTGTATACCGAACGTACAGAAGATTACTTTTCTGCCTGTCTTCCACATCTCCGTGACGAGTGTCTCGCCAGGAAATACTACACCAGTGAAACTGCGAGTATGTAAGAGCACAGCATTTTGAGCATAATAGGGATAGCGCTCACCGGACTTTGATATCCTTATAGGCACCAAAAGATTGCAGGATGTGCTTTCCTGCGATCCCCATAAAGCATAAACCTAATATGAGTTTGAGTTATATTGAGATCCGTAGCGCGGGCGTAAAGTGCGGATATTACCGTGAAGAATGGGCTGATCGAACCCGCCAATTGCCGCGAAGCTTGGATCAATCTATGTTGGAGATAAAGGATACTTGAACCTCGAGTATATTGCACTATCAATACGACTTACGTGTAAAGGATTATAGTCGCCACTCAGTCTACATACTAGGATCAGAAAAGCGAGAAGATACAGCAATGCATCAGAAGGCTGACCTGTAAAGTGCAGCTTGCGAAGGGCTCGTCTTCTCTTCGATCACAGCATCAGGTTGACGCCTTGGGGGTATGTTTGCAGCTGTTGCAGCACCTCTATCTGCACCAAACTCGGATAAGCCTGAATAGCGCCAGTGTTCGGATAGCATCTTCCATACCTCTGCCAGAGCGCTTGCCACCGAAGCCACCAGCTCCTCGGATGAAGACCGTTACTTGGTTTTCGAAGATGACCTTTCCTGTGGCTACATCCTTCGTGTACACTATTGTGGTGACCGAAGCAGCCTTGCCCTTGTCCAGGACTTCCAAGAGCCTGTGCAGCGAAGTTGCCAGTGATTGGCGCGAAGATAGCGCGAAGATAGACAAACCTGGTTTCATTTATAAAGTTTCCCTCTGTGGGAATAGGGCCCTTGATAGACAAATACTGTTCGCCATGAAGAAGCTTAGCCTGAGTCGGAAGCACGTCATTAAGCACCCGGGAGTACATCGAATCTTAACAGGGCGCCTCACAGGATTGAAGTTCGGCAGCCAGCCTAGTGGAATACCGGCTGCGAATTGCGGAATCACTCCAAACGTTGGGAGTGCCGCAAACTCCTCGTGGTTTTCGTAAGTCCATTGCAGGTCCTTAGCTGTCGCACCGATGCCAAGGTTGTAGAGAATGACGTCGCGCTCGGTGTAGCTGAACTTGAAGTCTTCGGGTTTGTCTTTCTTAGCGTCTGCAACGAGCTTGGAATCTTCTGGGTCGGTGAAGACGTCTGGTAGTACGGACATAGTGGGGAGACGAACTGCAACTAGAATCACATGCACGTAATTACACAACGGTTAAATCGGCGTTTTAAGGGCGCATTACCACGACCGTCATGTCTTTGGTGTACTTCATCTTTAAGAAATCTGCTCATGGACATGGACCGTAACAAGATATGTATTGCTTTATCCTATGGTTCAGGATTCTGAGACCCATGCTCCAACCCATCATCCCCCTGGCATACCCGTCCCTTCCCAAAATTTGGTCATTGCCGAAGTACAGTCAACTGCAACGCTAACGCCCTATTAGACATCTAACCATAATTTTGGCGCTAACATTTACATCGGCCACCTTACCCAGCCTCTTCCCTCCACCGGCATCATATAGAGCAGAGTTTCCCTCGCTGCCCCAATGCCAGGTTTACTGACTCACCTCTCCACTTAGCTTGCCTAGCTATTTATATACTCCCGAAACAACGCCCTGCGTCACGTACCTGCATAAGGGACTTACCACTAATCACCATTCCTATGCCTCATGTAGATAGCTTTCCAACCCCTCGTCCATTTTCTCCTCTTTCCCATCGCCATCCAGCCGATTCGGCCCAAATACGACACTGCACTCGACTGTGCCATCGACACGGTGGTACTGCCAGTTGACACTGGATATTATGTTCGAATGGTAGATGTGAGTACTCGCATTTTCCAGTCCCCTTGGTTCTGGGTCTTTGCTTTCTGTTGTGTTCGTGCGACTCCTTTTTTTGAGTGTCGGATACTATGCTCGACTGATCCAGTTGGACTTTGACTCACTGACTTTATTTCTGTTTCTACAAATATCATGGCGGTGCGCGAATTCGGTGCGCTGGAGGATCCAATGTCAACAGTTCCGCAATGTCTGTTTAACGTTGTCCATCGCCTCTACTTCACCACTACGTATTCGATTACGGATGCTCGTGACTATCTGCACGGCGCTGGTGTCTGCACTCTATAATCGTATTGTTTTTGACACGTTGTATAAGAAAAGGAAACACGCGGTAGATGGATGAGTCAAGTTGACTGAGCAAACACCGGACCAATATTGCCGTGCGTGCCACTGCCCATAGGTATTTACTAAGCAGCAGCTCCGGCAGCCTGAGGATGTATGTAACTCGGGTCTCTGTTATCCGGCCGCGGCGTCCGCGTCAGGATCCGTAGTGGCTGTCGAATAGTTCAGTGAAGCGAAACCTAGCTGAGCATCGCAGTTTCCATGCACTTTGTGGAAGTGAACGAAAGCCCCAAGCACCTGTCAAATCCTAGATAGAAGGGTACGTTAGTCTTATCATTGGACGGTTGGAAGATGCGGCTTCAACGAGTCCTTACGTGTAGCACAAGGGACATCATTCACTTTTGACAGCTAGAGTGAATCCGGTATCAATCAGTTTTCTTTTTAAGATGCACACCGGGGTCTAGATCATGATACTAAGTACCATATGGGTGTGAGCTAGGAGGAAGGTTTAATTCAGTTGTGTTATGTAGCTAAACTGGGTGAAAGCAACCCAGACTGATCCATCCGTCCCATAAGTATACAATATGCGGAACGTTCTACACGCTCTCAGTGCCGGCTGATGACACATCTACCACGGCCAACTTCTCCTTTGCCTGTAAAGAGTTCAGTAATGATCCCAAGCATGAGTATCGCATCACTAGTAACCTGCGCTAAGAGATCACTTTCTACCACAGGCAGGCTCTCCCGCACCTCTCCTTCCCGAGGCACGACATCCCACCTCGTTGGTGGATTCTCGATACACAAGCAGATGTCCTCTGGAATATGTCGCCCATGCTCTGCATTGAAGTCTTCTCTTACCTGACGCTCTTCTGAATAATATCATCATTCCCTCAGCAACTACCACAAGAAGCGACCACAAAAAGGAAGGATAAAGCTGACCTTCAGTCATTGCCCTTAATTCCATGATCATCCCTTCTACAACCTTTTCTACTGCTTCTTTGTACTGTCTTCTCCTTCCAATCTCAATAAGGAGTTTCTTGAATGAAGTTTGGTACTGGATAAAACGGTGATGAAGATCTTCAACGATGAGAAGTCGCTCCTGGAGCCCGTCGAGAAGCTCTTGGCACTTATTCTGTTACAAGATCAAATATCAACCCCAGCATATATAATACGAAATATTACCTCGACATCTTGTTGCTTCTGTAGCATGTCAGACATGATTTCACCTAGCTCGTCGAGGTTATCGAGAGTTATGGATTGTGTGGTTAATCGTTCTTGAGCAGCCGTCTTTGCTGATACCAGTTGTTGGCTAAGCAGAAAATAAGAATGCTACATCATACGGATAGCAAAATTCCAGCTTACTGAGTATCTTCGATCAAGAGTGCTTGCTCTTCTAACTCTGCCATGATAGAAGGTAGCTCTTCGGTATCACGGTTCATGTCTTTAACGTATCAGTCAAGAGCTGAAGACCAGACACTGCAAAAAATTGTTACGATACCTTGTAAGTCCTCCTCGCTAAATATCTCTCCAGCTTCGCTTTCTTTCAAGGCGTCTGCCATTTGCTCATAGTGAGAAGTAAGGCTACTGAGGTGGCGTGCCATAAGCTCCGAAGGTTGCTGTTGTGCATTCAATATATCCTCTATCGAAGGTACGTTACTAGACGATGGAAGAGACTCGCGAATGGATGATATAGCAGCCGAGAGTTTTTCCGGGTAGTCATACGTTGAAGCCATAATATCCTTTCCGCAGATTGAGTGGGGTATTCTCCTGAGCATGCAAACAAAACTCACGTCTAGCCTCGTTCTGTCACTCTCTAGTGTGTCCAGCACATTTTCAATAGCACTCTCATCCACGAAGTCACGCAGCGTCTTCCACTTGGTCCGGTCTGCGTTCTTGCCGTGACGGTCGAATGGGTTATCTCGCACAGTGGCGGAAGGGCTCTGCTGTGCGCTAAACATTGCATTGCCATTCCTTCCATCAATGGAGTGTTGGCTTCCGAACAGGGAAGAACCAGAAGAAGACTGGTGGAAACCGGGTGGTACTAGCTGTGCCCCTAGGGACTCGAGGATATTATCAAGGGCTTCAGTACGTTTCGAGCGCACGACATCCCATGCCTATATTGCTGTGTAGAAATGCCACGAGTTCGACGCACGGGGAAGCGCGACACACCTTAACTTGCTTATCCAGCTGAGCACGCTTGTGCTCAATACTCTTAGCAACATTCGCCGCAAGCTAGAATAGCTAGATGTCTAGTGTCAAGTTAAATTGGTGGTAATAATAACGCACCTTGAGCTGCTCAAGGACGGCCTCTGTGATCCACTTAACTTTCGCGTCCAGTGTAAGCACGTCTAGCGAACATTGCGCGGACGCGTTTGAAAGACTATTAGCCTTGGAACAAAGTTGTTGGCCGTGTTGAAGTGCTTTCTTGGATTGAAGGACTAGAGAAACGAGATGAGGCTGCTCTGTTTGCTGTCCCGGTGGTGGGGAGGCCATGTCAGTTCAGGCTGTTGCCGTCGTCACTTACCAAAGGCTTACAGCGGGGTGGTGGCTGTGCTAGTATTATGTATGACTTGCCGCTAATCGACCGCAGCTCAATTTCGCTCTGATATCTTATTTCCTAGACTAAATCATGCGTTCAACCGCGCTCTGCTCGACTTGCTCATCGTGTCTTCCACCCAAAGCTAGTCCAGACTTATTTATAACCGAATGCTGCGCTCGTCCCATCTGTCCAACCTGTATCAGCTCAAACCCTCGCCTGAGGAGCTATAACCCCTGCTTATCTTGTTTGGGCGGCGTGGGCGTGGTTAGCTCTTTCCTGCGGAACGTCCGCGCCACGAATAATGACACAGTGCGGGATGAAGATATATTTATTCTGGGTGACGATGAAGATGATGAAGACCAAGCTCTCGAGCTTGCCTTAGTGTCCCCGACCCCCGAACCCGCTCCGCCTGTACATCCATTAGCGTCTTCATCATCATCCAGCCTAACCAGTGGATCAATACTTATCACGCAGACTAGCGGTGCATCCGCAGGACATGCGGAGGTCGCAGTCACGGGCGAGCAATGTACCCCCTCTAGATATTACATCAATCCTAGAGACACACTACAGGGGATCGCTCTCCGTTATGGAGTTAATGTAAGATACGCTGTGCACATTAATGTCCATCCCTAACTTATGGCATGTCATCATCGTAAAGGGCCGGGAATTATGCCGTTTGAATAACCTGCCCCCAAGCACCCTTTCTACCACCCCTCATCTACTCCATACCCGAACTTTTGTTGTGCTCACACCCTCCGCCAAGTCGCTCTCCATTACGCGGGATGCGGACGCGGACGCAGGAGCAAGGCGCGTTCGCGAGAAAGCCGAGAAGCGTTTGCAAATGCTGACGAAAGAGGTAGACTGGCGCGTGGCGAAAGCATATGTGGCTCTGGCCGATGATCCTGAAGAAGAAGTCATCTATGGCTTTAAGTACAAAGAAACTGGCGGCAATGGTGCCAACACCTTGGAAGCACGTGCGGCTGATCAGTACTTGGAAGATCAGGAATGGGAAGAGGAACAGAGGAGAGCTGGCAAGCGCATCTCGTTAAAATCGCTAGCACCGCTTCGAGGCAAAGTTGTCGCATAGACATGAGAGTGTCACAGTTTGTGCAGGACTCATGAGAATTCCTATGGAACCTAGGTCAGCGGAGGCCCTAACATGTCCGGACAGATTTGGGAGAGTTCTGTCCGGATGCCGTCCTCGTCGTTCATTTATCCAGCATTACGCGCAAAGTTACTAATCCCTTATCGACTACTACTCAAGGCGCTAGTAAATTTTCGCAGGCAAGGTGATTTATCCAAATTATACTTCGTCCATGTCGTACATGATATATATATATTGAGACCCTCACTGCAGGTTTCCAATAAGAAAACAGAACGCAAGAACAGACATCACTGTTTATCCTGAAACCTTACCCCTAGTATAAATGAACTCGAGCACGCGCAACTGAACGTCAAAGAAACACGAGTCTCCTTTTTCAAAGCGCTCTATTGAATAAATGGGACCGGCGGTCACTGAGTTTGCAGAAGGTGCTCAGCATTCAGAAAAATCCAGATCGTGCTTATGCTAATTCTGACGGTGTTACCTGATTGGCACCCTGAATCCACCTGGGACCCAACACCGCCAGGAAAACGTGGATAATGCCGGTCAAGTTTCAATGATCTAAACACGGGCTACCAGTTAATGTGCGTGGCGTATTCACATGCTCGCCTATCAAAGTTCGGTGAATTACAAGATGTCATCGTGGCTGTAGGTGGGATACACGGAACTAACAACCACTTCAGATTACAGTATGACGTGAAATATTGACCTACACTGTGACCGTGACGGACTTGGACTTGGATTTTGTTGCTACTCTGGTCACTCGTAAAATTTATCTGCAGAGCGACTTCAGAAGTCGCAGAAGCCTATCGGAAACTGTCAAAATTTAAGACGCACGGGGAGCGGAAGTCTAGGAAGCTTGTAAGAAAATTTTGGCGAGCTCAGTCTACCGAAGTCCATGTGTACGTATGTACTTACGACGCCACTGGCAACCGTGGATGGTAATGAGCAAGATAGGAAAAGGTTGGCGCTCAAGCCAACCGGAGATCTGTCACAGTGAGTCCAATCAAGCTTTAGAAGGCTGGCATATGTACATTCAGGACAGATTACGTCAGGTTACTGTTCGCTGCTGCAAGCCAAGGCGAAAGCTAATCTCTTCCTGCCTCTTTGGCCCGGCTTTCCCTCCGAATTTTAGCGATCTGATCAATTTGTTATTTGAAGAATTGTATTGCCTGGCAGCCATCATAATTCATGATTAGGTTACAGCCTGGTATAGTGAGTACTTCGAGCTCTTTCACAGGAATGGGAACGTACAAATTCATATTCCACTTCAAGTTATTTGTACCCATCTATCTGAATCGTTCCAGAACCTTCGGCTCCCTCCTCTGTCGCTGCACTTTTACAAATGACAGATCGTGGTCATCCACTGTTGCACCATCCATGCTTCATAGCACATTCGATTTCGTGCCGCGGATACGAATAGCTATACCTTTGAAAGCTCCTCTCACTCTTCGCATTGAACGCGTATCGCGGTATTCAGAAAAAAATATCTTACATATGCACTCACCATTTGTACGTACTTATTGATCAGTCTCAACAATCGCCCTCAGGCCCCTGTTGGATAAAGACAGCTTGCTTTACCCATATAGGGTGCCCCCCAGCAATTTGACCTCAAGTACTAGAAACTGATGAAAGGGTCGGTTTTGAGTTTTGTAGGGTCAAATTCTATGCTTCGAGACAAGACAAAGAGGTAAAAGTAGGCCTGCAGGTAAATTTTATCATTCACTTTCTCTCCTTCATCTCTTGCTCATGCCTCGCGACATCAGACCTCTCGTAAAACCAATAATTCCATTGTTCCCCTTGGATGATTCATTATATCGTCTAGACGCTGAGGAGATTGCCTTCCTCAGGAGACAGACTGGCATCCAAGATGAAGTAGCCCTGAAGACACATATAATTGAAGTGCAAGAGGAAGCATACAAGGTGCTCTGCGGTTTGTCTGAAGACCGGTTGAATATACTTATCGCAAATTATAGGTAGCTCCCTATGCTTGTATTCGAGGATTTGATTTCTTGCGGTGAGTGGTAACCTAGACTCACGAGGAGAATAGTTACTCACGTTCGTGACGTCGTCGTAGCCAAAACATGTCTAAACTACATATTTACGACCACATTTTGAAGCGTGGTTCTGCAGGAGCGATATTACTCGATGTCGGTTCTTGTCGTAAGTAGACGATACCACTAAATCTTGCACGTCCCTCCTAATTTACTTTCGCAGTTGGTGCCGATGCTAGAAAGGCAGTTGAAGATGGATTTCCGGCACATAACATCGTCACTTCTGACATCAAAGAAGGTTGGTTTCTTCAAAATCTCTTCTCCCTGGCACTAACAAAATATTTTGGATGATAGCATTCTCTGAGTTAGGACACAAACTCTTCAAATCGAGCTCGGAACCAATCTTATTTATACCAGGCGACATATTTGACCCCGCATTTCTATCAATTTCGCGTCCAGCTAGCTCTGTCCCAGGGTGTGCGATGCCGGACATTCAGACGCTGCGATCGTTAAACGACCTCCACGGTCGCGTCGGTGTCATACACGCTTCTAAACTATTTCATCTATTCGATGAGGAGAAGCAACTTGAACTTGCTCGCGCCTTGGGAGGCTTGCTATCCTGCGAATCTGGCTCCACAATCTGTGGCACTCACGCAGTTGCATTGGAGAAAGGCATCGTTCGTCGCACAGTGCTAGGCATCGAAATTTCCTACTTTTGCCACTCCAAAGAAACTTGGACTAGTTTGTGGGATGGCGTCGTGTTTGAAAATGGTCATGTAAATGTCGAGACGACAACATCGACCGTTGATGTAGGCGGCATTGCTTTTTGTCTTTTACATTGGTCTGTCACGAGACTCTGAGGATTTTGTCTATTCAGAGCATACCCATTTACGTAAGTGCGGGTACCGTAGTAACCGGTACCGAACTCGGATCAGACTTGGACCAGACTTACCTTCTATTTACTACTACTATGTAGTACTAACCTAGTACTCAACAAAGTACTGTTAGAAACAACACACTTCAATGACACACAGTACCATGCATCGCCGACTCATGAGCACTCACACGTTCTCTGAATCAAGAATGGCCAGTAATTCATGAATTCCATCTTACCATAATCCTGGGCCGTAGGAGCACTCAGACCTTTTTTGGCCGACATCGCCAGCTCCTTCTAGTTCGATGGGAGTCCCTGCCAGTGCGAGTAATGATTGTTGCTCTTGTCCCTCTGTGGTCTAATGAGGTTGATCAAGCGACGTGCATCCGTGCCCATCTCACGAGGTAGGCCATGAGGATAAGGCTTCCCATCAAGTCTCCTGGACCTTACGACTCAGGAGTGAGGACGTTATTTCGTGCAGGGGACCACAGATAGGGCGACATCGGGGGAAGTCTGAATGATCGCCACCTTGCTAAAAGACGACAGCTCTGAATTCTTGTATGCACCTGTAAGTTATACATGCTAATATTGCTCGATAGCCGACCTCAAGGCCCTTACTATCTCAGCATGATGTACAACCTGATCTAGAGGAACTTGCAAGATTCGGAGTGGCAGCCAATGTCAAAGTGAAAGGTCAGATTGACACGGAGATGAAATACAACGGAAATTAAGCAGAACGATCAGGCCTTTGGACGCGGATAGACGGATAGATGGGTCTATTGTCAAGCCAAATAACAACGATGATGCAAGATGGTCGAGTTTCAATGTAATAAAAATACAATCGAAAAAGTCAAGGGCCTCCGAGGCACAGCTAAGCTGCGCACACGCTCATGAAGACATGATTACAAGCGAGCGTTCTTAGGCATCTGTCGAATTGCCTGTCTCACTCCGAGGTCGCCGAGTACATCTTCCGCTATGATAATTCAGTTCAAATACCACCTTCGGCCATGACAACGCTGTGACACTAACCTCCGCCGAGAACCGCATCGAAGGGAATCGTGCGATGATACTATCGTGGGCATCATGATCAGTTGATCTCCTTGCACGATAAGACGAAGTAAAATTCTCACATGCTCAATATACTGCCCCATACCGGTCTTTGTGATACCCCGTCCGCCGAATATCTGGACGGCATCGGTTGCTGTTTCTTGGGCACACCTCGTTGTATACATCTTGAGCAGACCGATCGGTCTGCGGAAAATAACGTGTGAGCGAAATGCCACCATGGCGCATAGCTAAGACCATACCCCGCAAGCTTCTGTGCCTGTTCCTTGTAAGTCTGCGTCACGTCGTCCGATGAGTCCCTAATGGTTCAAAAGGATGGAATGAAATTACCATATTGCACATTTGCATAGTTAAATTCTCAAGCCAATTCTGAACACTCTCCGTACGTGAGATCATGGCTGCAATCTTCGATCTTATTACTGCCAGTGAAGACAAGGGTTTGCCAAATGCCTTGCGCTGATTGACCCATCTAGCAGGTGAGGTAGTTGGCTAAAGTTTAAAAAAGAATCGATGAACACACTTTAGGCATTCCTCAACGATCAACCGCTGACCTCTAGCGGAAGAAGCGCACATCACCCACCGCTCGTGATTGAAATTGCTGCATGGCTATATAAGTCTCAATTCATTTTGTTGAAAATGATACACACGAGAGGATGACGAAGATTCCTCCACCCTCGGGTCCGAGGGTGTTTTCCATAGGGACCTTAACATTATCAAATGTGACATAGGCGGTACCAGCTGATGATGAATAGCTCGTTTTGATGGGCTTTGTCTCGACACCTTCCGAGCGTTCTACCAAGATGACTGTAAATCCAGTCTGTGTGGATGGTTACTCAATCATTCCATATTGATAGCGTCAATCATGACTTACATCCGTTTTGCACCCCACAGTGAAGCTAGTCGCAAACGTAAGTCCAGGTAGTACGGCTTCGACTTTTGTACTTACTAGTCGGCAAACCTTGCAACCCAAGTCATGTCAGTAGTATGAACATGAAGATTCCACAGTCACTTCACTCACGTCCCGTTGGTTATCCACTTCTTCGTGCCATTTATGGTCCAATACTTCCCATCTGGACTCTTCGTTGCACGAGTCTGCAGGCCAGCAACATCACTTCCCGAAAACGCCTCAGATATCGCCAGGCAGATGAACTTCTTGCCAGAAAGCACTTCAGGAATGATCTTCGATTTGAGTTCTGGTGATCCAAAGTTCATGATAGGTGGTAACCCTATGACAGCTCCGCTTTGTAGACCTGTACTTCCACTAATTAGGACCGGAATTTAAAATTAGAGATATGTTACCATCGCCGTATCCCCGCTGACCGCAGCGAGATATCTCCTGTATGCAAACAAGCTAAACTAAAAGTTAGAATCTTGGTAATAAAGTCGACTATCACTCTCACCTCATGGAAGTAATCAAACTAAGAGTGTTACAGTCAGAAATGAATGCACATTCAACTAAAGGCCGTTACCTCCTCAGGAGACACGGCACCGCCCATAAGGGTGAGGCCTTTCAAGTGTTTCCCCGGACCAATGCGCATGGCATGTATATTTAGCTCTCTATGAACACCCACGTAAGAATTAGGCGCTTATGTATCAATGAAATGGACAAACGCCATAGCTTTGATTACATGAGCACTCGGCCGTTTGCCGTCTTCCTCATGCAGCTGGGGAATGCACATGCAAATTTGCCTTGGCGGTAATTGGTAGAACTTACCAGTGCATCCGGAGTGATAATGTTATCCACAAACTCTCGCATCGCTGCTTGGAGGCGTCGATGACTCTGTTTTTATGATGAGCATTGAGATCCAAATAGGTCTGCTGTGAATTTCACCTCTTTGAAGTAAGGGCTGTAGTACCCAGCACTGAGCCAGGTAGGCTCTGCATATGGCACATCACTGAGCTTCCCAAGCTCTCGAGAATAAATTACGCTCCTCTCTCCTTCAATGTAACCTATCTGTAAACGAGCATATTGGGGTCGCAAAAGCACTTCATGACGGTGGAGGCCGTAAAACGCCTCAGTGGCGTCCTGACCAGCTGAGGGACTTGTTCAGTTCTTCGGATGCTGAACCACGAAAACAAAATATACCTATGTCCTCTTCTGCGAAAACTGAAGCGCCCCCTGGGTGCAAATCCTTGAAACGAGTGATATTGTACACCTTGCTATCAATAACAATCCACTTTACAGGTGTCAAACGCAGCCAGAACAATAAAGCAGAGTGAAGCTCTTACCAAGTCGTCGGGCTTATTGTGCTGTGTAGTGGTATCTAGGTTAGATGAGGCTCGATACATAGCGTGTTCTATGACGCACCTTTGCCACCTCTTCACAGGTAAACGACTTCAAGTTCTTTGATTCCATGTTATGCTTCAAACTTCAAGCTTCAAGGATGATTGTCTGTGTGCAGGTTGAATGAAATCACATGCAAGTGTGGCATCTGATTCATACTCCGGATCTATCGGTGAGAATTGGGGCACTGCCGCGAGTCAAAGCAAAAGGTTGGTGAATTGATCAAGTACTGTCGCTGACGGTCATTCTATGGTTTTCATTCATTAATGTGTTGGATTCAGTGATCTCGCGAACTCGAACTTCCATTATTTGAAATTAATACCACCGTAAGGTTCACACACTAGTACCCCTGTTCGCTCCTCTTCCCAGAAGTTTTCGAGCCTCGCTCATTCTACACCATGACAACGTTGATTCCAGCCGATGCTTGTGTCAGTCGGACACCTCAGATGCTTGGAGGTGCAGCGATGCAACTTGAGTGACTCGGTTGCGGTCGCGATGGATTAAAACTCTGATTGGTGCTGGCTGCCGAAACATTCGCTGGCATGCGAATCAAGCCGCATTGCGATACTCCTTTTGCGCCACCACTGAACAGCGTGGCAATCGCTGCAGTCATGCCAGCGTTCCAAAACGAAGGAGCCACTCGAGAGTGACGGGAATCGATATAGTACTCAATCACGTCGATTATATCGACAACAACCAGTATGTTAAACACACTTTCCAGAGCACGAGTATCCGCATTTTACTCAAACCCGTAGAGTCAATTTTTGCATGCTCAATGGTCGATAGTATCCTTCATCAGGATGCAGCCAGTTGGGAACGTTCCGGTTCTACATGCAGTAGCCTTCAGGCTTTGTGCTTCAAGCCGCTTGCCAGTGACCCACCCAGCTATCACGCAACGGTAATTTTTGCTGCATATAGGATGTAGCTTGACCTAATATTTAAGTAAATGGCTAGTCATGCATTAGTCGAATTAGCACGCACTTGAAGTCGATCAGTATGACGACGGCCGTCCATCGCCGTGTCTCCCGATTTCGACCCACGTAGTGTCCATGCTTCCTGATGATGATCTATTCATCGGCGTTACAAGAATTCAGGACTTTGTCGGGACTATCTCTCAATCGCCCTTCTTTCCTGATGCAGGTTCGCGACAGGCGTCAGTACTCCGTATCGAAGGTATCACAAGCTACTGCCAAATATTTTTCGTGCATAATAGTGCGTGAGTTCTATTCTCCTCGAGGATGTAATAAGACTGAAAGGGGTAGCGGGGATTCCCCTTGTATTTTTAACTCCAGTCGTTTATTACGACCTAGACTAGCTCTAGACGGATGTCACGGCGTTGAGCTGTCTGAAAACAGATCTGGGAGTTTGACAACTCTTCTATACATGACTAAGGCGTAGTTTGGTATTCCGAACGTCATCTTCCTTGTCCTCAAACCTCGGGCACTGGCTGCCAGTAGCCGAAGCATGGCAAAATTTGCTCATCACGGGTGGAAGCTTTACTGCTCGACAACGACAAGGTGTTTGTATGAGGATTTTCAATTATGCTCATGACCATCACTTCTTAGTAGAGGCTCTGGTTCCGTCTGTGTCCGCTTTCAGACTATCTGGATTGTGCAGAAGACCATTGTCGTGTGGCAATCACTTGTCGGTACCCCGCTGAAGTCGGCAAGACTCTCGTTAGGGTTACCATCTTCAGAATCTATCTCGGCGTTGAGGTGTCAGCTGCATCAACACGTGCTATATCGTTCTGCAGATCGGTGTAGCGCTAGCGATTCTTCCATTGCAATCGTAAGTAAACGGATTCTCAGTATCTGTGAGTCGGTTTCACCACGCTTCTATAGATATGACGAATATCAAGTCTGCAGGGTCGCCTTTCAAGTTACCCCAGACGTCAGATCAAACACTTATTTAATTTCATTAGATGATGCCACTCTTGCAGTCACGTCCGATAGACGATGACATCCTGTGCCCTCTTTTAAAGCGATGCAGGCAGGCTTCCTTGTGTTATATTACGCGAGAATGGGTTCCCGCGAAAGGTTTGCCTTTCTCTCTTCAGCGAAGAGAAGTTGCCGATACCTCATCCACACTCTCGGCCATCTTCTCTCACCTCATGGTGAGTCTGTATGGGTCTTGATTACGCTCGTTCCTACGCGACTGGGCTTCTCTAATATATATTGAGAACTTCTTTTCATATGATGGCTATCGTATCGCACCATTATGCTCTCGTATCTTATGATATCCGAAGTGATATTCTGGTCACGGATTCGTCTGATACATAGGAGCTTTAGATATGGTGCGCTCGCCCGTTATGTCTCTGAAATTTGGAGTGGAATCTTACTTGCAGATGCAGAGGGTTTTGTTGCGTGGTCAGAAGCTACTTCACAAATATGGAAGATTCACTTTTCTCGAAGCACTTGATATTTTGGAGTGTTTATGATAGTTTGAGTTTGTCCGAGTCTAGAGTCCTGACGCTGCCATGATATCGATGGCACGAGACTGTGTTATACAAGCAAGTGAACACTCCGGTATCTTTTTTCTTAAAAAAAAAAAAGATCACATTATTGCCCTATTGAGACAACTCCAGGCAGGACATCACAGACAGGACCCCAGTGTCCTTTCGCATCCCCCGAGTCCTCTAACACGCGTGAGAAGGTGCGAGGTGTATAATTGACGCATTCGTCGCGCTGATCTTCTATCACCCCCAGCTTCGCATTACAGAGTGGGATTATCCCCGCCTCGCCTTGCGAATCACAGTATCCTTGGAGCCCAATCACTACCCGTGCGTGGCATATGATATGGGTTTTATCCAGTGTATAACTGAAGCGAGGCCCTTGATCCGAGAATAACTTTGTACAGCATTTTCGTCTGACATCAGAATTTGCCCCGGGCCTAAGTTGTTCCTCGATGACACGCTCAAATTTTATGGACACCTCTACTGAATGTGTTACATGAAGGGTTTGTAGTCTCGGTTTGTTCCTGTTCCTATCTACATGTTGCCCCATTGAACACGGTGGCACTACGCCACGTCTCGTTTGGATTGGACCATACTATGTCAGGTGTTATTCGAGGGACTACCTCTAAGTCCCTGGGCCTGATGATTGTCTGAGTGTGAATCTATTCGTCCGTCGAGTCGACACATCAAAATCTTATTTAATTCCTGTCCGCGTTGTCCGCCCAGTAACAGTAGTTATCAGCGCCAGTAGTCCTTAGATACTGCCTTGATGATCTAAGCGTGCCAAGGTACTACAGCAGCTCTAAAGACGACATCCTGCATGTTGTGAGCATGTTCGATCGATCATGGGTATAATTTTCTTCTCTGGATCTGCGGGTTTACGGCAGTCACTGGCCTTGTACAAATGTCGTGATGAAACCGGCCAAGAAGGAGCGCTTTCCGAAGTGCGGAAGCGGTGAAACGGCTGGATGGTGGCTGCGTCGTGTTCTTAGGACCCTTGGCAACTTGTAAGTAAACCACGAAGGTTGTGCCAAATCTACGATCACTTTGGCCTCATGCTGGCCGGTTCTTCATCACCATTTCCGTACTACCCTTATCAAGAACTGCGAGTCTAAATCGTAGTGTCATCCCGTGGACAGATGTGATCATGCAGCCAGGTGCGCCAGTCACAAAGCTCCGGCTGCTCAACCATGCCATGGTTCGATATGCGCTCCCACGATTACTTCGTAAATGGGTTTCCGCTGCACCGAAGATGCCTTACCATATGCATCCAATCGTATTGGTCAATCGGCCGGTGTGCGTATAAAAGCATACCACGTCAATCCGAGTCAAACTCAATCCTCACTACCATTCCGCGTTCGTCTTTCATCCATACCCCCACTACATACTTCAAAATGTGCAGCATGGAATGGTGTGTTTCAGTCCTACACAAAGTCATCTTCGTCAATGACCAATGTCTCTTCGTACTAGCTTCGGTGATCAGTACAGAGGATGTGGGGTGCGTTATTCCGAACTTTCAGCGAGCCTTGACCTCTTGACAACCGCCATCGCACCATTTAGCATTACGTCCGAATCTATCAGACTGGAATTACATACGATTGTGCCCGGCCGAATTGCAAACTAAGTGCAGCACATATGCACAAAACTGCCAAGAACTGCGGCTGCAACACGGTGCGAAAAAACGCGTCTCCTCCTGATATTGACCAGTCTTCTTATGGATATTACTCGCTTCCAGGAATTTTCTGATCACCGCAGAGTTCGCAACCTATTCCAAACAAAATGCGAAGCTTGTCTGGAGTACGAGGGTGGTTCGGATGGATACGGCCACCGAACGGGACGTCATTACTGATTCGTCAGCATACAGCTACCATACTTCTGTGGTGCTTGTCATCGCCTCTACTTGCCATCCGCCATAGTACTGCATTCGCCACTAATTATGATATCCCCCACTCGGACACTTGACTGCTAGTTGCTGTGCTATTAGCTGTGTTCATCGCATCTGTCGAAAGGCGCTACTCACTCACAGTGACGATTGAATTCTTACGGCACAGTTAGCATCTTTGAGAGTCCTTTCATTTGTAGAGATAGCTCCACATCTTTATACAGAAAAGGGGTTAATGATGTCGATCCATCAAACGGAAGTCATGGTATATTCAATACCCCAAGAAAGTGGCACGCCTTAGGGGCATGGCCATTGAGGGGCCTGGAGAAACATATTAGGAATTTGTCATTAGAATCGTACTCACTACGAAATAAGAACACAGCGACGACGACATGTTCAGGGTATCCGAAATACCAATAATCAGTCCTACGGTCAGTTTGCCACCGACGAGGAAAACTATCTACCCATTGGCATGTTCGGTTTCTCGGAGACCGGGATAAAAACGAGGATAGGGATTAGAAACGCTTCCCCCCTCGTTTCAGCGGCTGTCTCGTCCCTCGCTTAGCGGCAGCTCCGCTCTTGATTGCTGCTGCGTGTCGTTTGCGCTCTTCCTCGCTATCGTCGTCATCTGAACCCTGAGGCCTGAGCTTCTTATTTGGACGCATGAGCGAGGGATCGGACTCTGATGCGGGGACTTTTGTCCGACTGCGGCTGCGGCCGGGCAGGGCCGGGGAGCCGTCCTTAGATAGGCTAGCCGAAGGAGGCCGCCCTGAGACGCGGCGCTGATTGCTGGGGGTGGGAGAAGCGAGTAGGGTCCGTTGCTTTGGCGCAGCCCCTTCAGACTCGGACTCAGTGGCAGAATCTTCCTGCTGTGGCATTTTAGGAGGCGTGGGCGCTTGCAGAGGCTCCATGTCGTAATCCTGGACCAGACATTGCTTAGCTCAGGGTGAATAAATCTTCGATCCAAGAAACCTACATGGAGTCCGTGCTCTGTATCTCGGGCTGTTATTTTGGGCGATGAAACTTTATCTGCGGTGAGCGCGCGAAGGTCCGGAGTTCCCGTGTCAATAATTATCGCAGCTTTCGAAAAAAAGTCCGTGTCAGACCAGGGTAGTGATGAGCATCGATCAACACTTACGAAGTTCAGGTAAGAAGTTGAACATGGCCGTCATACGACGAAGGGTCGTCGCCACGCGCGGCTTCGATAGCGCGTTCCTAATATGTGTGTCAACCGTCCTCCTCGCAGTACGACCAACTTTATCGGTCGCCTAAGCACAACGTAAACCGTTGCAAATGGACAGAGCAGTGACAAAAGTATAGACAGACCTTCTCGAGATCCCCCGGCGTAAGATCACCCAAAACATCAGAGGACGAGAACGCGAGGTGATTAACACTTATGAGGGGCATGATGAGATGTTTTGATATGATTTCAGCAGATAATTTGGGCCCAAGAAAGATGGGTTCCCACCGCCACTTCCAGTTGCTGCATTCTAACTCAAGTGCCAAGTCCTATGAGAACGTGTCAGGCGTATCAAATCTCGACAACTAGTTGATAAGGTTACCCCAAGGGAAGGTTTTTCCAGCTCCAACGTGAGCCCCAGAAAGCCACCGAGTGAGTGCGCGTTACCTAGGAGCGTTAGGTGACGGTCTCGCCAAGATTCTTCTTCATCCGTATCCGGGAAAGGAGAAATGGAGAGCTTGTTACACGTGCGCCACCGGCGGGCAAACTGATTACTCGTCAGGACTATTGATATTCAGATTTGATGAGTGGCGTAAATTGAATCGATCAGTACGATGGGTGCATTTCAGCATGATCGGGTTTGATGGTGGATTTGGTGGACGTGGTTTGTGAGTTATTCATTCATCTCGGTGACTACAAAGGAACTCACCCTCGGCCCACGCAGTTTTGGTGTCGGTGACGAGTATGCAAGCGGTTAGATCGACTGAAGAGCAGGAAAATTTCTGTGAAACCACCGTACATGTCGGAGCAGTTATTTCACATGCAACTCAAGATTCTGAGCAGGCACACACAAAAAGATAAGGCGTGGAAGTCTGCGAGTCAACTTTGACCAACCATTCTTTGGCGAGGAGCGCCTTGGAGTGGTCCTACATGCGATTGAGACATGGGGGGTTTTTGACTGCGAAAGGAATTATACGTACTTCTGTAAATGATTCCATGCGTTCGCAATGCTACAAGAAATAAGCGAAGTAGCCTAATGCGCGGCGCCGGTTTAGATAACGCACAAGACGTGGTGCGGTCTCCTAAAGTTCACAAGCGTAATGACCCTAGAGCATGGTGTAACTAAAGTAAACTGCTAACATCGGAGTTCGAATTTATTATTTCTCGCATTCACCTCCAACTCCCAAGCACCAAAATTTACGTTCACGAATGCCAACGAACTGATTGAAGATAGTGAAAGTGAGAGGACTGCACTATTAGACGCCAAGGACCCGTGGAGATGGAAGACGGAGAGGTGAGCGGTACAAATCACACTCATGCAGAAACAGGCTACGATCCTGCATACGAATGGCCTGGCTATACAGAAGTCCCACAGCCTACTACGGTCCTGAATGAATCTCTTTCATCAACTTTCAAGCCATGGTCTCTGCTTCGTTTGCTTGTGCAAACTAGCTCCGTCCTTCCAAGGGCCCAACGTCTTGTAGTGCTAGATGAGCACAAAGAAGTGCAGTTTGGGAGAGATGTTGCTCTAGCCGGAAGCGGAACTCCTCGTGTGAGGTTGAAAGAAATGGCGGTTTCCAAATTACACGCGACGACGTTTTGGGATGCCGGAAGGCGAGAGTGGGCAGTTGTGGACATGGGTTCCAAGCATGGGTCGTTTTTACGTCCTGGTGGATATTCTGGTCCGACCGTGAACGTGGGTGAAGATTTAGGGATCAGGCTTTCCCCCTCACGAGTAGCCAGCTTTCCACGCGCATTAAAGCACAAAGACGCATTGACAATTGGAAGCACCACGTTTGTGGTGCATATCCATTCTGACCGCATGTCATGTGAAGGATGTGTGTCAAGCGGGAGTGGCGATGATATCGTTCCTCTTTTCCCTGTTTCGAAAGGCGTTAAACGGTCAAGAGAGGAAGTGGATTCAACACCTTTGGAAGGGAAAGATGCCAAGAAAGCGCTGACCATGCTGAAACGGACGCTTTTATCTCGTCACGATACAGCGAGGTCATCGGCATCCACCCAGTCCTCCAGCTATGTGGACCGTTCCGCAAAGAGACGAGCACTATTCCCCAGTTCGCCGCTGGACCCTCCAGGTGTACCCAGTCCTAGAAGCGATTCGCCATGCGTTACTCCATCCGGTTCTGCCCCCACACCTGAAACCCCTGCAACTCCCCAGCCACTGCCGGAATCGAACATTGGGCGTCAGCTGCTGATGAAGCAGGGTTGGCAGCCAGGAACGGTTCTAGGCTCACAGGAAAATGCATCAGGGTTGGTCGAACCATTGGAAGTCAGCGCAACTTCAAACAGGTCGGGGCTAGGCATGCCGGAGAAGGCGCCTACTTTCTCAAGCGCTGACTGGAGGGAGAGTGGGAAGCAAAAGCGGTGGGCCGACATGATAGATAAGAAGTGAACAATAAATTGGAAGCATAATTCAGTTCGGCAAGTTTTTGCTTCCATTGTACAGAACCGATACTAACGTAAGAGTTGTGTTGTAGGTTTAGCCTCGACTGATTTTTTTTAATCTCACAAACATGCGTTTGTAAGGCTGTAGATGACAAACGCTCATAAGTACGGCGTGACTCCCCACATGATAGCCACGCTAGCACTGCATCGCTCACGTTGACATGTCATGGAAGCTGGGCTACTAGTACATAGATCGGACTTTTGCCTTCTTTGTCTGATGGAAAAGCATCGTGTACGTTTGTATCATTAGTACGTACAAAGGTGTGAAAAGCACGCGTCGCGACACGAGCGCGACGCGACTGTTTTGAATTGTTTTTGAAGTCACGTGTGTGGTTCGCGTCGTACGCGATGGACTGAATTTGAACTTGAACAATTTGAAGGTTGTTTTGAACACAACCAAGTCGCTTCGCTGGTGGCTGACTTGTTCTTTCAATTTGCATTTGGTTCACTTCTTTCTTCTTCAACCACGACACGACTGAAACCTTGGTCAAGTTTGCAGTAGGGCAATTCTCTCTCTTCTCTTCACAATCTCTTCTGTATCTTTCCACTGCCCACTGCTCTAGCCGCTCGCAACACAGTCGCCTTGTATTTCAATTTACATCATGGCCAACAACACTCGCGTATGTAGTCTATTCTCAGTTTTTTCCAACTTTGATGGCTGATCACGAAGATCCATCGCACAGCTTCAGAATCGTCGCATCGGCGTCACGCGCAAGAATGCAGATGAAAATGCCACCAGCAAGCACTCTCGTCAGACGTCTACCCAGGGAGTCGCAACTCGCGCCTCTGTCGTCCTGAACGGCCTAAAGGGTGGCCCGCAACGCCCAGCGCTTGGTGAGGTCACCACTACCGCGGTTAACCGCAAGGTTTGTCACGTCCTTCAATTTTCACCTTTCCCGGCGTTCTGAGGTTATGCGACTTCAGGACGTTGTTGGTAAAGGCAAGGATATTGTGAAAGATGACTCGGGACTCAAGCGTACACGGTCGTCTTCGCTCGCAGCTGCCACTGGACCACAACGCGTCCCTCTCGGGCCAGGTCGCACAGAGAGCGTCGCACAACGCCCTGCTGCACGTGTATCACGGCCATCCGTCTTCAAACGCGCATCGCGGCAGGAACCCGCTGTACCAGTAGTCATTCCAGTTGAACAAGAAGAGAAGGAGAACGATATGGATGTGGAAGATATCCAGGAGGACCCTGAGCTCAGTATCATAAATGAGAAAGAGGTCGATGAAATGGTGGGTGTACAAGAACAAGTTACTCCAGAGCAAGACAAATCCACCGTTGCGGTTGCGAAGTCGCCCCGTATATGGCCTGACGTGGATACCGAGCGTGCCATGAGACATTATCGAGAGATCGCAGAGATCCAGGAGACGTTTGAAGATGAAGTCGACTATCTCGACACAACCATGGTCTCAGAATACTCGGACGAAATTTTTAAATATATGAACGACCTGGAAGTACGTCTTGTTTGTTTGCCTTGTTTTTGGATGTACTGACCATGATTTTCAGGACGATGTGATGCCGAATCCTGATTATATGGATGGTCAGAACGAAATCACCTGGGCAATGCGCCAAACATTGGTCGACTGGCTCCTCCAAGTACACCTGCGCTGGCATATGTTACCAGAGACGCTTTGGATCGCGATAAATATCGTCGATCGTTTCCTCACGAGACGCGTCGTGTCCCTAGTTAAGCTTCAGCTTGTCGGCGTTACTGCCATGTTCATCGCCGCCAAGTACGAAGAAATCCTCGCTCCCAGCGTCGACGAATTCGTCTTCATTACTGAGAACGGCTACACGAAGGAGGAGATCCTCAAGGGCGAGCGCATCGTACTGCAAACGCTCGACTTCAAGATCTCGCAATACTGCTCACCCTACAGCTGGATGCGCCGTATCAGCAAGGCCGATAACTATGACATCCAAACAAGGACGCTCGGCAAATTCTTGACGGAGGTGACACTCCTAGATCACAGATTTTTGCGGTGTAAACCGAGTCTCATTGCTGCGGTGGGGATGTACAGTGCTAGGAGGATGTTGGGAGGTGATTGGGTGAGTACCGCCTCTTATGTTGGCTTTTGTGTATGGGCACGATGCAAACGCGTGTCCATGATGGCTGTGGATCATGTGACTGACTTTTTGTTTGTGATTTCCTTTTTTAGAATGAGTCATTTGTGTTCCACTCAAGCTTTGTCGCGGAGCACCTCGAGCCCGGACACCAATGGATATGTGAGAAACTACTCGAAGACAACTTCGCGAGCCAGTACGTCTGCCAGAAATATGCCAACAAGAAGTTCCTGAAGGCGTCACTGTTTGCAATCGAGTGGGCGAAATCGAACGTGGATGAAGCCTAGGACTGGCGTAGTTGATGCCCTGTGGCTAGATATAACTCCCAGGCCACGGCTTGAATATTCCTCGTCCAAAAGTTCATGGGCTCCCGATCTGCCTGCATCTCATCTCATTCTATGCTTGACATACTGTTTCACTCTGGCATCATTGCAATCTCAATTGTCTGATTACGCATTCCACCCAGCCATGTCTCTTATTATGTCTTTCTCGCTCTGCTCTGCTCTCCCATGCATCCCGTTTCTCAGCATCTCCACCTCGTTTCATTATTATTTTTCATATCATCTCCCTATCACTTTCGCACTCCATTACTGTGCCCATCGTCGAAACGCATCGTATTCGTAATTAAGTTTACATGTCCGTTTTGCCTATCACACTCTAGCAGTCATCAACCATCCCATGCCGCTGCATACTGTCCTCTCTGTTTCCTCCCTTGCTTTGCACTTTATTTGCTATTGTCCTTATTTTTCAATTCACTTCACAGTTATTTGCACAGTTGCATTCTCTATTTTCAAAATTATCCCCGCTGGCGTTTGTCGGCATTTATTCCACGCTGCTCTTCTGCACTGCGGCATTGTTCATCTATCGATTTATATATTTCCAGCGATCTCGATTTGTCAACAGGCTTCTTAATTTTTAGTTGGTCTTGGTTAGCCTGCGTGGACAGTATATACTTGCTCGTGTATGCTGCGCGGGGCGCATCTCATCAATCTCATTCCTCAATATACAACATTATTTATGCATCTATCTTGTCCATTGCATGAGGTCGTGGCGTCGGGTGTGCCGGTTCAAAGACAGATTTCACGTGATTGTATGTCAGCTCCTAGTAGGTTGATGTGCACACGTACGTATCTCTTGAAGCATTACGTTCCACGTTTTCCTCTTGTCATAACACTTGAATGATAATGTCTCTATCGTTCAAAGGTCAAACAGTTGTAGTGACTGGTGCAGGTGGCGGACTCGGGAGAGCGTAAGTAATCTGTCCATCTCCTTCCGGGCCGCTGTGACTAACATGAGTGGGGCAGGTACTCATTGTTATTTGCATCGCGTGGTGCGAACGTCGTTGTAAATGACTTCAACGCAGAAGCTGCACAGAAGGTTGTGGATGATATAAAGAAAGGTGTGTTCATTCATTCGTTTGTTCCGGCCCGGAGATGTGATATCACGTTGGACTGTAGCTGGTGGCAGCGCCATTGCAAACACCTCTTCTGTGACTGATGGCGCTGCGGTGATTCAGAGCGCTATAAGTGCTTTTGGGGGTGTATCAATTCTCATCAACAATGCGGGTATTCTGAGGGATAGAGGGTTGGTTATGACTTGGTAAGGTAGTTTGGAAGTGCTAATCTGGGATTGGCAGGTTCAAGAACATGACGGATGCTGAGTTTGATCAAGTCATCTCTGTGCATGTCAAGGGTGCATTCTCGTGTACGAAAGCTGCTTGGCCGCACTTCAGGAATCAGAAGTTCGGGCGCATCATCAACACTACTAGTTCAGCTGGTATTTACGGTGAGTTTTCGTGTGACTGTATGTGCGTCATCTTAGAGTTTTGTACAGGGAACTTTGGCCAGGCAAACTACAGTGCTGCTAAAATGGCTTTAATTGGATTCACGAAGTCATTGGCACGAGAAGGTGCAAAATATAATATCAGCGCTGTCGCTATTGCGCCTGTTGCCGCATCAGCTATGACTGCAACAATCATGTCTCCGGAGATGCTCGCAAATCTGAAGGTTTATGAATTTCAGGAGCATTATTCATTCATGCATTAATCTTGTTTGACAGCCAGAATTTGTGGCGCCTTTCGTTGCTGCTGTGTGCCATCCCGACGGACCGGACCCCTCTGGCAGAGTGTTTGAGGTTGGCGCTGGATTTATTGCAGAGCTTCGATGGGAACGCAGCAAAGGCACCGTCTGGAAGACAGACGATACTTTCACTCCTTCAGCTGTCAGTCGCTTAGATATATGCATCCTGCAGTAGCTGACTTCAATTGCAGGTCAAGCTCAAGTGGTCAGAAGTGACCGATTTCTCGGACCCAAGGCAGTAAGGACGTTTAGTTATGGTAGAAATTCTTGGTTCAATCAATTTTCTTTCTCACAGCCCAGAGTCTGTGTCCGATGTCGATAGCCCTGTACGCAACAAAACCAAATTGTCCCGGATATCTTCTGATTGTTTTGTTCCCTAGCTCGAACTTGCTTCTACGATGCCTCCGAACCCCCAATCGGCACCACCGGTCCGATTCGACAATAAGACTGTCATCATCACGGGTGCTGGCGCCGGTCTTGGACGTGCATATGCACTCATGTACGCGCGCCTTGGCGCAAATGTGGTTGTCAACGACGTCAGTGAGAAAGGAGCACATGCAGTGTGCTCTGAAATCAAGTCGGGTAGGTTGCCATTTTCATTCAATGTTTCCAGTTTGATGCGAGCTTTCACAGCTGGGGGCAAAGCAGTTCCTGCAGTTTGCTCGGCAGAAGATGGCGAGGCCATTGTCAAGACAGCTCTGGACACATTTGGAGGCGTACATGTCCTTGTAGCGAATGCTGGTGTCCTGAGAGACCGCTCATTCACTGCCATGTCCGAGCAGGAGTGGGATCTTGTCATGACGGTGCATCTGCGCGGTACATATAAGGTATCGCTCACGCCTTCAAATGACTATTTGATGTTGGCTGATATCGGTCAAGTGCGCCAAAGCTGTTTGGCCTATTTTCCAGAAGCAGAAATATGGTCGTATTGTTACGACCTGTTCGCAAGTCGGTATTTGTACGTTTCGTTTATTTTGAGTATATGTATGTCTCTCATCAGCCGTTTGTCTGCAGACGGTAACTTTGGCCAGACGAATGCAAGGCATTTCTTCTAATTTCTTAATGCGAGTATTGATGGCCATAAAATACAGTATTCGTCAGCCAAGGCTGCTATCATGAGTTTCACTAAAACGCTTGGCTTTGAAGGCCGTAAATACAACATCTTGAGCAATGTCATTGCTCCCTCTGCGGGCACTGCCATGACGATGACCGTTTGGCCACAAGAAATGGTCGATGCATACAAGGTCTCACTTTTTACTTTTTACTTGTTAGATATCTCATTCATCCTGCCTTTCCTGCAGCCCGATTACATTGCACCAATCGTCGGCTACCTGACAAGCGAAGCAAACACCGAGACGACAGGACAATTGTTTGAGATTTCTGGTGGATGGGCGGCGCAGACTCGGTGGCAGCGTACTGGCGGCTACGGGTTCCCTGCCAACAAAGTGCTCACACCGGAAGATGTGATATCCAAATGGGACGTTTTCACCAACTTTGGTGCGTACACGAAATCACTTCTGGAACAGGATACTGATGTACGCCCTGTAGATGATGGTCGCGCTACACACCCTGCTACTTCAGCTGAAGGTATGCAACAAATAATGGGCAACTTTGAGAACAAGGTGTCGGTCATGGAGACTGTGAAGGATGTCGTGAGAGATGCTGGAAAGGCGTTGAAGGCTAAGTTGTAGGAGTTTTTGGAACTGTATCTATTATTTTGCGTACACGATATGCACACGTAGGGTCAATGCATTTATTTAGCTTGCGCATAAATTAAATATTCATTCAGCCACTGGAATGTATGCGCAGCTTGAGGATAAATATAGAAATTCTCTTCCTCTCTCCACCTACTTGGTGAGCATATCAATTTGCTCTGACTTTGTTTGTAGCTGCGCAGTGCAGCACTGGATCAGAATGATTACACTTCATGTGGTGCGTGTTCCAAAGGCATCTCGCTGCGTCATGTCACGGAAATACTTAAAAGTGGTGCCTCGTAGGAGTACTAGGCCTAACTTCAACGCAACATCCCTATTCACTGTACTTCATGGAAAATTCTAGAGTCCTCGTTATCGGAGGTTCACGAAACATAGGCTATTATTCTGCCATCCGGCTCCTTGGTGAAATAACCTTTTTCCCCCTGACACCTACATGTTCTGACATCCTGTGCCAACAGCGCTCGGCGCTACTGTTACGTTCCTCCTGCGATCACCGCAAGTCTTTGACCAGGATGAAACAATCCAACATTACATTAAAGAAGGTAAAGCTCGCCTCATTCAAGGCGATGCACTAGTGAAGGACGATGTTCGCCGGGCATGGTCCGAGGCTCAGCATCAACAGGAAGACAACACCAGACCAGTCGACTTCCTCATCTTCACAGTCGGTATGTTCTAACCCATTCCACAGCTAGTCAATATTTTTACTCATCCATATACCTATCAGGCGGAACGCCCCAATTCTCACTGACAAAAGGATTCACCATGACCCCATTAAATCTCGTCACCAAATGCTTCATAAACGTCCTCGAGACTCTTCCATCTCCACACCCAAACATTATCGCAATCTCATCTTTTGGCATCACGCATGCCTCCCGCAAATCAGTTCCCCTCCTTCTCAAACCACTTTATAAGTACGCCCTACCCATAATGCACAAAGACAAACGTGGCATGGAGGAAGCTATATCTCATAGCGCTGGGTGGAAGTGGGATGCAAGAGACAGCGCGGGCGATGAGATTCTCGGTGTTGATTGGACAAGCAATATCCCCAATGCTGGAGATTTTAAAAATATAGCTGTCATCAGGCCCGCGTTATTGACTGACGGGGAGTGTCGCGCGGACGTGAAAGGTAGCGAGGCGTATAGAGTGAAAGACGGGGATCTAGAGAGCAGTTGGTCGGTTTCGAGGAAGGATGTGGCACATTTTCTCGTGGAGGGTATGGTGAAGCATTGGCAGGAGTGGGAGGGTAAATGTACAAGTATTGCTTATTGATGACTCGTCATACTGTAGGAATCAACTCAATTCGACACCCCCATGTGACCGTGACATGCCAGGTCGACATTCCGACACTTGGATATGATAATTGTACATTTCTCACGCTCGTCACATTCGTCGTCTTGCAGATATGTATTACTCTTGGCAATTTGGCTCATGAACATGCCTCGGCAATATTCTGACTCATTACCAACGTACTCCTTTTACACTCAAATTTGCTGAATCACAGAGGCCCATAGAAGTGTTCCTAAACACTGTGCCCTGGAAGAACCATCGGGCTGCTCTCCAACATCAATGTGAACCCCATTGACGACTTATACAGGTCGCGTGTTTGCAAATCGGTGTGTTTCCTCGACAATGCAAAACATTCCCGTGTAAATTTGGTTGGTAGTTTTACGTTTGTCCAACAACTTGAATATATACCGATCTCATCTGTCTACAGGTTCCTGATGCCCCCCGCCCGCCGTATGACCTGAAGTGTACTGATTGGCTCCGAACTAGATATTGCACCGTCGACCATGATACCAAAACGAAAGCAGAAGCATGACTCACCGTGGCGATGTGCCGCTCGGGGTTTCGGCTCAATTGCCTTCCGGTGTGCAGAGCTTGACACCTGCATCCTAAGGCGCGGAGGTGAGTCATGTGTTTGATTCTTGGTTGCACAGCGACCTGCTCATACTCACGTCAGGTGTACACCAATAGCCTATACAGCAATCATAATCTGACTTGCAGAGGTCTCCATAATTGTAACAAGGTATATTAGCCCTGACAGATATAGATAATGTCAAAGCAACAACGAGGAACGATAAACGCATTTTCTGTGCCAGGTGATATAGAATCTTCTGAAGGAGTTCTTGGATGATATATCTGAGGATGGGGAAACACTGTAGGACGATGACCAGCTTTTATACCCTGCATATACTTATGGTTCTAATTGGTTACTGCTGTCAGATGGCACAAATTTGGTTGAACATGCAGGGGCATCATTCCTTCTGGCGCTTGCGTTGCAGCGGTGGTAAGTTCTTTGTGTTGAACGCTCTTAGGCTATTTCATCGATGACAGTCTGAATCAACTTTCGACTCGGAACCAAGTTCGGCTAGGTGTTCGTATTCGAGTTGTTTCAGATGCCAATCCTTCCTTTGAGGGAGTTCTTCGACATCATACTGGAGCACGAATTATGTGCTCTTGGTACGTCATGGGGCATGACTTTTTTTTACAAAATTCTGATTTGGGTCTATTGATGAGTTCGCGATATTGTAGCCACGATGGTTATAAAAACTACCTAAATGTAAGCGGGAATTTTTCTTCTGTCAAAAATACTCTAATAAATTTGACTTGTTGATACATATGCATGGATGAATGCACACACTGGCGTTGGACCGTGCTGGACTCGGATATAAAGCATTTGAACGAGGATCTGCAAGTACAACATCATCGCTTTCGGTATCTTTTTCAACAGTGCTGTCAATTGCAATGGACAATCATTTTGCCTTTTTTTTCGATGAGATGGTATCTGCTCTAAAAATGTTGTGAGGACCGTATAGCTCGCCGGGACCGGGTGCTAAATTGTTGTGCTGGCCATCCTCAGGATCTTGGTCCTCTGTACTTGTACCAGGTTGTGTGTTTGCAAATGATTCGGCGTTTCCTCGACAATACGAATCATTCCCATGTGAAAGTGATTCGCAGTTTTACGTTTATTAATATTGCGATATGCAACAACTTGAATATATACCGATCTCATCTGTTCACAGGTTCGCTGGTGGCCCCAGCCTGCCGTATGACATCGGGCTTTGACTGCATACCAGAAAATAACACGTCTGTCATGAATCACAATCGGTGTTTCATTGGCTCCATCAAGAGAGATTTATGAACAGCCTTCGAGGCCAGCGTTAGACAAACAGGTTCAACCTGCGCAGTACGTTCCATCTCCGTATGGCCTCCCTTAATATTAATCGTCAACACGTCAACAGGAATGATCACTCGGCGTTTCGACAGCCTCTCGAGCTCAAGTTTAGGCGTGGTCCATCAATTTCAGATAAACTCAGACATCCACATTGCTCAGCAGCATCATGGACATCTGTCCAAAAACAACTTCAAGAAGTATACTGATTAGCTCCGAACTAGATATCGCACCATCAAACATGTTACCAAAGCGAAGCAGAAGCATGGCTTACTGTGGCAATGTGCCACTCAGGCTTTTGGCTCAATCAACTTCAAGTAATATATTTTGTGCACGTTATGGCTCTGATTAACTAAGGCCCGCAGGTGAGTCATCTGATTCCTGGTTGCACATTGACCTACTCACACTGGCGCCATATGGACAATAATAACCTGTACAGCAATCTGTACTTTTTATGCAGCGGTTTCCTTCTAAGCCACATGCACTGACAGACATAGATGCTGTCAAAGCAATAACAACGGCGAGGAACGATAGTAAACGCATTTTCTTTGCGAGGTGATATAGAATCTTCTGGGGATGGTAGTGATGGACAGGTCCGGTTCGGTTCTCCCAGTGAGCAGAACCAAGGACTGGACCATCGGTTCGGTCCAATAATGGTCTGGTTCTGGTTCTCCAGCTCTATCCTTAGTTCGGCTATCTAGTATTTGGTTGATATACTACAGGTGCAAGGCGGAAGGATATTCCGGATGGGCGAAAAGAACAGATGTCATAGCTAGCTATACAAGAAATAACACAGGAGTCAAGGGAATGCGATAAAGATAACGATAAATATGTTAAAACATGCTAGCCTTTTCGCCGGGGTATCCTCGACACTGGCAGGCCCAGTGAATCTTCTTCGACACCTCGAACATACCCTGCGCCCATAAACACAGGTGCGCCACCTGCACCACCCCCAGCTAAAAATCCCCGTCGTTTACTCCCAGTACCCGTCCCAAACAGCTCCTCACTCTCTAATCCAAGCTCCGCAAGCCGATCAGACGACCTTGCCCGCGCAAGCTCTTCGTCCAACGTCAATCGTCGTTTGCCCTTGCTATTCGCCGCAGTCAACTTCTCTGCGACCCTGGGCTGAGCCTCGCGCCGCCATTTCAACTTCGGAGGTAACGCCAATTCATCCGGCTCATCCTCATCGTCGCTATCGTCATCCTCGTCGAGCAACATAATACTCTTCGGCTTTGGCGTCGCACCCCTCTTTGTCCTCTCAGGCGTCGGCAAAGACTTCCTGCCCTTGGCACGCGCAGGCGCTCGCGCCCTCGTTGGCGTCGGTACAGGCAGTGGCGACATCGGCGGGCGTTTCTTGAATATATCGCTTTGAGGGCGGGAGGGCGTAATTTTTTCAATATCGTTATTTTTGTCTTCCATATCCACATCAATGATCTCTATGACCTCATCATGCACGCTCTGCACTGCAGCAGACCTCGGTCCAGGCGGCGTCGACGGCATCCTACCATCCGCGTCCCCTCCGAGCTCGTTATCAGAGCATAACGAGGGAGTAGTGATGTCTGTTTCGTTCGAGCGTGATGGACCTATGAGTGAGAGATTTGAGGAACCGGAGAATTCGTGTGTTCTGGAGGATGACGATGAAGAGCTCGTATCTGACTGGACTTGCGAACGGGTGCCTGAATGTCGTTTGGAAGTAATTCCTCCTTCCGAGTCGCCTAGTACGTCTGCTTTACGTTTATTATTTAAGGCTGGGCGGGTCGCGTGCGATGAGGGGGGTGCGTGAGTGCGTAAGGATGAAGGTTTTGACGCGGTTAGAGCAGATTTCGGTTTGGGAATGCTCGAGGCGGAAGGTAATTTTGAGGTCGATGCCACTTTGCTCACATTCACGCCCGTAGACTGACGCCTCACTACGTCCATTCTTCGCACATCTACTCCAGCAGCACTCGAACTCACACTGCGGCTTAATCCGCTCGGCCCAGGTCGATCACTAACGCCCCTACTCAGTCCCCCAGGTCCAGGTTCAGAACTAGCCAAAGACCCCACTTTCCTCAATCGCACCGTCCTCATCTCGTTCAGGAATGCGGCCATTTTATCGCTGGGAACGTTGACGGTTGGTTGTCTCATCTTACCGCTTGCTGACTTTGCCAGATCATTTGTACTCCCGGTCGTAGCGGCCTCAGTTGAGCGTAGGGCAGCGCGCGCACTTGCAAAAAGGGCCCTGCTTTCGCCAAGATGATGAGGTAGGGGGATGCGGACGCCAGGAGGAGGTGGAAGTGGTGGAGGTGGGGGTGGTATTGGAACTTGGGTTTGGGGAGGCGGTTGGGGAGGCGGCGAACGGTGGCGACGGGAGAGCTGTGATAGAAATTCCAGCATATCAAAAACTAAAATAAGGGAGATGATGGTGCAACGCCACGTACCTCTTCCTTCAACATCCTTACTTCTTCCTCCAACATTCTAATGCGCTCCTTGTCCTTATCCCGCTCACCATCACCCGTAGTGCTACTCTTGGCTCCCGTTTCCCTTCGTACAGCATCAAGCTGTTTTTCCTTATCCTGCACGCGGTGGTGATCGAGTATAAACGCTAAATCCTCGTCTCCATCATCAACAGCGCGTTCCTTCCCCTTCTGCGAGACACCACGCAGGGGTATATGCGGCGCTTCTGAATCAACGCCTGGGCTCTCCAGATCTACAGGACCCATAGGACTTGTGACAACCAATAGCGAAAAGTCCCTCTCTTCCCCTCCACTCGCGGTGAATCGTTGTACTGCGTCCTGGACGGAGGCGATTGGGCGGGTGCGCCAGGGGGAAGGACCTGATTGGTCTGCAGGGGTATCGTGTTGAGAATTGGAAGGGCCGGGTTCCGAGTCTTGTGCGTGGACGTCGATATTCGATTGAGGAGTATGAGGTATGGAATCGGGTTGAAGCGAATCTGATCGGGGGAAAAGCGAGCCAGGCATAGTGATAGAGGGCTTTTTGCGCAGTCGGGGGTATGTTATGTCAGAGTGTGACGAAGGAATGGGCGCGCCATCTTGGGAATGAGAACGGACTTTTCTGTCTCTTGAACGACTGGTATGACGTGGAGATGGGGAGCGGGAGGTCACACCAGGCGCTATTTTTTTTTTATAAAGAATTGATCAGTATTGTATCGAAGGTGGTGTTATATGAGATAAGACTCACCGGTGCAGACTGGATCTCGGTGCTTCTCGCTACCGCTAGCCTCTCTCCACTGCTCAATCATCCCGCCATCATAACCTTTTCGTCGCCTACCCCGCTCTTTAGATTTCGCATCACGTCTCTGTCTCCGTTTGGATGTACCAGACTGTCAGTGATCGAATTTCAGTTTGATTTGTTTAGAACCAGAGAGAACAGAACGTACCTCAGATTTTCCAGTCGCATTTATCATAAACTCGCCAATCTCTCGCGAGACAAAACTGAAAACGTTTGAAAGGATCCCTGGATCTTGGCCCATCAGGGTTTATTACTGTCAAATATGAGAAGGAAGAGGAGGAGGAGGTTTGTGTTGAGATGAGTGTGGAATCAACAAACGTAAATAACACGCCTTGTCGCGTCTTGTTTGAAGTTGAGGCCACACAGTCCACTCTAATTGTGCAAGTCATATCATTACTGACCATGCAATTGCAGCGTCCTCTGTTGCCACTTAAGCACCGAGACGAAGGACAATTATTTGAGATTTCTGGTGGATGAGCAGCACAGACTCCGTCGTATTCCTATTACCTCAGGTGAAGGTATGCAACAAAAAATTGAGAACAAGGCGTCGGTTGTAAAAACTCAGGAATGCTGTAAGTACCATACACTTCCGGAGCTGTATCTACCTATCCCCTTGTATTATTTGCACGTATGTCATGCATGTAGGGTCAAGGCATCTGGCTTGCGGATTGTGCATTCAACACCATGCCATACCTGAGCTTACATGAGCGTAGATGGCCGAATGAAACATTCATTCATTCACAACTAATATAGTTCAGCTGCTGGAAATTGTAAGACGTCGGTATCTATGCTAGACTGCAGAGCCATCACTGAATCAGCGCCAAAACTTGAATCGAATTACGAACGCCTCCTAATATCGTGACATGACAATATTAATACGACGACTCGCTGATCGCAGCAATTCCCCTTTCGGTATCAATCCTAGCAAGCGCTAGGCGCGGTTGAGGTTCCTTGTTGCCATGTGCGGTTGAGATGGGTCCAGAAAGCTGTGGACAACGGTCCACGTATCTCGAATGAAGATTTCATATTTGCAGCAGCGCACGCGCGTGATGCCGAATTAGTCAAAGGCTACTTTACCAAAGGGGACATGATAAAATTTGGAGGATAACGATGGGTGTTGAAAATATTCGCAGTGCTTTGCTGTCTTCTTCGACGTTGATACGGTGGACCAGTAGGTGTATCACCGGGATGCGCCGATGCTGATACGATGTGATACAAAATACTTGATGAATTGCCAGCCTATGATCCCGTGGTAGGCTTTACATCGTCTGAGTATGATCATCATTGAATTGATCAGGTAATAGCCGATACGGACTAGTGTTTGAATACCTTGTACAAAGATTTAATTTGCTCACCCGGAAGATTTCGGCGCGCTGACGCGTGTCAAACCAGTGGGCCATTGTTTTCGGGAGTCAGCAGCGGATGTGACAATGGTCATAGCCTCATAGGCTTCGGACCATTTGCAGGAACGGGTTCTACTGAGAGGAAAGATAGTAAAGGATATTGAAGGCTATTGAAAATAATACATATGTAGCCAATCTGTGACTTAAATGTGTGTGTGTGTGTGTGTGTGTGTGTGGCGAAGGACACTTAAGCTCAATGGTTTAAGCTCACCGTGATGACCGTTCGGCTAGGTTATTCGGTTTCGAACTCCGCCAAGACCTAACTTGCCCCGCTGAAACTCGATACAAACTCGACTGCTGAGAGCTGAGGTACATTAATCTGCAAGCTTCAAGCTTCCCATATGCTTTGTCGGCTGACTTTGCCGACTGCGGCCGCAGGATCTTCAGTCTAAGCGGTAAACCAAGCATTTAAAGGCGGCACCAAAGCACCAACTGCAAATATTGATATCCGAATGACTAGCGATAATCTTGAATGAATTTTGTCCTTCCAATATTATCAGTACCTTCACTTGTTGAACACTGCTGCCCCAGCATTAATGCACCGATTAATGGTAAGGTTTCTGTTTCTGTTTTCGAGATTATCAGCCCAGGCGGTCATCATCATATAATAGTAATCCTCATTGCAGACATGTAGGCGCTCGTCGATGTCGTTTGCTACCCACCACGCCTGCTGATTCCATCGCACCAGGACACCTCTTGACAAGCACATCCACCTATCTTTTCTACTTGCTAGATGAACGAAAAACAATCCTTCTTGGAAGAAACGCTGGGGGCAGCCGAAGCCAAGTCATTCAGAGGGCCCTCATCTGGTGGAGGATAGAGGCAGGAGGTCAACCAGTCACGATGTATGACATTTTTATCTTGACAGCTACATCATTTTTAATCATCATAGCTGTCCTCTCTCTCCCCTTCGAGAAATGGGTCCCGTGGATGACTCACGGGGTCAATTCGCGAAATGTTGGGCAAGGTGACCAAGCACTTCACTCGAATTGCTCGACAGTCCCCCAACCCTGAACCCGAGGCTGCAAGTTCTAGCCTACAGGACACCCATCCTGTTCAGTCAAGTAAGGTAAGTGTAATCTCAACTCTGAGTGTGCCTCGTGTGCCATGATGAGTACTAATCGCTTCTGCAGGACTCCCAGCCAACTTCCGCATTTGCCTCACATACCACCCTCTTGAAGACATTGATAATGCTCTGCATGCCGCGTCACATGTTCGGCATGTTTCCCTGGATGACATCCCGTCTGCGTCCACAGAACTCGACATTGGACTTTATATCTCTCACAAGATCTGCGTCACGTTGCCCACTTTAAGGTACCCGCTCTGAAATCTGATGGCCTGTTTGAATGGGCTCGTCTCGCCTCAGAATATTACAAGAGCACGAACTTTGTGAGCCGAGGCCCGATGCACCGTTTCCATGACATTTATGAAACATCCGCCAAAAGCGTGCATTGTCGCATCTTGGCAGATATCACGCCAAAGCACAAGCCCGAGGAAGCGTTCTCAATATTTCGATCTGTGATGGGTCAAATTCTTGCATTGTCAGAACCGCTTCCCATCAGTGTTTTTACATGCGATCATGACCGCTACGACGTGAAGTAACTCGTGAAGCATCTTGGCTCGTTCGTCTGTGGCACTTCAGATTCTGATATTCCCATACGTCTCCTTCACGCGTCATTCTACGACTTCCTCACAGACGAATCACAGAGCCATGGCTTCTTCGTGGATCAATCAGCGGTACATAGAGATCTTGCCTTTGCCTCGCTTCGGGTCATGGACTCTGAGCGCGCGGGCTTCGCTTCAACATTTGCTCCCTAGAGAATTCCTACTTACCCAACTCTTCCGTCCATGATTTGGAAAAACGAGTCAAATAATCTATTCCGACTGAGCTCTCATACTCATTTGCGAAGCACTTCAAGGCCACACTGGCGGTGATATGTCCCATTCTCACTGGACAGACATCGCATCATTTCAGGTTCACAGGACACAACAGTCCGGGTGTGGGACGTAGCGACTGGCAAGGCATTGGGTACCCTCCAGGAGCAAACTGACTGGGTTCGGTCAGTCACAATCTCGCTGGATGGAAATCACGAAATATTTGTAATCCACGTAGTATCTGGAGTCCACAAAATATTCGGCATCCACAAAATATTCGAGATCCGCGGATTATCTGAAGTCCACAAAATCCACAAAATGAATCCACACCAGATTACATATCATGAATTCTACTCAAGGCCTATAAACGTGTGACAGGACATCGTTATCCTGCCTTTCACTCTCATCATGCACCCAGAGTTCACACCAGTTTCGTTCCTCGCAGCTCTGTCGCTGCTTCTCCCTCTGCCATCGCAATGGCGAGCACGAAATGTTGCAACCCTCTCTATCATTGCCTGGCTTTTCGTTCTCAATTTCGTGTATGGCGTCGATGCCATTATTTGGAGCAACAACGTGAACATCGTCGTCCCAGTGTGGTGTGATATCAGTGCGTTCGATCGTGACGGTGAAGTTTCTTTGCTGACTCCCTTCGAGCCAGCAAAATCATTATAGGGATCTACGTTTGCCCTTCCCGCTGCCTGCCTTTGCATTTGCATTCATATCGAGCACGTCGCATCGGTGAATCGGGGCAGAACTTTGCTGAGCTGACAAATGCACTCGCCAGCTTTTCGAACTGTTCATGTGTTTCGGACTGCAGATGGTCTCCATGGGACTTCGTATGAGCAGTTCTTCTCGGACGTTGTGTCATGCTGATCATTTTGCCAGACTACATCGTGCAAGGCCATAGGTTCGACATCATCGAGGGGTATGGTTGTCGCCCAGCGACATATGTCTCAATCCCCGCTATCTTTCTCATCTGGTTGCCTCCGCTCGTGCTATCCGTGATTTCTCTTGGGTTTGCATGTGCGTTACTTTCCCTGTCTATTTTTTTCTTCACTAAGTCATTTTAGGCGCTTCTTTCGTCCATTTCACTGCGACGTCGGTCTAAATTCGCACGTCACCTCGAAACAGTCTCGGAATGGCCTGACGACTTTTCGTTACTTCCGTCTGATGCTCATGGCGATCGTAGAAATGATCTGGAACATCATGGTCGCGTCCTACATCCTTTGGTTCGTCGCAAAGGACGTGCGCCCGTGGACGAACTGGGATGACGTGCATTGGGACTTCTCGCGCATAGACTTATATCCCGCTGCCTTCATGCCAAAGATCGCACTCACCAACTATTACCTCGTCTGGTGGGTCGTTCCGGCCTCCACCTTAATTTTCGTAGCGTTCTTTGCTTTCGGCAAAGACGCCGTGAATGAATACACGGCATGCATGATGTGGATGCGCCGAAATGTCCTGAAGCGAACGAACGAACGAACCGCTCCAAGCTCTGTTCCACTCACGGAGTACGTCATATGCTCTCAACATTGATTTCTTGTCTGACTATTTTCAGGTTTCCTCGCGTTGTTTTGCCATCCCGGCCGAAGAGGCTAAGGCCCGCAAAATATTTGATGCCCTCAACGCAAACTAGATTCGACGTTGGCGTCCGTGACTATCATGGATCCTCCCGTGCCAAGCAAGCTGTTCAATTTCCGGCACCTGCCTATCATTCGCGAGGGTATGGATCTAGAGATACTTTCCGGGCGCTGGACGCCCCTCCAAACCACCCTGGTTTCTCTTACCCGCCTCATCATCACACCCGTTATGCTTATCAAAGGGTGTTATGCCTTTGATTCAACGTCGTAGATTACGACCGCTACCCTCTTCGCTTGATACATGCTACGTTTCCCATCACTTCCTGTCATAGACATACACACTCTTTACGTGCCTCACTTTCAATATTCAGAATCACTTGTTTACTCGCAACGTCACAACACTCATTTGTACATCATCATGCTGCTTGCCTCTTCCCTTGATATATGCTACATTTCCCGACAGTTCGTGTCATAGACAAACACACTCTTTACGCGCCTCACTTTCAATATTCAGAATCACTTGTTTACTTGTAATGTTACCACACTCTTTACGCGCCTCACTTTATATATTCCGAGTCAGAATCACTTGTTTACTTGTAACGTTACCACACTCATTTGCACATCATGTCAATCCACATTCTGCGCGATTACTTGACGCTTGAAGGGTCTACTTTACGAGTATTTCAAGTGGATTGTAGTCGGTCCTCCATATGCACAGGTGACGAGTTCGCCGAGTCTTCCTGGCCTCTTAAGAGATATCATCGTCGTGTTCAATGATCTGCTTCAGGCGCAGGCCGCTTTGCTTTCTGTCGCTCCTTCTTCCCCAGCCGTTTTTTCGGCGCTGAATTCTCGCTCCTGTGGCTCGTCCTAGTGGTCCCCACCCGTTCCTTCAAGTTTTCCCTAAACTCCGCGAGGCGCTCTCCACGGTTATGGTCCCACTTTTCTGCGCGGTACGGTGCATAGCGCTTTACGCTCACGTATTGATTGAGTTCTTTGTCTGTGGCCATGAGGATCTCAGTAGGGGTGAGCGCGAATGTCTGCGGTGCAGCCGTAATATATTTGAAACGCGTAGGCATTCCTGCGACCTGCGACAACACGCGTGAATGAAAATTTCTAGAAAGATGATACAATGAAGCTGACCATGTCGTTAAACTCGAGCCCGTAAACTTCATCCATGTATTCATCAAGCTTGCGCTTTCTCATCTCCTCAGTGCCATCCCATTCCTCTTCATCATAATTGCGCACGACATCTGCATCCATAGTATCGATATCTACTCCTTGGTCGTCGGCCTCGTCATTTGTCTTCTTTTTCTTTTTCTTCTTCTTCTTGTTCGAAGACGAAGATGGTTCGGCGGAGCCAGAACATGGTATAATATCGTCAACGTTAATGTCGTCGTCCCAAACGGGCTTTTCTTGATCATCCGAGTCGTTGAAATCGTGGTAGAGCCCCGCCATTTGCATGTCATGTGCTTCTGGATCCCAGTCCGCATCCAGGTCGATCTCCTTGAAGGCTACATGGTTTTGGCGTCAAGGTAATAACGAGGCAACAACATTGACGAACCTTCAACATCAGAACCGATATTAATGCCACCTTCACGCCCGATGCGCTCGAGCTTTTGGCGGATTTCCTTCATTTTGAGGGCTTTCAACCTTCTTACCTCCTCCTGCTTTTTCTCGAGTTCCATTTCCCGGCGCTGCTTCTTTCGCTCACGGCCCTCTTTGCGAGTTGTGTCAACTCGACGTACTGTAGAAGCGATTGTTCGTGGGAAGGACTTGATATTAGCTGCGTCCCTGGTAGGCGAAGGGTATAAACAAAATGAAGCGGAGAATGTCACGGTACCTACGGTTCTTCGAAACGGAAGTTGTATGAATTCTCGAAAGCGTCGGCGATTTCCTCGAATTCGTCGTCATCTTGTTCTGTGTCCGCGATATCCTTGTACGTAGGTAGTCGTTCTGCAGACTTGTCGATCCATCCACGATTGAGGATATAGCTGAGAAGATTTAAAAGTGACTGGATTCATAAAAAAATTTTGGCTCACTTCATAAGGAACTCCTTATCAGCCTCTTGTTTGGACATGCCCTTCACCTCGTTGCCTTTTTTCTTCGTCTTGCTCTTCTTTTTTAGACATGCGCCTTCTTCACCGCTCACAACCTCTGTGCCTATCCCTGAAGTCTCAACCTCTATGAGACCTTCCAGATCCTGGCCAACTGCGTGCTTGAGATATTCTCTGTATTGCTCCTCTTCATGGTCAAGCTCATCCTTTGTGTTCTCTCGCAGTACAAGCAATCCGTCGTCGTCGTTTTCATCAACAGCGGTATGGAATGCGGCACGGGTTTCATCGCGCAGCTGGCGCTGCTCCTCGGTATGCGTGAGTATGGTCGGTTCTGGGGTGGGCGAACGGGAGGTGTCGACTTCGAGAGCGGATGCGAGAGTTGCTTGTCGGAAAGTGAGAGGTTTTGTCTAGGAATGAGAAATATTAACTTTAGGGTATACTCGACATGAAAACTCACTTTAGGCTTGGTACGTCGCTCTTGGACCTGGGGAGCACGAACGGTAATGCGCTCCTGCTCCTCTGACAAGTGTCAGAACTGGCGTGGTTCAAGAGAGACGCAGTTTACCTTCAAATATAATATTCTCCGCATTGTAGATGGCCGGATCCTTTTTCTTGATCCTTGCTAGCGTCCTGAGGATGGCAGCATCCACTGCGGGCGTGAGTTCCTCTCCATCCTCATCTTCAGATTCTGCGTCCTCGGAGTCTGTCTCCTCGTCCGTACCCTCTTCGAAATCCGATCCGTATTTTTCTTTTACTGGTAGTCGTGTTTTAGTTTACGGGAGACAGGAGTGTGATTCGGACGTACATTTCGCGAGCTCCTCGCGCTCTTTTCGGTATTCGAAGGCCTTTGCATAATGCTCATTGATTGTGAGATCAGTGATTTCGTCGGTATCAGAGTCGGAAAGCATGGATCGATCGTACTGTAACTGTAAGCAGGGAGGAATAACATGTAATGTAATGGCACTTACAATCTCTTGCGACAAACGTAAAAACGAGTGATGCTACAACGCAGACCACGCACGAACGAATGATCACTGCAAAAGTGTAATTTTAGTCAGATCATAATCAGAGGAAGCCAATGTGTGTAACACGACACGCACCCTCCGCAAGTTAAAAGTTGGTTGTTCTAGCTTGCCGATGCTGATTCCGATCAGCGTAAACACTCGACAACATATATGGCCCTGCCAGTGCTTGAATTCTCAGCGCAGCGACGACGTCACAGCAGCTTCCTCTGCTCATTCATTCTTTTTTGTGCATGAACGCTCTGCGTGCTCGTTTCATAATGGCAAATTATCGCAAAGTACCCATCTCCTCATTGCCCCTGCCGCCGTCAAGCCATATCGTGACACATAACCTTACCCCAGATCCAGTTACCCTGAGCCCAGCAGAGTTCTTCTCTGACGTCTTGCCCAACAAACCAAGCCTGCAGAGGCGTGCAAGGCTACTCTCAAAACAAGCGCACTTCTCGTATGTGAATCCAATGCCACTAGAGTTTCCCTATGAAATCACACCGCCCGACCCACCTGCTGTCATCGAGGACAAGGCTGCTTACATCGAGCAATGGCTCAGCGAGCGCGAAGCTCGTCATCAATCTCCAGTTAGCAGTCAAATTCAGCCTTCATTGAACAAATATACCTCCAAGCTCAGAGATAAGAAGAGGGTACTTATCGGGTTGTCTGAAACATGCCTCAGAGACTGCCTGCCACATCTAGACGTTGGCGATGCCTTTGAAGTGCTGGGGAAACCAGCCTTGACCCCTCTGATAGAAGAAGGAGTTGCTTCGACCTCTTCGCCAGAGGCTGAGGCCATCCGGCAGGAATTGGTGGATGTCTTGGGTGGCCATGCCGTTCTGATGGCACCCGAGTCCAGCTGTGGTCCTAGCTTTGCACCCTGGTCCGTTAGGTATAGCGGTCATCAGTTTGGCGTCTGGGCTGGTCAACTTGGTGACGGTCGTGCCATTTCAATTCGTCAGTCATCTACATCTATCACACGTCTGCTCCAGAACGTCTTAACGGGTTGCTAGACGTAACACCGCACCCTGAAGACCCTGAAACCACATACGAACTACAGCTGAAGGGTGCTGGGCGGACTCCCTTCTCTCGCACTGCGGACGGATTAGCTGTGCTTCGTTCATCCATTCGAGAATACCTCTGCTCAGAAGGTACAGATGGCCTCGCTGGTAGTATCGTGGTTGCACTAACGACATCATAGCCATGCATGCACTCTCGATCCCGACTACCAGGTCACTAAGTCTAATCTCCCTCCCTGACTTACCAGTCATACGAGAGCTCACAGAAAGCGCCTGTATCATCACACGCGTTGCAGAAACATTCATACGTATCGGCAACTTCGAAGCCCTCAGCCCTCCATCCAATTCTTTCTTTTTTGGTGGCGGTCAGCAAGACGCAGACTATGAGGCTTTGCGACAGCTGGGTGAGTGGACTGCGAGGAGGGTGCTGAAGCTGGAAGGTATCGACTGGGAGGCTGGTGATGCTTGGGGTAAAGAACTTCTGTGTGATGTTGCAAGACGAAATGCACGGATGGTGGCTGCTTGGCAGGCCTATGGATTTATGCATGGTGTTATGAACACAGACAAGTGAATTTTTCAGTTTTCCGCTTCCAATATTTAGGCGACTGACTATTTGGTTTCAGTATATCTATCCTTGGGCTGACGATCGATTACGGTCCATATGCATTCATGGACGTCTTCGACTCTTATCATATCTGCAACCATAGTGACGGAGAAGGTCGATATGCATACAAGGTAGGTCAAACATTATCAATGCCCGCTCGTAAGCTCACGTTCAACCCAGTATCAGCCAAACATGATGTTGGTCTTTTTAAGTCGCAATTGTCTTCCGATATTCTAACAAACACTCTTGCAGCATCTACGCCTGTCGTGCTCTCCTCAACGCACTCTCCCCACTCATTGGCGCAGAAGTCGCACGAGGCAACAAGGCAGTCCAACCCGGATGGGCATCTTCAGCCACGCCTGAAATGCTCGTCTCATGGCGCACAGTAGGCAAACAGCTTGAAGTAGAAATGGAACAGATCATCGAAGAAACCTGTGCCACAGAATACGGAAAATTGATGCGCAAACGCTTGGGGCTTCGTCGTCAGAAGAAAACGGACCAGCGAGAGATCGTGCAGCCCCTTTTGGACATGATGGAGGCGCAGCAGTTAGATTTCCATGGCACTTTCAGACGGCTTGCATTTTTCCACACTGGGATGATGAAGGAAGGAGATAGTGAGAGAATGGAGGCGTTCATCAAGGGGATTTTGAGCGGGACGCCTGATCTGGACCGTATGGATCATGGGAAGGTTACCGAAGAATGGATGGCTTGGTTGGACAAGTACAGTGCGCGCATTGAAAGCGAGCGCCATGGGGAAGAGTGGGCTGGCGAGGCTGACTTTGACCACGCCAGACAAGACGCCGCAAAAAGTGCCAACCCGCGTTTTGTGCTCAGACAATGGGTGCTTGAGGAGCTCATCAAGAAAGTCGAGGGAGACCTTGACAGTGGGAAACATCTCATAGCTAAAGTGATGCAGGTGAGACACCCATCATCGAGTTGCAGTTGACAGCAGCTTACTGTAACCCTCTAGATGGCATGTAAGCCTTTCGAACCGTGGGGAGCAGAAGGTGATGGCATACCAAGCGATGATCTCCCAGCAGAGACAAGAGAGGAGAGGCGTCTGTGTGGGCTAGGAGACAAGAGATTTTTGGGCTTCCAATGCAGTTGCTCAAGTTGAATTTGGTCAGAGAATACCTATAAGAACACGGGCTACCAACACGGGCCCAACTATTAGACGGCGTTTTCTAAGTTTATAATATAAACTCCTTCAGCACTATAAATGATCGACCATACCCTGAGCCTGTCGTTGTCGCTGGCCCAGTCATGGACTTGAACATCCTGAAAGCCTTGCACAAGTAAAAGCGCCTGCATTCCAAAGTCTACCTTATTCGTGTCAAGGTTCCTGCGAGAAGGCGCAGACGGTGAAGTAGTAACAATAAATATAACAAATATAACAAATCTACCTCAGAACATTTTGGATAGCGAGTGAACGAACAAGATTTAGTAACGCAACAGCAAAAACGCAAGACGAACTGTTCCGATGTGAAAGGTCAAGGAGTGACAAAGTGGGAGGGGTGCACGTCGATACCGGACCGTAAAGCGCCCCCACGAAAAAAAAATATGAAGGTGGGATTGCGCGATACAGATATGAAATAATGTATACGTACTCAAGATGGGTGCGAAATGAAGTTTGCACATATTAATGAAAAGCAAAATGTATTGCTTTGAAAGTGGATCATCTGAGTGGAACTTGCGTTGGGGGATATGGGAAGGCCGTCACGCTCACGGCGTCAACTTCATCACAAGACATGATTGTTGAGCTACGAGAGTAATTCGACAATCGCATGGATGACACGGATAGACCTGCCTCAGCTGACATGTCTAGTGCAGCGATAAGACTTTGCATAGCATGGGAATTGTTGGTGGCATTGTTATTTGGACGAGCTTCAAGTCTTGGAACGGGAGCATTTGAGTCAGCAAAGGGGTTGGATTCGGTTGTGGCGTTGGGAAGGAGTGCGCGCTTCTGGGATTTCTCCTGTGCGTTGAAGAACGGGTTAGTGACCCTTCGGCTGATGCCGCTCTTGACGGAAGCCGCATCTGCGAAAGGATTGCGCGAATCTCCCGCTTCTGACATCTCTGAACCATATGCATCAATATGGCCAACCTCTGCGCTCTCCCAGCGATGTGACCCAGACACGGTTGCGGGTGGCGTGAACTTGACCATAGTCATTGTAGGTGACATGGTGCCAGACAGACGCGAGTGCACGGAGAAGAACGAATCCCCACCAACAGTATCGCCATCCCATGAGATGGTTGGCACGCCATCAGCTTGGGGGCGACCCATCAAGCGCTGTACAGGTAGAGGTTTAGTGACAACCGTGCGACCTAGATCTGCAGATTTTGACGCCATCTCCTCAGCCAAGCCAGGATGATACCTGGCAAAGTGCTGCATCGTGCCTATAGACTCGCGGTTTCCATGGCTCTCAGAGGTCTTTTCTCCAGAGGTTGTGCTGGGTGTACGATGGAACATCGCGCCCAACTTCTCCATCGGCCCGGATGGAGGCCTTGGTGACCCATCCAGATGGCCCACCTTGTCATCGTTGAGGCGTTCCCAAGATTGTGAATGAAAGCGCCGGCGATACAAGTTGTCAGCACTGTGGGGCTGCGAAGTTGGGGAAGCCTTCCCACGGCGCTGCGGCTTTTGTCGTCTTGAACAGTGGATCGCTAAAAAGATTACCAGTACGAGGAGGATAAATGCACCGACGCAGGCGCCGATGACGGTACCTAATGATATGTCATGTTCAGAAGAGGAACTGGGTGAGGTAGTCACAGCAGATGAAGCTGATGACGAAGTCGGTGATGCGGACGGTGTCGAGGAGGCAAGTTGAATGCCCGTCTGGGAACCCGAACCAGGTACCGGTGTAGTGTTTTGGATGAGAGCAGTTGCGGTCGGTGAAGTGTTAGTGACTATCACGGACCCGGAGAGACCATCTAGCGTCTGTCGTTTTCGCAGAACATCGGGGTGATATTGGAACATGGTTGAATGGTATGTTGGTTACAATGGAAATGATTGGAAGGAGCGAATTCAAGAAAAGAATGTACCGCAGAATCAGCTTAGCGGAAGGAAGTGAGAGCCACAAAGCTGGAAAGTACTACTACGAATGGAATGATGTTGAAGCTTGCTGCTGAACAGGTCAATAACACCTAATACTCAATGGAACGATAATACTTACAGTCAAGCGAGCGAGCAAATAGTTTGCACGTCGCTGCTCGTTGCTCGAGGCGCCGCCTTTATCACTGTCGTTGGCAGTGTTGAAGTTGTAGACAACGCTGGTAAGCGCTGAGATGTAAAGATTGATAAGTTTGTTTAGTTACGAAAACTACGTAACAATATTTGCCTGCCGTGGCAGTCGGCTGCTTTAAATTATACTGTAGTAACAGGTGAAGTGTGCATTACATTAATGTCATGGCAATAACCAGGTACATACAAACGGGAGACAGGATCGTCTACTCCAGCATGGCGACCAACTATAGTGACGAAACACCGCTGCAGAAGGGAAATTATTCCTTTTATTAACCCAATCACAAGACGTTGGCTTCTTCAATGCGATGCAAAAGGAGCTTGTATTCGGGGAAGAGCAGGGTTGTCATCCTCTTCGTAAATCCCAGTAGGATGGGACTCCTTAGCACCATATCCGCCCAGTACGGGTTCCCACTCGTTGCGAGGGTATTGGCGAGGAAAGCATAGATGATAAGATCAACGCATGTTGGTTGCTCGCCGTCGTGGAAATACAAGTGATCCGACATCCTTGCTTCGAGAGCCTCAAAAGCCTCTTTTTGCAAGGACTGAACTTCTTCCTGGGAGTGACGCCCCATCCCAGCGTTCCAAATTGAATTCATCACCCTCCTCCTAAAAAACCAAGATATCATCGGCCGCATGGGCCAAGCCATGCTCCCAAATATCTCCTCGGCAGTCACTGCATAATTTTCGTCTATGTACCATCGATCTCGAACGATCGCAGAATATAGCAGTTCTTCAATATACGCCTGCCATGCTCTCGACTCGCCCTTCTGAACTGGAGTCAAGCTGGCGACGGCGTCCGGATCTTTCGTAAGTCCATTCTCGATGAGGTAGCGGATGATAAAATGAGAATCCGCGATGGTGACAGTTTTCCCGTCATGTTTGATGTCGGCAAAGGGAACTTTTCCCTTGGGAGCTTTCATTGGGACTGTCTCACCCACTTCGTATGATATGCCACTAAATCGGAGGAATACTTCCAGCTTTTGGCAGAAGCCAGACGAGCTAGGTGCGTCGGGCGGCTTGGCAACACCCCAGAGTACGACATGGGGACGCGACTCGGGTTCAGTAGACATGATCTGTACAGTTTTGAGTTAGCCTTATCAAATTTCATCGATGAAGAGACAAACCTATTTAGAAGCGAAGTTCAGACTTGTAAGTTGGGATACTGACTTATCTGCTTTATATTGCTGTTGTACAGCGATGCAAGAAGCATCAAGTTTGACTGCCAGGGATTTGTTCACAATGACGCGGCCCCTGTCATTCACTGGCAGTTACGAGATCCTGCGGCCGCAGTCGGCAAAGTCAGCCGACACAGGTACTAGCAGCCAGACCCGTATGGGTGATAGTCAACTCGAACCCTGAAGCTTGCAGATTGTACCTCAGCTCTCAGCAGTCGATTTTGTGTCGAGTTTCAGCGGTCCAACCCATAGGTGCCAGTCACTGTACTAATGTGGATTGACATGATGTACAAATGAGTGTTGTAACGTTACAAGTAAACAAGTGATTCTGACTCGGAATAGTGAGTCTATACTGTCATAATCATACATTAAATAGATTGTAATGATCAGTTATTTACCATACATGAATCATTGTTGTTACCATTTACAAGCAAGTAATGTATGAGGGTGGTGGATCCCTTGAGGATCCCTATCTTGATGATATATCACTAATGTATTACTTCTTGTTACTCTTATGATGACCAGCTGGTGATATATCACTGATGTATCACCCCAAATACAGGACCAGGTAGTGATATAATACTAATGTATCACTCTTGTTGCCCCTAAAATAGGCCAATTGGTACCATTTACAAGCAAGTGATGTATGAGAGTGAGGATCCCTGTGGATCCCTATTTTGATGACCAGCTGGTGATATATCACTAATGTATCACCCCAAACACAGGACTAGGTAGTGATATATTACTAATGTATCACTCTTGTTGCCCCTAAAATAGGCCAATTGGTACCATTTACAAGCAAGTGATGTATGAGAGTGAGGATCCCTGTGGATCCCTATTTTGATTACCAGCTGGTGATACTGTAGAGTTATGACTGTAACTTCGTCATGTGTCCCACCCCACAACAAATCAAACCTATTTGATGTGACGGTCACACTAAATTTCGGGGAGTGAAGCTATTTTGTGACACGCGGTAAAACAGGTAAAATTGCTAACAAAAAACCAAAAATCGCTATGGACAAGTCAGTTGTGCAACCAAAAATCATTATATAGGGTGTTGGCTATGCGTTTGCGCTGTCCTCTCCCAAAATGAGGCATCTCCTTGCTTTCCTCTCCCTCACCTGTGTTAGAAGCCTCAGCGACATGAGCATTTCCTGCAAGCTCTGACTCATACACCTCCGACTCGTTGTGTGGGATAAGTAAGCCGTTTGGATCAACACTGTAACCAGCTGGTGGGTTCTGGAACAATAGCCATCAAACCACGCTTGTCCAAAAAGTTGTCAAAGCTCTGATGAGAGTGCAAAAGATGGGATAGGACAGGATAAAAAGTCCTTTGGAAGCTCAGAATCATTCAAAGCAGATTTTTTGGAGAAAAAGCTAAGTGCTGATCCTTTATCGATGTCGTCGAATGCGAGGTTGATGGGAAGGTTGAGCAATGTATCCACGGAGAGATCTGGGGAGGGGATGGAGATACTGATCCACGGTGGCATAGATTGAAGGCGTTTGATTTCACGCTGAAGGATTTTTGGGGGACATGTCTGGGGAAATGTGCGACCACACGAGATCCATTCTGAAGGGTCAAAATTGATGGACATGCTGAGGAAAGGCTAAACTCACATAGAATGTAGTTGTCCATCCTTTTATCCATTCTAAATATGCCCATGGCGGAGGGCAACAACGTGAGGATCTGTGGTCCATGTCACCACCAAAAGGAAGAGAGAAGATTGTTGCACCGAGTCAGGTTGTGACTTGAATATTTGGTTGGGGCGAAGCTAATTTGGATAGGTCACATGTCACAAGGGCCTATGAAGCTGTGAAGCTAAGTGTAACATGGTCACACCCAAAAGGGCGCGAAGCCATGGTCGTAACTCTACAGTATATCACTAATGTATCACTCTTGTTGCCTCTAAAACAGGACACAGGTTGTGATATATCATTGAAATAACAAGCATGTAATGTATGAGGATGAGGATCCCTATCTTAAAGACCAGCTGGTGATATATCACTAATATATCACTCTTGTTGCCTCCAACACAGGACACAGAAACAGACAGGGGTTGTACCAGTTTGGACTACTATTGGCCAAATATAAGTCAACAATCAATGAATTTTTACCAAGTTCCGCTGCAGCAGAGTCCAAACATCACATGACGTACATAGTCCCTACTCAGAGCTGCCTGTCCGACATCAATCCATAAAGTTGCACAAATTAACAATATATCTTAGACAAGTTTAAAGTTACAAGTCACACTGCTTAATGAATTTGTTTGAGCTCCCCACCAGTTGTAAAGTCTATCACATGTGAATTGTTCTAACAGCAGGAGTGTCTGTGACATTCATCATTTCATGTGCTACATCACGAATGCAAACTAACAAAATAAGTAGAGGTATTACAAGACTGGCTAGTAGGAGAAGTATCACAGAAGTCAAACATGTTACTTTTTGAGTACAGTACTAATATATCACTGATACATCACCTTGCGGGTGCTCCATGCATAAGATCTAGCCTCTGCTGCTTCTTCGATGTTGAATTATCTTTCCCAATCTTCCCATTGCCGATGGAGTTTGCAATGTTATTGCGAGTCGACTCCTTGCACTCTCGCTTTGATCGTCCAAGCACAAGGGACTCAACAGGTTGCGTGAGAGGTTGAGGTGGCTCAAAGTTAGGCTGCATGAGAGGAGGAGGCAACTTAATGTCAGACTGTGTGAGAGGAGGAGTGAGAGGAGGCGACTGCTTGATGTTAGGATGCATGAGAGGGGGAGTGAGAGGAGGTGACTGCTCAACATTTGGCTGCATGAGAGGAGGAGCAAGAGGAGGCGACTGCTCGACATTGGGAGCGAGAGGAGGCGACTGCTCGATAGACTGCCTGAGAGGAGAGTGAGGAGGCACTGCTCGATGTTAGACTGCATGAGAGGAGGTGACTGCTTGACGTTGGGCTGCATGAGAGGGGGAGCAAGAGGAGGCAACTGCTTGACGTTAGACTGCATGGGAGGAGGTGACTGCTCAATGTTAGGTTGCAAGAGAGGAGGTAGCTCAATGTTAGATATTACTGCCTGGTTAGAAGGCAGATCTGGCCAATTTGGACCCAATGGCTCATTGAGTAAGTCAGTCACAGACATGCGATCCAAAGCAGCAGAATCATACAACTCCAAGCTGGACATGGACTTTGCTGTGGGTAGAGTATTTCCCTCTGGCATGGGAAGAATGGGACCATTATCATTGAAGAATGACTCCGGTCCTGAGATGTCAAGACCAGAGAAGGAACCGCACTGATGGTCATTGAATGGTATCATCTGAGACAATGGTGGAAGGAGTGATGTATTAATTGTTGTGCTGGAGTCAATTGGCATCGGAGACAAGGTTGTGATTGCAGAGCCTGCTTCGAATGGCTGCGTGGGGTTAGACTTTGAGGGACTCGGACTCGGTGAACCTACTGTTCCCTTCCCTGTCACATCAGCTGCATAGAATGATCAATGCATTACAAGTTGTGAGAAGTTGTAAGTACTCACGAAAGGCCTGCTTAACAAATCTGCATATGGCTTCATAATGTGTTCATTGCAATCAGAGTAAGCACAATTGAATGTGTTTCCCATTGCCGTTTGCACCACATGAAAACTCTCAATTTGAATTTTCCCACCCATTCCTGGAGAAGGCCCGCCCATCAACACAGAAAACGCCCAGCCCATTTGTTTCGCCAGTCCCGCAAATATATCAGCTAGAACCTTGGGTAAATTTTCGATATTCCTGGAAGACGGTAAGTTCTCTGAGTCAGTTGACAATGCATTACTAAGTCTTACTCAGTGAAAGAAATGTCTTTGTCTTCGCTCGAACTCCTCTTGCGGTCTTCACTCCACTTCTTAATGAAATCGGCCACCTCTGACTTGATCTTGGGAGTCTCGTTTTCAAATAGAGTACGTGTATGCTTCTTGACAAGAGAGAGTCTGACCTTCTTAGGTAACGTCTGCCTCACATTGCCCATGTCACCCTCTTCATCTGAAGTCATCGGACTCAGACCAGCCTCTTGCTTGAGTACCTTCATCTCCGCATCAATGACTGGTTTGATACGTGTCTTGTAGTATAACTTTGAATAGGCCTCAGCAGGCTGTAACGTGCGCGTTCCTTTGAGGCTCAATTGAGACACTAACATTTTCTCGACAGAGCTTGTCGTCTGTGCCTTCATCTTGCGCTTAGCACTGTAATTCCCGTACGTGTTACGGAAGCGATGTATGAGTTGCTAAAGGTCAAAAGTTAGTACATGCATTAATGCTCATGTTACAATGTGTACTTTTTTGCGTGTATTTACAACATTTGCATTGGCAACTTTCTGTTCTGTGGTGAGTTTTGTGTCAAGGGGGATATCGGGAAAGAGATGCTCCCTCTCTGGCCATCTGGAGTGATAGTCTTCGAAAAATGGGGCCCAGAATGGAGTGTAATCGCCTGCTGCCTGACACTCAAGGTATTTTTCTTGATACTCCTCCATCATTTCAAGTTGCTCAGAGGTGAACTTGGAGTGAGGAGCCATTCTAGATTATATTCAGTTTTAACTACAATAAAAACAAGAAAATTTGTCTTGTACCTTGCTATCGATTATTGAACTGTGTGCGCGGGGCTAAAGCAATGGGCAAGGAGTGTCACAAGCAATGTATGAGCCTTGCAAGACTCGGAGATGCAGACGGTCATACGCACATGAAAAAAGGAAGTATAAATCTCACTTCACCGAATCATAAGGTCCAAGATCTGAGATCACAAATTGACAGCCGTGCATGCATGAAGGCTAAGTACTGCAGAAAGATGGTCAATCTTAGTGTCGCTACAGAAATGTCACCCGATGATATTGGCAAATCACAAATATGGCAGAAGACAGCAATCCTGTGTCCTTCCGTGTCCCAACATTGCTGTCCAAGGATCAGCAAGGAATGGTCCAATGCAACAACCAGCTATACTATCATTGGGCCAGAGTTGCAAAATATGACCACCACATTTTCATATGTCGTTTTTTGCTACACATTAAGACAAAATAATTATACGAAAATATAGCTATGTGTGTCACAGCTGAGCTCCAGTTTACAAAAGAACAAAATGTGTTCAAATGATGCTGCCAGAGGGATGCTGACACAAATGTTAAAAACAATAGAGAGTTGCAAAATTTCTCATGGGCGAATTGGCACAGGTGTCACACCATGTCACAGCATCAATTTTGCAAAACTGAACTCCAACACAGCAAATGGTGCATTGCAAGCGAATTTAGAAAATAGGGGTGCCTGAAAGTTTCGCAAGGTGTACACTGCCGCACTCAAATTTAGTTCTCCGTTCCAAGTTGTCACACTTGATCATTCTCTGACATCAATGCTTGCATTGTCGATAACAACCGCAACTGTGCTTCATTCTCACTGAAAAAATTCTCAGAAGGTGAGCATAGTTGTCAAGTGTATGTAGAAGAAAAAAATCATTTTTTGGTTGAGATTTTTGCTTTCACCTGACTATTCTACATGAAAAAAGGCAACTTTGAATGATAGATTTGAAGCCGTACACATTCCTCATCTTTATTCTTATAAAACAAAAATACTGTCCTGTGAATATATGTTAGAAGGTCCTATGTCTAACAGTAGATGGCTTAATATGTGTTGTTGCATGTGCTATGAGGCATTTTGCAACTCTGGCCCAATGATAGTACCGCAAGAAAGTGACATTTTGATAATCGGACTGTGACATCTATGAGGTTCTAGGTATGTTTATTTGTACTATATAACTAGTAGGCAAAACTCCAACACTGCAAAACAGTCACATGCAATTACTGTGACTGAAATAACAATTCTCCTCCATCATACATGACTGCCAATTCAGTAATACTGGTGAGACCGTAAATAAACACTTCCTCCAATGCACTCAGAAGATGATGAACCTCCTTGCCTATTCCCTGGACTTGAACCAGCTTTGGTCCCACACCATAGTACTGCAGGATTCCAGCCTCCTCCGCACGAGCATCTTTCTCCAGTCTTTCAAGTTTCCTAATTGAAGGGATAATGTCTTCAATGTCGAGTGTATTGTCCATGCATTTTAGTAGTGTGAGGCAGATAATATCGAGGTAATTGTATATCTTAATGTCCGGGCCACCAAGAAAAATCACAAGACAATTCTTGATATGTGAGGTCGGAGACTTATATCTAAAAATTTGAGTAGCTGTTTGCAGAAAACAAGAGAGAAAAAGCTACCGCAAATTATGTATAGGAGGTTCAGACTCAGAGGTCAAACGTTCAGGTGGTCCTAGGTGAGGTTGATGAATTTGATTGGACTCAGATATTTCATCGGCATCTTCGTTATTAACGTGGTCTTGTGACCTGCTGTGTGATGATGAACTTGAAAAATGATTGAGCATTCAACTTACCTGCATTTACATTGACAATGATGCTCTTTGTTTTTGGGACAGAACTGTTCGCGGTTCCTGGAATAGTAGAAACACGGCAAGAACAAGACACAGAGTTTAATGGTGTGTAGATATTCCACATACCTTTGGTAATAACTATGTCTGTATGCACGAGCGGCCTTTGCCTGCTCCTCAGGACTATGATGGAGATGAGGTCGCCCCATGAAGTGGTGCTTTGGGAGATCTAGATGAAATGAGGGTGAATGAAGAAGGTAAAAGAAAGGAATATAAGGAAATGAAGGAAAGCGACATGTGATACGAATGAACTGGTGATTCTATCTAGGTAAATGGATAAAAGAAAGGAACATAAGGAAATGGAGGAGATGACAAGGAATGAGAGTATATGGTACAATGGAACTATAGTGAGGGAGTATTATGAAGGTGGGTAAAAGAAAGGAACATAAGGAAATGGGGGAGTATAAGGGAGAGTACTCACATGTCAGTAGCATGACAAAGTACAATGAAATGGATTCACTGGTGAACCCTATCGTCAAATGATGGTGGTTCATGAAGCATATTATGAAGCGGGTAAAAGAAAGGAATGTAAGGAAATGGAGGAGTATGAAGAAGGAGAGTATGTGGTACAATGAAATAGATTCACTGGTGAACATTTGAACCCTTTGAAGGGCATGAACAGTCAGTAGCTAGTAGTATATCTAAATGAGGCTCACGCAAATTAATGCGAGTTTTACGCACCATTTACTATGAAATAGACACTATTCCTGCAACTAAACACTTGCTACTTGGTGTCAGTCTGTCGAGTGCTTTCCAAGCCCATTCGCAGAAATTTTGTTGTTCATGTTCAATTGCAATGACACTCACCAACATGCAAAACTCAAGATTAATGCAAGTTTTATTGTAGTGACACTTTGTACACTTCACTCCTATCAATTAGACACAACTCAATATATTCTAAAAGTTCTTTACAAGCAAAATAGTTCGTGTTTAGTGACCATGACACTTGTCATTGAAAATACCAAAGTCAGTTATCCTCAAGATTCACGACACACATCATCAAGAACGCAATGATAAGCACCAATGAGTCAATTCGCAACCAAACACTAAGATACATGCTATATAATTACAACACATGATAGTCCATACCATTCACACCTGCGCAGCTGTCCCAGCATCAATCGCAGCCATGAGAGCCTCAATGCCTTGATCAATAGTCTCTACCTTAGCAAAAATGGCGTGGCTCACACCCAACACCTTGGGACTGACATTGCCCCTGCCAAGAGACCAGATAAGCCAAGGTCATCACCAAAACACAAAAGACCTACCACCCTGAGAACACTCCAATCTTGCGGCCCCTTGTAACATAGTAAAAAGGCGGTGCAGCATCACTGGCAACCAGGATGTTGAAGCATACATGCCTGTAAGTGTGAAGAATACAACCCTCCGCCATCACATCTTTCACCTCAGCCAAATCAACATCCTTATCCATGACGGTCACCACAAAAGTAACAGTGGGTTTGGAATCAACGACTGCCCTAGTGGTAGACTCAATATGTGCCGGCTCTTTGTCATTGCCAGACGAAGAGCCTGATGGCGAGTCAGCGGTGTCTTGAGCATCAGCTTCACCTTGAGGCTCTAGAAATGTACATCAGCTGTACATTTTGAGAAAACAAAAATATTAAGGAACTTACCGGTGATGTCGGAGGGGAGAGCATTAGCTAAAACTGTGCGATCATTGGTAGTGAGATTTAATACCGACAACAATTTGATGACAGCATCTGAGAGATAAATGAATGAGAGTCGTGCATCATTTATAATATGGATAGTGCTCACCCAATGCCAGAATAGTGTCTTTGGTTGCAGCGATAGTATAGGTCATCATGGATATAGATGTGAGAACTGATGTATGAGTGATGTATGAGACGAACAGGCAAACACAAACTCACCTTTTATGCTGTCGAGGCAGACTTTGTTGGCCACATCGAGGACAACTGGAGGATCAAGTTTCGAAAGCATTGAAAATCCTTGTTGAGGATTGTACATCCTGTCATATGCTCAAAGCGTGTATAGAGGCGAAGCATGTATTGTTACAACTTGGATAGTATCTGTTGGCGACACTCAAACAGAGCGTGTGTCATCAATGGTTGAGGATGTCCTTGGGCTAGCCCAAGGTTAGGGGTCTTACTTGGCGAGACTTCGGCAAGTAAAATTTAATGCCTATGTCCAAATCAGGTAGCTTATGTCAAGCGAAGCTCGACGATAAGTGTATCTGCCAAGGCTTACAACACCCAAAGGTTAATCATAAGATCTGTGCTTTGCTCAATGACGAAGTCGATGAGTAAAGATCAAGACTAGAGACTTATCTGCGATGAGCAGATAAGAAAGTAGAATATAGACTGCTGGCTAGGCAGAAGGAATCACTCTTGTTAGGAGTAGGAGGTCAAGAACCAAGTAGATTCAAGTTAAGGAACTAGATACATGGTAGCGAGTTTATATAGAGGAGAGGACACATATTAGTGGATGATAACTCATACTACCGGAAAGGGAACTGGTCAAAGGGTGATACTGGAAAAGGAAGGCATGTTCGAGGTGAGTCATAGGCAAACCGGAACATGCAGATAGGAAATAAGTCAAAGAACCAAAATAGGAAGTGAAACAAGCAGGGGCACAATCGTGCAACTGCAGAGCTAAGTATAAGTACAAACTTGTGGCTGCGCACCAAGTCATAGATCAAGAAAGGAAACAGAGCAAAGGAGATGCAGCGTGCATCGTATCATAGGTTACTGTCTGGACGGTAAGGGTAAAGGGGACTGTCCACAGGATCAGACGACGGGTGGAACAGAGCATGGGTATGCTTTGTCAGAGAAAGGGTCCAGCCAGATGTACTGGCTCTGCTGGAGCAACAGGTAGAGGGTGAAGGGGAATGTGAGGATGACAAGGATAACAAGAGCAAGGTCAGGGTAAGGGTGTGATGCAAGGGCAGAGACGAGGAGGATAAAAAGAAAAATGGTAGGGGCCCAAGCATCTAGATGTTCTTGTAACATGTATTAGAGGATCAAATTTCGAACATCAAGAATCTTTGTTGATGATTATATATCCCATCACGTGCTCAAAATGTGCAATGAACATTCACCTTTTCCGACTGACTCAGCACTTTACACTTATTACAATCAGGATTATTTACTTCTACTTTCAGACTGAGTCTGGCAATGGTACAATGGTCAGCAATATTGGCTTTGATCTGCCATGTCACACGGTATGTGGTTCTTAGACTACCTTATTCCGAGTAGACCGTTGTGTGGAAACCACGGGATTCTTACTGTCTGTAGCCTCTCAGTTTGTGTAATCGAATTCAAGCAACACCAATCTTCTTTGCCCATTGCCTATGTGTTGCACGGAGTGAAGAACATGTATCTAAGACTATACAACATTTATTCAACAACAGGCCTGTCATGGTGGGCCAACCAAGCAAGAAAGCCAAGTTTTCGCACTATGTGGATGTCAGTGAGGCTCGTCCTGCACCTGCTTATGAGCGTTTCCATTCCTATGGCATACAGCATGATGGGGAGATGTCTGTCAACACTACATATGTACTTTCTCAACCCGCCGATGAAGCACCAGCTCACTCCTCATCTCCTATCTTACCAACTGTTGATGATTGGAATGAACCTGATTATTAAGAGCCTGACTCAGAGTTTGACATGCTACAGGAATCTGCACAGATACCAAAGAAGAAAAGGACTGCTGCGGTATGTGTCACACTTAGGATGATCAGGCGCTTACTCAAAATTTTAAAGGATAATCCTTTGTTGCAATGGCTGCCCGAATGCTCCCATTTCTTAGATGAGATAATCCATCTTGAAGGACGTGGTCACAAGGGGATACTTCTGAATTGCCATTGTGGAACCGAGGACGCCATACATCTTTACCGTTGTAGAGATTGTTTTGGGGTCGAAATGGTCTGCCAGATGTGTGTTGTTGACCGTCACTTAAGCAATCCGCTTCACCGCATAGATCTATGTATTCTTTGTTGTTATGTGCCCTATTTCTTTATTGTGATTTCACCAGGTGTGGAACGGCAGCTTCTTGGAGAGTATTGCATTAAAGGCTCTTGGACTGCGCGTGCAGCTCGGCCATACCCCCAGCGAGCACTGTTACAATGCTCAGCCAGTATCTTGCGATGAATTCACAGTAATTGATGCACACGGCATCCACGATGTCACAGTCAACTTTTGCGGATGCAAAACTGCACAGATCCGCTACAAGCAACTTCTACGAGCTCGGTGGTTTCCAGCTACTACAGCTGACCCATGGACAGCAGCAACCTTCAGCATCTTGGAATTATCACATATTACAGTGACATATTTCCGTATTATATGGGTCACCTGACCTACATAATATCCCGTATAAGATAGGCCGATGTGATGTGTATCCTCGATGTTGACAGATGGGCTGGGAGGGATATTATTCCTGATGGAGGCGGGTGGGCCCATGTGTGGAATATGTAGAGTAGATGAGTGGGCCGATGGACATGAATATTCTATAGACGGATGGGCCAAGGTAGTTGGATATTATGTAGATGGGTGTACCAAGGTAGGTGGGCATCAGATAGACGGGTATGCTGAGGGTACTTGTCATCACATACATGAGTGGGCCCAGATATATACTATATTAGACGGGTGGGCCAGCCGAGGGTACATTGTGTCACATACACGGGTGGGCCCAGATATATATTATCTTAGACGGGTGGGCCGAGTATCAAGGTAGGTGGGTATCAGATAGACGGGTGGGCCGGCCAAGGGTACTTGTTATCACATACACAGGTGGGCCCAGGGATATATTATATTAGATGGGTGGGCCGAGGGCGGTATATAATATAGACAGGTGGGCACAGGTGAATGATAATTGTAAAACAATGCAGTACTGATTGCTGAGTAGCTAATTCGGGTGAAGCGTAATGAGTTCCTGCAGCTGCAGGTTCATTACTGTTGCATTTCTGTATGAGAAGCAAGGTTCTGACTACCGAAATTCGAGTGAAGCGTACCAAGTTCTGAGACCCGGGTGTCAATAAACGAATATCTGATATCCAGCACACTTCCAATGATCGGGTATTTTCATTGAGCAATGGGTGGTAATATATCTTTGACAGCCAACATCATGGAAGGTTCTCTTATCAGAACCTCATGTTCACCACCTACCGAACACCAAATGCCAAGTTCTGACTACTGAAATTTGAGTGAAGCGTGCCGAGATCCAAGCCCCAGGAGTTGACAAACGAATATCTGATATCCAGCACACTTCCAATGATCTGGTATTTTGGCTCCCTTATCTGATCCTGACTATCTCCACCACCTTTAACACCAACCTCTGGGCGTCCAGCATTCAGCTTCTGATTTCCCAAGATCGACTTCATCATGAATGGTTCTTCCACTTCTGCAATTGAAATAAGCCTCCGGTGCACTTGGGCCCTGACAGTCACTCATGAGGCATGTGAATATACTGCACAGAAATTCAATGCAGAGAAGACAGGAGGATACCCAGTGATGGCCTGAAATCGATTGGTAGATCGCCTCATAAAGGCATATAAAAATCCGAGTGGGTCTTCCTGCAGATTCAGAAAATTCATTTGATCATTCAAATTCCTTCATCACAGTTCAGATGAACATCAACATTGCAAGATATAGCAAATTGATCTCCACGAAGAACACTGGGCACAATGGGGAGAAAGAGGAGAAGTTGCTTAAGAGATGTCCTCCTGGCCATGAGGAGACAAGGTTTGTGGACATACCTGCCACCATTCTAGATGTGTCCGACACCATCATTGCATGGTACCTCCCAGACGCCCTGACAGCCGAAACACAGGTGTGTGATATACATTGTTACTCAATATATATTAAATACCAAATGGTAACCACAGAAGGAAATTTGGGCAGCCACCAACTTGCTGTCTCCGAGTCTGGAAAGAAGTGTGAAGGTCGATGGGAATTGGCGAACCAATCCAGAGTGGTTCAAACACCGCTTGGAAGATGTTGGCTTACCTGCCGGGTGCATCAATTTATCTCCGGCATGGTTTCAACAGGGGCATGAGGTAGGATTTGATAGGATGATGATTTTGGTAGTTGAGCTCACCAATCCCATAGAATCTAGCAGACCCGGAGGTATCTGCATCATTAAAGGGACCATTGTCCAAGGGAATCCTAAATGCCATTGCAAGGCCGGCAGCCATCGCATCAGCAGCGCTCAGGATCATGCATCCGGAGCAGTACTGGGCAGGGTTACGAACATTTTCAAGCCTGGGAGAAAAGGCAGAAAGCAAGGAACTGCCAAGAATGTCCGAGATCCTCCAGTACTGGGCATCCGTGTTTAACACACTATCCGTCATTTCCAATCATCAAACCCTGCACCGTCGAGACCATTTATCAATTCCTGAATGCTTCGATATTCTCACCACTGTGGAGAATTATTCTAATGCTCGGATGAGCATGCCAAGCCTTCAGCTGGAGTTCAGGTACAATCCCGGGTGTATGATTGGATTTTCCGGAAGGATTGTCAGACATGGGGTCATGAGGTGGAGGGGGATAGGGTTGGGTGGGCATGGTATATGAGGGACTCTGTTCATATTTATGCTGGGGTTCCTGTTATATCCCATCAGCAATAAACCATTCATTTATCTCGGGAATCTATCAAAACGGTCTGCAGGTGTTGAAATGCTGCCTGGGTGTCCTGCGCCAGCAACAAATACATTCGGGATTGCCTTCTGGAGTAGCATGCATGACCCGGAAGTTGTTTTGTGAATGATTCCTGCATCCAGTCGCCCCATTGGGTTGCTTTCCACAAGAAAAAGTTACATGTCCAATCCATCTCGAATTGGACCAACATCAGCTCTTCCTTCCATCGATCCCATAGTGCCTTTGCTCAGAGCCAGTGAACTCGGTAAACTTTATATTCATCCAGTCAGCTCAATGTCGGACGCGTCGAGCATTAGGGAACTCACATTCCTCATTCCATGATTGATCCGGACCATGCATGTCGACCTTGACAGACCAGAACCACGCGAGGGATTCATTTCATTGACCGTGGGCATTTGGATCACCCATGGCAGTGCTGACTTTGAGCTGCTCATGAAGCAGGGGTTTGTACTTCTGAAGTTGGCCATGCCCATGTCAAGTTTCATTATTTGTGTCCTGGTCTTGGTATATATACTCACATGCAGGGAGACAGCCTGCTGCACTGATGTCACCTGCGACCAGGCTCGAGTTTTCAGGGCTTGAGATTTGGCTTGCCTGACTGTCATTTGGAATAGGACTGCCTTGTTGCACAATTGAATGTGGAGGTTGTGAAGGGACATCTCCAGCGGAATGAGATCCTCTGCCATCAAGTGTCTGCATCGATCTACCCTGAGGTTTGATGGCAATGGGATCACAATGAGCTCAGGCGAGTTCGTCCATGTATCAGATGTCTTGGTAAAATCTTCTGGGTCATCATCAAGATCATCTAGGATGTCTATGTTCAAGTCATTATGATTGTCATCTCCATCGAATCCCTCTCCGAGATGCGTGACAGCAGAATGCATAAATCCATCTATCTGGCCTTGGAGATGATCTCGTTGCCGGGCGAGGTCTAATCTCTGTGTCTCCATAGTTTATTTTCTGATTCTTCGGACCTCAATGAGCAATGCAATTTGAGCCTCCTCGATTGCCAACCCCATAGATATCCATATCGCCACAGATCTCCGAGATGGTGCTGTATTACGGGCATTACCCTGCTCTAGCAGTCTAAGTTCAATTTCCTTTTTGCTTGGTGCTGAGTGTGAAATTAAGTCGGACTTCTATGGAGACATGGTCAGCTTACCCTTCTTGATATTTATCTTGTAAACATCCATCGCCACAGGATTATTTATTCTGCTGGATTGAGTGATCCTCTCATTGGCCAACCATTCTGTCTTCAAATTAGTGGGTGCTGCTTCATCGAGTCTGTCGAAAGCCTTTTCACTTTCGGCGATGCAATTTTTCGCCTGCTTGTATTTACAGCAAAGGGTCCTTTTCATGTGGATCATCTTGCAGAAGTTGGAATCGTTCATCTGAAAATCGAGACATTCCTGTCGATGAGGGGATGACATTCCCCAAGCAGTGGGGGAAATTAGGTTAAGACGTGCCCAGAGAGTCTCCATGATCTCTCCATCTATCCGGCCAATGCCTTCAATGAAATTTGACGCATATCAGACATAGCAGCTGTCTTGATGTCCATGCACATGCCACAAACCAATGCCGGGAATGATGGTCAATTCCGGTACCATTTCAAGAAATTGGCTTCAATCCACCCAAACCCGAAGGTGCTTGTTGTATTGACAGTTGATGTCATAAAAGGTGACAGCCCTGGTAATGCCTTCCATGTTGTGCTGGGCAGCCTTGCAAAGGGCGTAGTCCATGTTCATTTGTCTGCAAATGATGCATGATCAACTCATGAATGTGGAACTTCATGTTCGGCTTGCCTTTTGCCTTTCTAAAAATCGACCATCGCATGAGGGACAAAGCAGCCATGGCGGGAACAAGCAACTCCCCCGATACCCATCGACTCCAGCTTGTGCTGAGCCACATTTGCTTGATTTACTGCCTGGTGATTGTTGCAGCTAGATTTTTCCAAAGTGTCAGCAGCCTCCACAAGATGCGCTTTATACCTGTCCTTTCCCACCATGAACCCCAGCCCATCTGCAAGCCATACTTCATCAAATGGCTTGATGGGATGCAAGTGTTTGGCTTTGAAATTACCGTCCATCACAAATGACCAGGTATATTTCCAGCTTGGAGTTCTTATCATCACTTAGGTCACTTAAGTATGAAACTAGACTCACTCATCAAGTGTTTCATTCCCTGACAAGGATATGTTGATCCCAGGCTGAGGACATGTCGGGCAAAACAATGCGAGATCTCCGGCATTAGGAGCATTGGAACGATGGCCAAAGCCATGCCATTTCATGGTCTTCAACTGCCTCCACTGTCGAGCAACTCTCATGAGCTCTCTGTATCGGTCCTTGCCAAGTGCCTTATCAATATAATGTCCTTTAGATGAAGGAGATATATAATTACCAGAACAAGGTGAGGAAACATGCTAGAGGTCATTCGCCGGAGCTTGCTGTAATAGTTCATTGCAGAGGTGCCACATTCTAGGTTGTCCAATAGAAAATTATCAAGCACTCTGAAGGTGATCACAGTCTTCGGTTTGTTGAATGATGCAGGGAAAAATCCATGTCGAAACATTTGAATATCCAGACTCATGGCATTTGGACAATCGCAGCATCGAACCTCAGGGCAATGAACTCCGGACTTGTCGACGATGACCATGGTGTTTTCCTTAAGCTGGAACTCTGGTCCCGACATGGATGGTAGATCTTCAGGCTCAAGCTGGTCTTTGGGTTCGTCTCCTTCGAACAAATCCCACCTATGTGTGAGTACAGGACATTCTTTGCCATCATGACCGAGGTGTATGACGAGTCCAACATGAGCGAGACAACTTTGCTCGAAGAACTGACCATTCCATTGACTGATCCAGTGGAAAGGATTGCGATGATGTTGACTCCTGCAACATCCCGTGCAATAGAGTGGCTCCCCAAGACAATCTTGACATTTGTAGACCCTATCCTGGTCGCAGATGACACATCTCCTATCTTCTGGAGGAGCTTCTCGATCCAGGAGGTGATGCAGATATGATTCCTGCCTTGGGAGCCATTGCCTCAGGTAGTCATTCTGGCTCTGCATTTGTTATACTTAGCAAGGTTTGAACGACACTCCAACGGTTTACATTCACTTGCCATTGTTTTTGGAAGCTGCAAAGGCTCAAATGAGCCTTGGTCTTGCTTATAAGTATTATCAGGACAGTCTTCCCAAGTAGGTGGTGCAGGAACAGGCTGAAGTGTTGGTGATTCTGGGGGAGAGTTAGGCATAGACCTGTAGGCATGTCGTCTTGCGCTTGCAAGCAGGACCTTGACCCAAGTTTTCCTACCTTTTCTGCCCCTTGCTTCTACCCTGTGGGATTTTTGCAGCAGGGTGCATAGACCTATCTTCATCTTATTTTTGAATGTTGCAAGAACAGTATTAGCTCAGGAAGGTCACACAAATTGTTATTCCAATGCTATGTTTGTGTAGTATTGGTTGTTCATTACAAATTTATTTCCATTAATGGCATCATGTCCGATATGGGTTGATTAACCAACTGTTAGGCTTTGGTCAAAGTTGAACTTTGAACCAATATTAATTACACCTTGCTTACCCTCAGCACATTCACCAATCAGAGTCACCATGGCAAGATCAGGTCATTCCACTCACTTGTCTCCTGGAAGACATAGGGCACATCAACCCCAGACACAGAGGCTCACAGAAACTGAAATTTCCGAGCTGAAGAACTACCTTCCTGAGTGGACTTCTGCGAAAAGGAGTGAGAAGCAGGCAGTTTTCACTGCAATTGCCAGGGTTGCCAGGTTGTTTGCACCAAAGGTGGACCAAGGACAATGGAAAAAGAGGAAGCAGGTGATACATCCTTGTTGCAATGCAAAAAAAATTTTAATGTCTTACACTTCCTTCAATGCTCAGATGTACAAGACTTGGTTGTTCAACAACAAGAAAAAGAAGGAAAGGAAGGACATGATAAAGTATGGGAGGAAATGGACGCCTAGGATGGTGATCTACCAGGAGAATCAGGAAGAGGTGTTGAAGAGGATCGAGGATGAGTTCAGGGCAAAGCCAGAGATCCTGGTATGTTCAAGCATTATCAGGCAGCTGTGAAGAGAGTCATGGCTGAATTGTCTGACGACGAGTTGGAGAAGGCGAAAGAAACCGCTGAAGAATGGTCCAACAACTGTCCTCCTCCTGAGATACAAGCACTGGTCGCCCGTAAGAAGGGACCTGCATATATGGAGCACTTTTCGAAGGAGATGTGGAGGCAATGCAGGATGAGAGTGTTTGTGTTGTCAGCTTGGAAGAATGAACAGGGCAAGGTG